CCCTTTTTTCTAAAAAAAAATTTTTTTTGGGGGGGGGGGGGAGATCCCCCCGAATAAAAAACCCCTTTTAAATAAAAAAAAAAAAACTTTTTTATATATCCCCCCTTTTTTTTTCCTTTCCCCCCCAAAAACCAAAAAAAAAAAAAAAAAAAAAAAAATTTTTTTTTTTTTTTTTTTTTTTTTTTTTTTAAAAAAAAACATTCATATCTTATCTCTGCCACCACACACGTCTCATAGAATGCAGCCCCTTGACGTTTCTTTTTTTGGCCGATTCAAAATGGCCTACAAAAAAAGAATGTGACTTGTTTTTAAAAAGCCATCTAGCAGAAAAGATAACCCCTTATGACGTAACATCCTTCGTGAGGAAAGCATTTAATAATACTGCTTTTATTAGTAAAGGAGAATCGGGGTTTAAATCAACTGGAATATTTCCACTAAATCCGGAGGTATTCACAGAAGAAGATTTTCTCGCTGCAGAAACTCAGCAATCTGAAACCGTTGTAATCCAAGATTGCAAAGAATCTTTCGCAGCTACCTGTGCGATGATTCCCAGGACATCAAAAAGAAGACTCACCAGTTCCAAGCGCAGATCTTATGATGTCTAACCGAGAAGTCCCACTTGATACTGAATCAGATGTTGTACCACAACTTTCTGGCACGCCTAACCAATATACTTAGTATATGGCATGATTTAATAAATATGCCAGAGAAAAAGCATCTGTTATTAAAACAAGACAGGGCCGAAAGAAAAATTTGGTAGAAAAGGAAATGATTACAATGAAAAAAAAAAATTAGGTAAACCGACCTGTATTAGAAAATAGCAGCGGGAAACAAAGGGCACAGTAGCGTGCAGTCGGTTGCCGTCATAGCGACATATTCTATACGCAACTATTAGCATTTTATTGCCAAATCTAACAAGACAACCAGTAATAGTATAGTTTAATGTACGCTACACAGTCCCGTATACTTTTGTTAAGCGATAAACAACAAATCCATCAAGCCACATAACAATTTACTGAGACTTATCATTAAGGAGGCACATCCGTTCAAGTAAAAAGTTTTCTAAACTAGTCCCGCCCTACCCTACTGTAGAATTAATGTCAGAGTAAGTTTTTACGTGCTATAATATTTTCCAAATAATTTTGAGCTTAGCGCCACAAGAATATATGTATCGCCGATGTTTATTTATCCACGACTAAGAATTAAACCTTCCCTGAAAATTGGTGGTACACTGTTATAAATACTTAATGCACCCCTTATTGCATACTCTGGCCCTTTTCCCGCTTGGTCATCATTTCTATTGTCTCAGTACCCAAGCTATTCATCAACCCAGTCAGTATTTATCCAACTTCCAAATCCGACGGTTGTTCTTAAAATCAATTTTGTATTTTATTTTTTAAAGTCTCAACCCAAAAGACTCATAACATTTGGTGGCAGCGTAAAGGGATTTTAAAAGTCCCCGGTATCGTCTCCGTTTAACGATATTTACACAAAATAAACGTGTGTGCTGTGTGTAACAGTGCCGAATCCGTTGTGTATACAGTAAAGGTGTACATAGTACAGCGAAAAGAATAGAATAGAATAGAATAGAATAGAGAATAGAATAGAATAGAATAGAAGAATAGAAGACATTTATTCGAAACAACACAAGACATTTAACAAACACAATAAAAAATAAAAATAACTAATTACATATGAAATAATAAAAAATAAAAATAGTTGCCTCCGAAAAGGAGTCCACTCAGCTACGTTGGGTCTGATGTCCCAACACTGATATTCTGTGGCCCCTTCAGAGGCCGAGCTAACACAAGCGAGATAGTTTCACATTGTGTCAATTAAGTACTTTGTACACAAACACTTAACAACCACCAAATTAAATTAATTTATAGTCTACATATACATTACAAAAAAATTCTTAACAAAGTAGATTACTAACAATCCATGCAGTTACGTTTCTTTACTAGTTTAACATATTAAATGGATTATATTTACATTTCTATGATTTTTCATAAACATATAATACTTGCTTAGTTCTGTTTTCCATTCCTACCAACATTATATCCTACTTAAATAAAGGAAAACAAAAAAAATGATCAAAAGAGTATTACACCAATACTTTACATTAATACCTATTATTCAAAAAATCAACAGATTTTTAGCAAATTTTACCTTATTAAAAAATTAACTTTCAGTGAGCGTTTTACACAATATTCCTATTATTATTATAAAAGAGGAGTGCATATCGTTTTATCCCGGCTTTCCTAAGCCCTAATTTCGTGAATTGTGGAAAACCTTGTCTCAAAGTGCCCACACAACACAGATCAGTGCTGTGACGGGTCTTTACATCCGACGAGCATAGAACACCCATCCTTCGTGACGACCTGCCGCGAGACGCTTATCCGCATCCTACGTGAATACATTTCACCCGTGCGAGAACTTCGAAGAAATGATAGCCGCTGTTATCGCTCTCCCGACCGCACCAATTCGAAAGTATCTTGGACCGTTGGAACCTTAGAAAAAGCTATCAAAAGAATTCGGCGTGGCGACACATCAGTTACACAAGGTATCAAAAGAAACTGGAATACCCTATAGCACATTGAAAAAAAAGATTAAGGTTATCTAAATCTACCGACTAGGTACAAATGTTCTCCAAAACTAGGAAGGCCCTCTGTGTTTACCGAGGAACAAGAAGCGGTTTTGGCTGATCATCTACATGAAATGTCCAATAAATTTTACGGTCTGACGAGGGCACAGTTTTGTAAGGTATGTTAGTCCAATTGCTGAAATATTTGGTGTCGCAGATCGATTTAATGATACCAAGAAGTCTGCGGGCAGAGATTTTCTAACTGGCTTTTTCCAACTGTTCAAAACCATATCACATGTATTAGTACCGATTCAAATTCTAGATGGCGCTGATCATAGCCAAACTTCGCTATAAACTTTCTTCCTTAGAATCATATAGGCTTTTAACTTTAAGGTAACAGTTGTTCTCGTCCGATTCTCACCTACTCCAGCGTCGCGTTCGCCCACGCCGCCCCTAGCACACTCCACAGGCTCCAGGTGCTTCAGAATCGGTTCACCCGAACCGCCACTGGAGCCATCTGGTGCGTGCGGAATGCAAATCTTCACGCCGATCTCGAATTACCGACCCTCAGTCGGTACTTCAAGGAAACGTCCGAACGTTTCTTTAAAAAAGCCGCGACGCATCCGAACCCACTGGTGGCCCGGGCCGCCAACTACACCGTTCCCGTCAATACACGCTGGAGAAGGCCGCGTAACGTTCTTACCGACCCCGACGACGATTTAACGAAAGCCGTCGATTTACTCGTCGCAACGCGATCGGTCGACACCAGGGCCTACGCCGGCGTAGGCGTGGTCATTCGCTACGCGTACCCCGCTCACCCGAGTGAGTTCCCGTCCAGCTCTTCAAGCTCCCACCCGCATTGCGGCGGTCCAAGCCGAGGCCGATGCCCCCCTCGGGGCACCCTTGGTCTAGCCGCAAACACGGCGAGCGCTATCGCGCTCGCCCAAAACGCCCGGTTAGTATTCGTGGCTCCTTAGGAACACAATACGAAATAGTCATTCCAAAAAAAAAAAAGGTACAAGTTGTTAACTGTTTTGAGTAAAGTGCTTATTAATAAATAGTGTTTCATTAGGTTAATTAAATTCAGTGAGTGGTTCGCGTAAAAACATGGTGCCGAAACCCGGGATATAATAAAAATGGACTTTGGACTCTAAAAGACTAAGAAAAATTATGGCAATTGTGGACTTGTAAAAGTTTTCAACTATTATTGGGACTTACAAAAATTATGTGATTTGTGGCCTTGTGATTTTTTCATAATATATTATATTAGACTTTGAACTTTATAGTGAATTTAAATTGAGCATTAGAAAATTTTGCACTAATTAATCAAGTCGGAAATCGGATCTTTAATTAAACATCAGGACGATGTATTCAAGTTAATGTCGAAAGCGAATATAAATTATATCAAATCGCCGAAGGCAAGAATAACTGTCGCATATAAAAGATTAGTTAAAAAAAACTTTAATATTATTAAATGTAGTTAGTCGGCTATATATATATCAAATATAATTTGTGTATAGAATGCTTTTAATTAAAAATTGTAAACTGATACATAAATAAGAAGACATCCATATGGTTGAAACAATATTGTCTTTAATTTATATACATAGCGTTAAACAAATATACACTTTCTTTTACTATCGCGAAAATAACAATAGACACATAAACTAAAGACAAGCTAGGGCTCACTTAACTTAAGTCCGTTTGGTATGGCATCTCGCTTCTGTGTAGGGTTTTTCTCAATTTAGGCGCCATTATATGGGGCCAGTCACGTGATATCGGATGATGCAATTCCATATTGATGTTGCGTCATTTCACTTCTGTGTAGGGTTTTCCTCGATTTAGGTCCGTCCGCTGTGGCTTCGCGGGAGTGAGTGTGCGGGGCGGAATCTGGGGCCCATTCTATGGCCGTACGTCATATCGGATGATGCAATTCCATATTGATGTTGCATCATTTCAACGTAAAACTAACATAATACATTTATACAAAAATTAAATAGTAAAATTATAAATTTGGTTGAACAATCGTTTTATCAGTAACTAAATCGTCTTATTTATAAAGAAAAGCTTTACATAAAATACATGATTCAAAATGAGTTATAATTGTATGTCTTAAACAGGACACTGTATTTATAATGTACTAATTCGGTTTCACATGTTAATAAGTTGTTATATAGTTATAATAATTAAACGGTTACATTTACATTCGTCTTATACAATTTTGTAATATTTATAGAATATCTGTATGACTTTAGAGACAAATTGAGATTAAAACATAACTTAGTGTAACAAAAGAACTTAAATTATCGGAATAATCTAACACATACATTGAAACACGAACTGATGCCTTGGAAGCTCTATGGAACCGATTTACAATCAATCATTTTAAATTATTAGATTCGTTGAGAAGGATGAGATGGCTGAATTATCCTATTTCGTAGAAGATTTCTATGAGAAGGTTGAAGAATTATTTATAGATTATCGAACGAGACTTCGGGAAGATTTAAAAAAATGTTCTTCCTGTTTAACGGCCTCGTCATCAGCTATTCCATCCGCGTCTAACATCAATGCTACGTGTGAAGTTCGCTTGCCTCAAATTTCATTGCCAAAATGTAATGGAAGTTATGAGAAATGGCAACCATTTTTTGACTTATTTTCCTCTCTAATACATAATAATTCAAATCTAAGTCCAGTTCAAAAATTACATTATCTTAAAAGTTGCTTGCAAGGAGAAGCACATAACGTTCTACAAAATCTTCCTATCACGGACGCTAATTATTCCGAAGCGTGGCTGCAATTGATAAGACGATATAACAATAAACGTTTTAACGTTAACGAAGTTTTGAAACGATTGTTCGCCCAAAGAGCATTACATAACGAATCGTCCACACTCATCAAGGATCTGCTAAACACAACTTCTTCATGCTTAAAATGTCTAGAGAACATGAACATTTCCACGGCTTCTTGGGACGCTATAATTAACTTTGTAGTCGTTTCCAAGCTAGACACAGAATCCAAAAGGATGTGGGAACTAGAGGTTTCAAGGAAGGAAGGAATTTGTGTTGTTCTTGTGATGTTCTAGTGTTCTTTGCCTTTATTATACACTTCGCTAATGTTCCTCTCAAACACTTAAATATAAACACAAAATTACTGCAAGTGTCAATTACGGTTCTGATTCCTACCCTCAAACAATTTTGCAATTTGCTGTTTTACACGCTTTGGCACATGGAAGAAGAAGAAGTTGTTGGTGTCCAATAAAATGGAGGCGTTCCAGCAGCGCCTGCAAGCTGCGCAAACCAGATTATCCTACAATTGAGCAGACACAACTGGCGAAGGAGTTCGACGTGTTTCGCAGCTCAGTGCTCTTCTGTCTCGGAAGTCTCCAGGCTCAGATTCAAGTCCTCTCCAGAGTACAGGATGAACTGAAGATGCGTAGTTGACGCAAGTGTTTGTTGTTGCATGAAGTGAATGAGTCCAAAGACGAAAGTCCGAGCTCTATTGCTAATATGATTTCAGTCTTGTTAAAGTGTCGTGATTTAAATGACAACGGTTTACATCGCTGCCACAAAACAGGCCTACGTCAGGATGGGAAGCCTCGACCGATTCTTATGAAACTCCGTAAATACAAGACAAAATAAACAATATGGCTGGCTAAAAACACCTCAAAAGTACAGAGCGGAGTCGGTTTTTGTCGGAGTGCCTGACAAAAACTCGCCACAACATATTTATACGCGTTTTTCGGTTATTGTTTTTTTATTATTTTGGTTTGATTTAGTATATTTTTCTTTACTCCTATTTGTTTTGGAGTGTTTGGTAAGTGTTTTAAGAGCTGGAAAAAACCCAGAGACGAAAGCAACAGATTGTAGATCATAACTATGCAATTCCCTCAGCTAGTACAACATTTATAGACCCCTCCTTACAACAACTTCTCGCGCTTGTAAATCGGTCAAATTCGATTATACCCTAGGGACAACCCACATAACACACATACGAAGAGAGACTCGAATCCGGGATCTAGGCGTCTTATTCACGAACGACGTAACGTTTCGTGAACATATTGTAAATATTTGCCAAAAGGCATACAGAAACCTTGGTTTTGTCTTACGACAAACCAAGGACTTTACGAATATGGCTGCGGTGCGGGTACTATATGACGCATTGGTCCGTAGCTATTTAGATTTTAACTCCTCTATTTGGGCCCCGGCCGAAGAAAAATACAAATTAATGCTGGAACGCATCCAAAATAAATTTGTTAGGCATTTGTACCATAAAATGTATGGAGTACATCCATTTTATCCTTTAATGTATCCGACTCTTTTTGTATTAGGCATGGTCGGGTACAATGAATTGAAGGTACGGAGGGACTTATTCCTTGTGATATATCTGGTAAAAGTATTGCGGGGTCGAGAGTTGAACCCAGGAGTTCTACAGTCCATACACTTGTCAGTGCCGGACCGATACGTGTGGAGGCGATTACGACCACCGTTACTTGCGCTGCCGTACTCACGTACCAACTTGCTAAAAAACTAAACTAAACTTAACGTGACACAAAACGTAAATTAATAAAATATTATTTTCCTTTTTAATTAAAAAAAAATGTAAGTATTGTTCTTCAGTGTTCATTGTTTTTACGTTAAATTTCCTCAAAATAAAAAATAAAAACACTAAAAGTATCGATATCAGTAAGTATCTTTAGAAGTATTCATTTAAGTAGTATCGAAACAAGTTTTGAGTACTTTCATAATGAGTAGGTATCGATACTTTGATGGTTTTGGAACGTCTCTAGAAATTCCATGAAGTAGTGAAATATGTGATGATACTGAAGTAATAAAAAGAAATAGGCGGTATGTGGTTGAAAGTGGTGACGAAGATGATAACACGGGCTAGCAAAAACGAATTATACCTTTCACTGCGTGTCCAGGCTTGAAACCGTACAGTTTGAGAAATATGATGGTAAAATCCAAACCTAAGGATTTTTATTCTTTGTGAGTTCCGGATAGTGTTTCATCATACAGGTAAACTGTTAGACAAAGAAACTAACCGATTTGTTTCTCAGACAATTAGTAATCTTAATTAAAAAAAACTAATCAAACGATAATCGCCATTTCTCCGTTGGTCTGATACAAACCAAGACGAGATCAAAAGGTTTTTTGGTTTTATTGGTCAATGTCTAATGGTTGCGAATACTCCTTTTCTCACTAACCTCGTAAAATTACATAGTAAAGTCGGTCTCCCCAGCCTTATCTCATTTATATACAAAGTATCTAAAACATTCTACCTTTACAATATCCCCATTACCAAAAATACACTTATTAACTCTATATGCAGATCCCGTAAAAGTAATATATCATATATCGACAAATATAATCGATACAAACTCCCCCATCACTTGTTCCTCGAGTATGAATAGGTACACTCGACCAAACAGGTTTGACACACCACCAGCCCATCGCATTTGCGACATTTGCCTGTCTCGCATATTAGCAGTATGAGCATTTCGGCTTGTACGTGTTTGTGTGACATGGCAAACTTTCTTGCGGCACCGTATTTCGTCGTAATTGTTTACGCAACGTATGCTTCTATTTTGAATAAGATTTAAAGTATTATAACTAAGACATTTTAGAAATAGTTATCTACCCTAAGTAGTTACTAGAGCTTATACTTAATATTGTTGAATAAAAAAACATATAAATGATGTGAACACAGTTCTGAATTCTTTCTGATTATATATTCTTGGTTATGTATATCAACTCATTTAAGGCTAATCTAGGATAAGTTCAATGTACACTGGGTTAAGTCTAATGTAAGCCATTTTGAAATAAAGAATTTTAAAAATCAAATCAAAATCAATGTTTGCGGATGGCCTCAAAATATTTTTGAAATGTCAGAGTAAATTAGATTGCGAAAGACTGCAGAATGATGTTACAAATGTTGTGAAGTGAAGTATTGAGAATAAGTTGAGCTTCAATACCAAGAAATGCGCTGTCCTTCAATTCACTCGATCCAGGACCCCCCAGAAATATTATTAGAGGTGGGAGAGGTTTTCTTTAGAACGAGCTATAGAAGTAAAGGATCTTGGTGTTCTGTTTAATTCAGATCTTAGATTTAGGGTTTATATTGTTAAAGTATGCAAAACAGCGTACCGGAATCTAGGATTTGTGCTAACAAGACACAACAGACAAGGTATTTCAATAGCATGGCAACCGTGAGAGTATTGTATGACGCATTGGTTAGAAGCCATGTAGGAACATAATGCTGTAATATGGGCACCTGACGAAGATAAATACTGTGCCATTTTGGAAAAAAATCAAAATAAATTTGTGTGACATTTATATTTTGAAATGTACGGGATTTATCCCTATTATCCTACCCGACACTCTTTGTGCTAGGAATGGTGGGCTACAGTAAGTTGAGAGTCAAAAGGGATTTTGCTCTAGCTGTTTTTTATAATTAAATTATTGAGAGGGAGAGTATACAACATCGGCGTCCTAGGCATGTTAAACATAAACGTGCCTGACCGTTACAGGTACAAAAGACAAGACACGCGCCACCTCTTCTCGTGGTGCCTTTTGCTAGAACGAAATTAATGGCAAAGGCAGAATGGGCGAAGATCTAAATATATTACACGAAAAATTAGTTTTTTAGGATCTCTGTTGCATTGGATTCAATCTATTATGACAGTGCATATATGTAAATATTAAATAAATACATTTTAACACTTTAACGGTTTAAAACGCGATATATTAGTTAAACTTATTTGAAAATGATTTTAACTTCGGCCCGACGTTTCGGATGCTTTGCAGCAGCCGTGGTCACGGGGAGACTGCCTCTCTGAATAAATACAGATTAATCCAAAATATTTTTGGGTCGTTTATAAAAACTAAGCGGAATTCCAAATGTGACATTCCTGCTTGCATAAAATTTGATGATAAATCGGCTTGTGATGGTAGTAGTATAGCTAATATTTTTGCTGAGTATTTTTCTTCAGTAATATATTATAAACAATCAGCGTCATCATCTCCTTCTCCATCTATTCATGTAAATCCGTATAGCGTAAATCACACCATTGTAAAAATCTCTCTCGGTGATGTAATATCAAAACTAAAGTCACTTAAAGCTAACAAAGGTGCTGGCATAGATGGCATATCTCCATTATTTAAAAAAAAATGTGCTTTAGAATTATCAATACCACTCCTTACAATCTATAACGCTTCACTTTATACCGGTATATTTCCAACTGAGTGGAAACGTGGACTAGTTGTACCAATACATAAGCAAGACGACAAATGTGATGTTAAAAATTATAGACCTATAACAATACTGTCTACTCCAGTTAAAGTATTTGAGTCACTTATATATACCCATATTTCTTGGCAAAGTAAATCTCTCATTACTGATAGGCAACATGGCTTTGTTGAGAAACGTTCTTCTTTATCAAACCTTTTGACCTTTACTAATACAATTTGACAGACGTGATTTACACAGAGTTTAGTAAGGCGTTCGATAAAGTAGATCACATTTTATTGATAAAGAAATTTAAAAGATATTTACCCTAAACATTTTATAAAACATGTGAAACTGTCTATGGAACGCCCGGTTTTGTTAGTGTTGGAATCATTCTTCACAATTGAACGTGAAGATACTAACTTTAGCCAAAGAGAATGGAGTTGTAATTCTATCCTTTCCACCGCATTGTAGCCATAAGTTACAACCGTTGGATGTATCAGTTTATGGACCGATCAAAAAAAATTGCGCGGCTGCTCAAGATGCGTGGCTTCGTAACAACCCCGGGAAAACCCTTACTATGTATGACATACCAAAAATAGTCACAGATTGGTTGCCGTTTGCTCAGATAAGTATAAATATTGTTAACGGTTTCCGAAAGTCAGGCATCTTCCCGGATAATGCAAATATTTTTGGTGAGGATGAGTTGTATCCCCATCATTTGTAACTGAACGTCCTGGATTAGAAAATAGCCAGCCGGAAAAAGATTATCTATCAGCAACCTAGCAACCTGTGATGTCACGAATCTAATCCCACTATTTCAACCTCCACAAGCCAAGCGGAACCCGAACCTGGTCCAAGCAATAAATAAAATGAGTCGGTTAACCTAATACAAGTATTTTCCCCGGAGATAATTCCCAAAAGCTTTCTTAGGAAAGTAAGTACAACTTACAGAAGAAAGAGGAAAGCTGCAATTCTAACTCAAGAAGAAGAACGCCCTAGAAGAACAATCAATCATAAAATAGTTGCATCTACAAAAAGTGATTAAGGAAGTGATAAGTGTTTGGATGATAAATAACATTCTTAAAAACACTTAAAATCCAACTAAAAATATTTACAACGCCGTCTAGTTGTTCCTTAGTGAACTTTTTTTTACCAAATCGATTGAGCTTTAACATGCCTAATCCATCTTACAAATGCACTGTTTGTGCGAAATTCTTCGCAATTGCTGAAGATGGCGTTAGGTATACAGTTTGTAATATTTACTTGCACAAAGATTGTCCGAAAGCAACAAGCCCGAGTGCGAAAAATTACTGCAAAACTTGTTTGCTGGCTCGATCTAAAGGAAATAGAAATTATGTCGCTTTTGGTAGCGTAACTCCAATCGATGAGTCCGCGGCCAGCGATTTGACCTCATCGAGAGACGTTGTCGCTCCTTCATCAGAGTCATTTGAATGCTTAAAAAAAGAAGTATCATCCCTACGCAACATTATTATAAACTTTAAATCTGCAATATCTTCTCAACTTACCAGCGCAATCGCTTCATTCAATAGTAGAATGAAAATTATGGAGTCTAGAATATCGAATCTCGAAGAGAGTGTTGGTAATCAGAACATCGACTACCAGCATAGCTGTGACAGTAATGATGAAGTCGAATCACTGAAAAGACGCCTGAATGTTTCCGAACACCAATGTCTCATAAACGACGTGGGGATCTCAGGAGTTTTCGAGGCAAATGGCGAAAATACGGAGCACGACGCAATTACGTTAGCTCAAAAAATAAAGAGTTTCGCTTGCCGAGCCCGATATAATCTGCGCTTACCGCGCCGGTCCCCTCAATACTACTGACGATCAAAGCGATTCTCAGCCCCCCAGGCGCCCCCGCCCGTCCTCTACGCTTGCGCGCCGTCTAATCGCGATAAGCTAAACATCCGTCGACGAGGGGCTGAACATCGGTACGGACATTGTGGAAGTGTGAGCCTCTTTTTATTAATGAGTGCCTTACGGGGTTCAACCAAAATTATTTATACCTCCTACGCACCTTGGAGATTTGCTGACCAAGGGAGGACAATATATGTAAGGCGTGATTCTTCCCTTATCTTTCAAACAAATCGATCTGCCGGTTTTGGAGTCCTTTAGAGTTGTCAAGGTATGTACATGAAACTCTAGAACATACAAGAAATATGTCAAAAATTGGCACTATTTCCTTCTTCTGAATGGCGGGACGATAATCTCAGTTTGAAGACATGTGGCCTTTGGGCTTTGAGTCCCATCTAGCTTCTGAGCCTCTATATATTCGCAATTGAAAGTTGGAGAGACCACCTGCCTACATTGCTCCAACACAAAGTTTTCGATTGATAAATAATTTCTTACGAAACAGCCAAATATATGTTTGATGTAAATCCATGGTATTTAAACCAAGATGTTTGTATTCCTAGATAATTTCACATATTGCATGTTTTGGCTTTTGCAGTCAAAAGGCTTTATGTACAAGTAAGAAAAATAAATAAAGTGTGTATTGATATTTTTACCACTTTTTCTTTGTACACCTTTGGTGTAAACGTACCTAAACGACCTGTCGGGTAATAAGGCCTAAGTACTAGAAACATAACTTTGAGTAGACCCCGCCAGCTGACTCCACAGTCATAGGTAGCTAACCCAAATGCCCCAAATCGCGACTCGCAGGCCCGCATGCTGCCGAGAGTGTGGGGTCACTCATCGTGGCCGGCGGACGCATATCTCGAATAATAATATGACGGTCGAACAAATCGTAAATATTTTATGAAAAAAAAAAAATTTTCTACGTTATTTTGCAGTTTTACATTATTTTAGTTATTGTTTCGAAGACCTGTGCTGTACAAAAAGTTGTAAATTACACGAATACATTTTATTTTAAAAATTTCTTGACAACGTGGTCGGTGGTTAATAAGGCGTACTATGAAAATAGACTATAGGCCTTATTACCCTCCTTAAAGTATTAGCAAGTGATTACATAATTTAGGTCTTTAGAACTATTATTACAGAAATTAGAAGCACCAGCTCCTGTTCCAGACGTAGTCGATGTAGAAAATTTACCACTCCACTCGCACTCCATTCAGGCAAATGGCTGTTCCGAGACGCCTCAGACATCCACACCGAGGCAAGAACAAACAAATGATCATACCAAAAAGATCCTCCAACATCTTTTACAGAATGGTTTACGGTAGATCCAGCTCTGATGATGAGGATAATGTACCCTTCGCTCAAGTAAAAATAACATCATTTAAGCAACTCCTGCCTACACCAGCTAAAAATACAGAAAAGACACCAACAGTCAGAATAAAAGGCCACAATTACAGAGGAATACCAGTTAGCAAAGAGCTGTCTAATAAGAACAATATTGTCACGCATGCCACCAGGACCAAAAGACTGCTATGAGGATGTGTCACAAATGCAGCAAGTGGTACCACGAGGAGCGTGGGTTTGTCAGAGGATGATTTTGAATCGTCGATGATTTTGAGTGTCCAGATTGTTCCTAATTTGAAAAATAATGTTATTTTTAAGCCTTTACTGTGTGATTGTCGCATTACCTAATTTTATTGGTCTCAATTACTAAATATAAGAAGTTTATTTTTGAAGTTTAAAGTCTTAGGCCTTATTATACTACCATAGTTTAATAAGGCCTAAGTACAGTGTTTTTAAAAAGCAGTAATTAAGACTATAATTATAGCATAGGTTGCTGTTTTCCGTTTTTATTTGATAGCTATTAATATAAAAGTTTAAATTACATTAAAATTTGTTGATTTGTTTTAACAGTTTTTGATTTATTTTAATTCCCGCTTAGGTAGGCCTTATTGGCCGCCACTACCTTAGTATTCTGACAAAACGTCCTCTTAATCTAGGTTCGAATTAAAAGAGTAATAGCCTGACGCTGTACAGAAGATGTTGAATACAAATGATCATACCAGAATCAATATATAAACCTCGGAAGAAGACTCACGACAATGGTACTCCGCTAGCCAGTCTTAAAATAGCGGAAAATATCCCCATTTTAAGAACCTATGCCAATTTAAATCTATGCTATAGTCAAAGACATACCAAGATGAAAGACCATTAATTATAGTGGTTTAGAACAGATTACTAGGGACTGTTTAATAAACGAGAAGAGCTAAAAGAAACATTCTGACCGTGTGCCCTCGAAGTATTTGATTTTTGTAACATTTGCAATACCGTAAAGTCGTATGACTTTAGCCCTAGGGGATGACTTTGCCCCTAAATTGGTAAAAGTTTGAAATACATCTCTATTACAGTCTGTTTCGAAAAAATACATGTAAAAACCTTTAGATGACAGCACATGTAGCCGGTAAAACAGTGTTTCGGGTTATCCCATGGGTGTATGTTATTTGTATTTGTTGAATATTCAATTGACTTTCTAGACCAGTTGGTATAATGTATTAAGAAGCTCAATTGATACTGGTGCAAAAACTAATTTTAAAAAGTCAACAGAGTACTTGTCGTCGTTATATAAACGCCACCCCAGAATTTCAGTACTAGTAGAGTACAAGTAGAGAAATATAACTACATATTTTTTTTATTTATCCACTTCGTGTTAAAATGGATAATTTAAAATCGAAACGTAACATCAAACCATTCGACGGCAAAAAATACAGCCTTTGGCCTTTGTTAAAACTAGACTACTCGATCACGAGGTTAAGCTTAAAAGTGACTCTAAGGACACAAGTTTAAAAATACTACAAGCTATGGAAGTTACAAAGAAGAGGAATTATGAAAATAAGAACTTGAGTGTCAATATTAATAGCAAGAGGGATAGAGTTATATTCTACAAAGTGTCATCACTGTGGCCGAAAGGGTCATATGAAAAAGGACTGTTAATATTATAAGGGAAACGCTGTAACCAAAAATAATGACCGGCGAAGAACAGTGCAGGCCATTGATACCGAGCAGCCTACTTAAAATCATTCATCTGGTATTGCGTTATGACGGAGAGTTATGCAAATATTAATCAAGGGAAAGACATCTCTTTTACTTTAGATTCTGGCGCTTCTGACCATCTAACAAATGTAGAAGATTTATTCATAAAGCGCGAGGTGTTAAAAAATCCTATTAAAATTCCTATAGCCAAAAATGGTGAATTTATAATGGCTACAAAGATAGGATCTATGAAGTTAAAAAGTGAGGTAGGAATATGTGGAATCCTGGAAGACATTTTATAAAAATAAAAAATAAGTTGTCTTTTCTTGACGTATTGGTAATAAGAAAGAATGAATGACTGGGTCACACGGTGTATAGAAAACCCACCCATACAGACCGTTACCTAAATAATCTTTCCAACCACCACCCATGCCAAAGAAGAGGAGTGGTTAAGACATTACCTAATAGAAAGAGCTAAGAGAATCTGTGAACCAGAATATTTGGATACAGAGATAGAGCATCTCAAGAGCGCCCTTATGGCCAATGGATACAGCAAAAGAGACATTGATAAATGTTTACAGTCGAAAACGAATGATTTGGGTTTGAGTAACGAGATAACTGAAGGTAATAAGATTGTTTCCAAGGCCTTTCTGCCTTATGTTTCTAGAGTGACAGATAGAATGGGCAGAGTTCTGAGAAAGAAGTACAATATTAAAACAATCTTTAAACCAACAAAGAAAATTGAAAATTACTTGGTATCTGCAAAGGACAAAAGGGACCCATTATCATCCTCAGGAGTATACCGTATCCCGTGCACTTGTGGGGAAGTATATATTGGTACCACTGAGAGTTCGGTGAATACGAGAATTAAAGAACATAAAGCTAATTGTCCTTTGGGACATACGGACAAATCTGCGGTTGCGGACCATACTTTAAATAACGACAATCATAGAATAATTTTCGAAAATACTCAATTATTATGCTCCAATGGCACTTTTTACCCCAGACTGTACAGGGAGGCGAGAGATTCATAAACATAAACGGAATTTTAATAGATCCGAGGAATCTCTCAAAATTAACAAAACCGCCCGTTACAATCCATACTTTATAGATATTATTATTTTTTTGTTCATTGATGTGTGCGTGTGTTGTGTAAAAAGTATAAATAAATAAAAAATAAATAAATAAAACATGGGTTCCAATTCTGCGAAATGCCAAAAGGCTACCTTTCAAAGAGAATGAATTTCAGAACATTGAATCACACACTAATTCATTTACTTCACAGAATATCACACAACAAACCGCCGATATACGACCGGGTCTTTATACATAGGTATAACCTAAGATCGCGCCGGGCCGGTGAACCGTCTATAACTAATGACGCCACGCCACCCCACTACACATCACTACAATCCCCGCTTGTCAGGGTTTATATAATCTGAGACCGCGGCAGACAACTTACAATTCTTCGAGCAATCGAGGACTCCCACACGTGATGGCGAAACGTCGAGAATCTCTTCTCGTTCACATCGGCCGAACAGCCCGAAAGACAATAATATGCTGATCGATGGCCGTGAAAGCCTTACTCAATTTATTGCCTACCATTATCCTACTACTATTATAAAGGCGAAAGTTTGTAAGTATGGATGTATGGATGTATGGATGTTTGTTACTCTTTCACGTAAAAACTACTGAATGGATTTGAATGAAACTTTACCACAATATAGCTTATACATCAGAATAACATATAGGCTACAATTTTTGAGGTTTTTAATGTCGGGTCGTAAAAAAACACATTTTTTGCGCTTACATTGCAAACGCTGACTGAATCCTACAAGATAGATCAAAACAATGTACTACAGTATTGTACAACTTAAAAAGGTCTCCAAAAAAGTCCGTGATGGTATATGTTTATCTCTTAGGAATAACCCACAATAACCATTTTTTATCCTTTACTTTGTACGAGAAATAATGGCTTATTTACGAAGCGATTTTAAGCAATACAGTATTAATCCTTATCCAATTAAGTATCTTAAATACATTGTGCATTTATTAAAGATCAATATGGCTTTTTACAGCATGTAAATTAAATAAATATTTTCGAAGATATCACAGATTTAAAATGCAGAGTCATAGGAATTTCGGCGATAAATACCGGCAGCGGTGCCAGGCGAACGGGGCGTGGGGGGAGCGGGGTAGGTGCGGTAGGGAAGAAGTGGCTCATCGCTGAGTGCGCGACCCGAAATCGGGCAGACGCGTGAGGGCAGACGTCGTTGACGGTTGTGTCCGTTTTGCGAATTTTCAAGGCACTAGCGATTTGATAAAAACGTATGGTCGCCTACTTTTAGTTATATAAGCCTAAGGTTGTTATTGCCAGGTTTCTTTTTGGTTAGGAGTTACACGTACAAAAAGATACTTCATTTAATTCAATTACTATATAGATAGGTTAATTAAATAGGCAAGGATTGCATTAAAGTACAATCATAACAATAACTACCGTACTGTATTTTTTGGAAGTATAGAAACAACACGTACTTAAGAATTATGCCGCGAAAGCGTAAGTCTAATCTTTCTGAAGCTCTGATAAAACTCGAAATATGAAAGTAGCTAGACTTAACGAGACGTTTCCACAAGCCGAACTGCGAAGGCTTAAACAAGCAGAGCGTGAGGCAGCTCAAAAAGCTGCTGAGACACCAGAGCAGTCCCAAGATAGACGTCGACAGCATGCTGAGTATCTCAACGGGCTGCAGAGACACCCGAACAGTCTCAATCTCGACGTCAACAGAACGCTGAATATCTGGGATCTCAACAGGCTTCTGTGACACCCGAACAGTCGCAGGATCGACAGCATTCGATAAAACTGCATTTGAGTACGATGAAACTCTTGATTACGAAAGCCACAAGCTTATAAAAATAGAAGCGATGAATAAAGAATGCAGATTTTGCGGTGCTCTTAAATGGAAAGAGGAAGCAGGAGGCATGTGTTGTTCGGGAGGAAAAGTAGTTCTTCCTTCAATAGACGAGCCTGTTGAACCTCTTAAAGAACTTTTTTTTCAAATGAAACAGATGAGTCTCGCCGTTTTTTAAAAAACATAAAAATTTTCTCACGGTCAGCTCTATGTGGCTTGCTCACGTCTTTCCAAAGCGAGGAATCTGCATGTTTATGCTGAAGGAAAAAGATCGTTAAATGTAGTTTATAGGAGCATACTGCAGTAGCGACCTATAGACCTATGATTAGGGCTCTGCAGTGCTTAGTTACCGTATTTCTAACTGATTACTAGACTAGACGGGACGAACCTGAAGTCCACGCGAACGAAGTCGCGGGCAAAAGCTAGTGTTGGAATAATCGAAGATGTTAATCAGTCCATGGCAACTGTAATATTTCTTGACATCGAGGACGTAACCAGCGTCCTCCTAGAGGATATAAAGACAAAATTGCCTACACCAACGACATGGATGAAACGTGGCAGCTTAAAATATAAATTTGACAAGCCTCTCTGGATCATACCAAATGTAAGATAAGTTTAATTAAGTCTAACATCGTGCAGTACTGATTTAAGTCACATTGTTTAATTTTTCTGAAGTCTATGAGAAGAAAAAAATGTTCGTATTACAATTTTTTATATAATACTTAAGTAGCCTAGTAGTTAAAACAATTCTGCAATTAAATACAGGGCACTTTGGACATGTGTTCGAAAATCTCTTGTATCTTTGAGACTAATTACAATATTGAAACTTTTCTTAATAATAATTACTGCCAAATATGTGTGCTCCATATATTAGGAAAATATATAAAATTATCCATATATTAGGAAAAATTTTAAATTGCGATTATGATCAAAAATAACAGTTTTATTAACATTTGTGTAAAAAAGTACCCAATGCTCCCCTACCTCCCCTATCTCATAGAAAAACATACAAAATAGATCCAATCATCAATAATTTGTCACAAAAGTTTAAAACGACGTAGACCTTTTATTGTGGACAGGGAATTTGTCCTGGAAACAATATATAGCAACGAAACGAGCTAGATTAGGCAGATGAAGTTATTCATTTTGAGTGAAAGTCAATCTGGATTCGTCCAAAACATTATTTTATACACAGGAAAGGACACAAACTATGGTTCGAACTACCAACAAGAAAAACAATCATCAAGAATTGTTTTGGAGTTAACACATGATTTACTGAATAAATAGGATTTACTTGCATAATTTCTATACATCAATTCCGTTGGCTGAAGTCTTGTGTCAAAACAATACAGACATTGTTGGAGCAATGAGAATAAACGGAGTCGGAATCCCAAGTAAAATAAAAAACAAAAACAATGGAAAAAAATTAACATATCGTAAGATTTAAAGGCAGTTTGCCTTTAAATCTTACGATATTTTTATGTAACGTTTTAAAGTGGAAGGATAAGAAAGACGTATTGATGCTCAATTCTATTCATAATGACGATAGGACAATGATTTATCTTTTATTTATTTTTTTATTTATTAAACAATTAAAACGGCAATAGCCACTTACATTAATTGGAAACGAGTAGACATTACAGTTGCTTAAAATAGGTTATGTATCAATTGCATTCCGACAAAATTTCATAATCAAACAATTTTTTCAGTATTGATGACCGTTGATCTGTGAAAAGATCTGATAGGAGAGAGGAAGAAGATAAGAAAACCCGAACATTATCCCGGATTACAATAAGAATATGGGTCATGTAGATTTGGGAGATGGATTTGGTTGGTTACCCTTCTACGCAGCTGCTCGCAATAGGATAAAAAAATCTACGATTACTTAACATGTGCGGCATAAACACATACATTTTGTACAAAAGGATAGATGTCAATTAGATCGATTACACTTTTTTATAGACTGTGTAGAAATAATAGTTAAAAATAATATTGTTAGAACCCACCCAAAACCATCAACCAGCATGCTTAGTGGAAAGACATTTCCCTGAGCAAATGAAAAGCCATACCGGAAAAACTAAATCCAGGAAATGTCGGGTTTGTTACAAAAAGGCGCTAGAAAAAAATCAACATACCGGGTGGGGTGTTCTACTCTGTGTATTCAATAATGTTCAAAGAATTCCTGATCTCTTTTTATTTTGTATTCTTTGTGTTTTTACTAGCGCCGTAATTGTTTTTAATATTTGTTAATAATTATATACGAGATTGATGATGTTTTCGCATGTGCCGGTATTTTATTATAATTGTTTGAAACTTTGTTTTTTTTTTCATTGTTTTTCATAATTATATCAATAAACAATTAAATACATATTTATTTCACGAATTTTCATTTTGAAAAAATTATATTCTCCGAAAATTAGAAAGGGATTTCCCCGGTTAACCGGTTAAGGAAGATCTCATTAATATTCCTTTATTTAAAGTGTCTTACTTCTTATATTTCAAAAAATTATGTTTGAGCGTCTAATGACTGCCCTGCGCGTTTGGGTCACCCAAATGGGCAATGTTAAATAAAAAACATTTTTTTACTAAATGTTTAACTACTATTACCAGTAGGCTAAATATATATTGTTTTTTTTTTCTTAGCCTATGGTTAAAAAAAATGTTTTGTTTAAGTTTCCTATCTACCCTACTGATTGGAAAGGCGATTATGGTAAATTAATTGTTAAATTAGAAAGTTTAGTGGCGTCCTCAGTTTCTACAATAACAAGTATGATTTGGCACCGTAGACTAGGTCACATTAATAATAAATTTGGATAACACAGCTTGACATGGGGCCAGTTTAGTTGTTCACGCAAAAAGGAGGTATAGACTACTTTTTCGCCATTACATCTTAATATAACTCACTTTAATTTTACTTCCCCATTTTAAGTTCCAGACCCGGGCCCGTTTTGGCTTGGTTTTTTTTCAAAAGGGTTTTTTTTTTTTTTCCCCCAAAATTTTTTTTTTTTCCTTTTTTTTCTTTTAAAATTTTTAAATTTTTATTTTTCCCCTTTTTTTCCCCCCCCCTTTTTGGGGGGGGGCTTTTTTTTCCCCCCCCCCCCTTTTTTTTTTTTTTGGGGGGGGGTTTTTTTTTTTTTTTTCCCCCCCCCCCTCCCTACAATTTGTCTGTGTTTTTTTTGTTTTTTTTTTTTCGCCATTATGTTAATTTGGCATTTGATAATAAAGACAGAAAATTCTATGCATGATATTGTTACGTATACTCAGTTTGTTTAGTAAATCTCATAAAAGTAGAAAGCAACAGACAGTTTTGTTGTGTACTGAAGCCGAATGCAATATCCGAAGCTAATAAATAAGTTATTTTCGTGAAAAATTATAATAATTAACTAATAGACAAACTAACATGTCCATTATAAAGTATAATGAGTCAAGGTTCTTACAATTTACTAAGAACTCTGTATATGATAGACTGTATGCACTATTTAATATATATAAACATTAAATACAGTTGATGGATAATTATTAAGAGAAGATTTTAAATGTATGTAATGTTATATATATAATTATTTTGAATAATGATACCCTTGTATTTAAGAGCCAATTAATATGAACAACAATCATAGTGTAGACATTCAAAAGTAATGGTATGAAAAAGGACTCACCGAACTTGATGTTGAAAAGCGTTGGAATCCTGCGTAGCTGGAGGCTTCACTCAAAATGTTTACTGGACGTGCACTCTTGCGTCGTAAATGGGCAAGAGGCAAAAACAGTAAAGAGCTATTTATGCACACATAGGAAGGTGATGCAAGGGGGAACACAAGTTGAAAAAGATGAAGTGTTAGGTAGGTAAATTTCATTTTATAAGGGAAGCTGTTTGTATTAAATTTGTTAAATTAGAATATTTAAGAAGTTGCTTAATGCTAGCCGACTTATTGGCTAAGTCTAAAATAACCATTATTATTTTATGAATAAGATGCGTGTTGTAGCATTATAGAAGTAATATTACATTATAGTTTGTTTTGGTAAGTAGAAGTCTTGAATTTCAATTTAGTTAAGTGGTGGTATTATTTTATTGTAACTAAAAAATAATAATAATGTATAATCTGTATCCAGTATTGAATATGTAATTGGAGTCTTGGCATCAGATAGGTCGGAAAAGATGAATGAAAGTGGCATTTCTCAAAAATGTCTTGGTGTTGGGTTGATTCCTGTTTGCAAAGTGCATTTGTGGCTTCGATGTTTTCATTATTACAGTGGATACATTTTGTTTGTATATACAAAAGGCTACGCTTAGTTTTTTGTATGAATAACAATCTTGTTTAAACAAAGCGGCTACCTACCTATTTAGGTACACCGACAATTTTAAAAACAATGTTTGTTTATCTAAAATTTATTTGTATCCATCCCCAACCGTACCTATCAACTGTTTGTCTTAAAAAATAATGCTACGAAGGCTCTTTTCCGCAAGTCCAAGATTCAACTTTCACTTTTCAAAGTACCAACTTAAGGTACTGTGTCAAAACCCTAAATTAAATATCACAGTTTAGTTATATCTTAACGTTACTTAGACTAGTACAATCTTCTTTCTTCAGTCTTGAGGTAACAAAATGAAAGGCGTAGTTATTTTAAATGCCAATGTTAATTAAAAACTTACAGAATCTTAGAGACGTATAGGCATGATATAATAGCGATAGATAAAAACTAAAAAAAGTGTATTCTTCGAGAGTAGTACACATTTAAATAGATCACTTGAACGGTTTAAAACGCGGCATATTATTAGTCCACCAGTCGCGGTAACTTCTAAGTATCCAAAACGTCGTCGTTGTCATAGTCAAAATAAAAAAAGTAAGTTAACTAATATATTTAGCGTTTACATCCTTTCCAGTTTTGTCTATTCATAAAGTATTGGCAAAAAATTTCAAAGATATATAGATTGTTTTAAAAATCAGTGTGTATATCATGCCTTAATACGCCACATTTTCGTCATGGCAAATCTATTTAAGGGGTAGATCTAAAAATAGGGTTGCCATTTACAAATAGAATCCTTAACTAAAGGGTAGTTGGAAAAAAACATTTAACATAGGGCAAACAATTCTTTTTTCAAATCTTCATTCTTTTTTTTATATAAGGGGTCACTTTAACTTAGCCTTATAAAGGCAGTCAAAACAATAATGATTAATTGTGAACTCAGTCCAAAACTACAGAACATACAAATTACTCTACGTTATATTTTCCTCCAACTACCCGCAATAATCCTTTACATATACACAAAATTGAACCTGCATAAACTCTGTGATAAGGACGATATGATGGGCCCATACCCCTGAGCGTTATCGTACAATTCAAATAGGGGAGCCGCGACCAACTTATAGTTCTTTGGCACAGCGAATAAAGCCCTATCTTGCAATTGCACTAAAAAGAGCCGCTTGTGCTCTTTCGGTTTTGTAATGTGGGGGGGAATGTACGGATACTGAGGCGGTTCAAAGTTTGGTCTCCACCAATTGCCTGAAAAGATTAATTGTACTATTATATTATTTGTGGCAGTGAATACTGTATATAGTTTACGCGAGTAGTACACATATAAATAAAACACTAACAGTTTAAAACTAGACCCCGTGACCACGGCTGTTGCAATAGCATCCGAAAAATCGGGCCATAGTTAAAATAATTTTCTAAATAAGTTTAACTCATATATATCGCGTTTTAAACCGTAAGTGTTTTATTTAAAAGTTAAAATTTAATTCTACAAAGCTTTATAACATTAACTAAAGCATTTTTGCGAGATCCTGACTTAATTAGGTTGATTCTTTAATTTTATTTTGTTCCAGCAAGGAAGCCAATATATTAGAAAATTGTAAGCCCCTTTTTGCCGTTGTATCTACTTCTAAGATAACTAAACTGATCATAATCAACTTACCAATGGTATCTTCTATCAGCCAATCCTGTTTAACACCATCCTGTCTTCCAAGAGTCTCTGTCAATAATCTTTTCAGACCTTCTATTTCATCCTAAAATATGATAAAGATGTTATTTATATATATTTAATATTTCTGTAGACTTAACTGGACTGAGATCTTCTTGTTCCATGTTTACTGATCGGTTTTAATATACACAAAAGTCACCCAAAGTCCAACAAACCCAAGTTCTCTTGAACATAACACAATGCTAAGCAACACATTTATTGGGGGTTGGGAAAATGTTTTGTTTGTGGGAATTTTTTTTATCATTTTAAAACAGTCAGTTTTCCTCAATTCAAAACACGTAACAAGACATAGAATTAGTGATTCTTTTAAAACTTTTGCATATAAGTAGTATTAAAAAGAAAATCTAATTTTATTGAGTACAGTCAATAAGTTTCAATCATGTATAACAAACAAACTACTTGTAAAGGCTAATTATAACATATATCAATATAGCTACAATAACAATGCTGACTATTTCAAGGAAGCCACAACAACAGACAAACAGTATGTAAGTGAAACTTGGCAAGCAATGGTTTCATACCAGTTCTTCTCTTTCATTCTACACTCTAGATTTGAGGACTGGTACCAAATGTAAACCAGACTTTTGTTTTAATATATTGAAGTTTTAGTAAGAAAATTAGCCACAAATTCAACTGATAAATAATAATTATTGAAATTCTAACTAATTTTATTCTCTTTGACTTATGAAATCCACATATATTAATAACTCACTTCTCCGGGATTTAATTCACCACCAGGCAGCTTGAAGAACGCTGTCCCAAGTTGCAATAACAGGACATGTGGTAATCCGTGCTCATGGACTAGTAAGACACCTTCAACAGACCTGAAATTAAATTATAGCATTCATAGCCCATGCACAATGTAAGCACATCTAAGAAAGCAGTTTTATCTGTTTATAATACTATATCCAAGCAGACTAAAATACTGCGTAATGCGTAAGTTTTAAAACCAACCAAGCAACTTGGCTTTCTTTGATTGCAATGCATCACCAGTCTCAGAATATTTTCAAAAAAGAACTGTTGTGTATTGGTATTTAATTAACAAATCACATTACAATTATTAAATCCGTGAAAATACTTTTGTATGAAACAATTTATCGTTTTTCCTAACTTTCTGCTGCAGCAATAGCAAGCTAATAGCAATTTTTGGCCTCCTAGGGAACTATGGCCTCAGATAAACACAAGTAGCTCGTAGTAGTCGTGTTGATAAGATCAAAAAATTGCAATTATTTATCAGAACAAGTTTAACATCTAAAACCTACCTCCTCATGCCAATTTTTGAGAATTCTTCGCGCATCCTCTGAAATCTAGCCGGCACTGACGCATCCTTCTCGAAAAGCGGTTCTTTTGTGCCAAATGTGTAATTTGTTAGTGGATACAAATTGATCGATCTGTTCAGTGTTAAACTGGAGGGATTCTGACTGTTTTGATGCTGTACACCCGGACGAACCGGCCACTGCGGCTTAGCTTGAACAGCGGCCATTTTAAAATATTTTTGCTCTAATAATGCAAGATCCGAGAGTAAAGATGTATATTGAATCAAAGCACTCGACCCTTATACGTGCTAAATATATAATTACTTGTAAAATAGCAGTTTCGAGTCCACGAGTAAACAATAAAGAATTCACGCTAACAAGTTAACAAATGCCAAAATCACTGTAACACAGGAAAAGCAAACCTAAAGAACGGCATAACTACGGCAGACTGAACATTTTGCTATAGATAGTAGAAACAATATAGACTACACAAACAATGATAACATGTGTCTATAGAGAATCAAGGAGTGACATCAATTTATCGCTAACATGACAATTGACAGCCATGACAGTACGAAACAATACTATCAAATGTTTAAAGTAAAGAACTAAAATTATAAATTGATTTGCATACAACTAATATTTAAATATTAAACTTATGTCTCACCAACTTGAGTTATTAACCGAGAATCCTTCACAATGGACAACTGTGTCATTTATCACACCGGAGATCCAGAAAAAGGAAATAAAGCCATTCCTTTTATGTAAGTTATTATGGTAATTAAATTAGACACCCTTATATTTTTCTCAACTAAATACTCTGTAAAATACTTTTTAACTCCAATTTTATAACAAAGATTGAAGGTTGTTTTATTTATTCGTCTGTTTCTTGCGCACTTTATAACTGCTGTCAAAAAAATATATATGTTTCTTATATATTTCAGTGGCTCTAAAAGAGTTAGAAGGTAACCCAGACAACAGGACAAGGAACCTTATGAATGCAGACAAGTTCTCAGCTGTAAGATCTGTAGTCCGACATGTTTCAAGACTGCGTTCGGCTAATAAGGAACCCTGGCTAGAAGAGGATATGAATTTATTTCTAGAAAGTTTAAAGTTGGTATTGCTTTTATTACATACAGTTACTGTGTTCTGTATTATCTAGAACTTACCCAGTTAAGGATCAGGTTCAAAGCTTTGGGTTGAGCCAAATATTACTTGCTGGGTTACTATGGTCTGAACTCTTAAAACACGCTATGTGTAAGGAGACCTCTGCCTAGTGTATATATTAAAAGAGTTGAAGAATTAGAAAACTATGGCTCCATCAATTTGAGATCCAGAGGCTGTATGTCTGAAGGCTAATATTTCTGATTAAAATTGTAGGTTTAGCCCAGAATGTATTAGCGAGTTAACAACACTGCTTTGCACTGATAAAATATATGAAAACATTCAAAGGCATCTTAGAATAAAACCTGGTATTGCAAGCTTAGAATGGAAGATTGATGTGTCTTTAAGGTTGGTGCAAGTTTTAGCCTTTAAATAATTTTTACAGCTAGGGCACGTACATGGGTACATGACTTGACCCATACAGCCAAAATTAATACTATGAAACACTATTAATTGTTTTAAACACTGTAAAATTCAAGATATATGTAACATATTTTACAATTGATCTTGGTCCACACAAACCATTTCAGTAATCATAATAACTTTCTTTGCAGCCAAACCAATATAAGACAGGAGAATGCAAGTCCCGAACGGACTAAAGAGATAATGTACAGAGATTCCCAGGTCTTACTCACGTTGAACTTGACAAATGGACAGAAGCACATTTGTAGATTGAGTATTAGCAAATTCCATGAACTGCGGTATGTGATAGCCAGTGCATTGAAGAGTATGATTGTGCTGGAGAAGCGAAAGTGTATGCGAAAAGACTGATTTTGTGTTGGGGCCCCTAATTTTACATATTGTGTTGAAACAAAATGAAATCTTGTTGTTAATTACTTAAAATTAAGGCCTTTATTTTTATATTTACTTATATTGCCCTAAATAGGAGCATTAAGATGATAAATGAATTTTAATTATTCATTTAAGTTAATTTGTTCAACAAATTCAACATTAAAATTCTATATGTTACTTAGGACATTCCAATTCTATATGTACTATATATACTACTAAAAATAATGTTTCTGCAAAGTTATGAATTTGTATATCTTTAAATAAATTGTGATATTATCCTTCCCATAAATGGTATCTTACGAATGTTTTAAACAAAATAACTGTTAGTCCCAATCAATACAAAAAATAATGTATTGATTAAAGTCGACCACCTGTGAAACTAGAAAGCATAAAACCAAGAATGTATCAATAATGTAAAAAAATTAGTAACACATTGACAGGTAATATTTCAAATACTGTCTGTAGTTTACGAGAGCAGTACACGTTTAAATAAAACACTTTAACGGTTTAAAACGCGGTATATATTAGTTAAACTTAATTTTAAATTATTTCATTAGGTCTCCCAGTCACCATCGGGTCGTGGTTAAAATAACTTTAACTATCAAATAAGTTTAACTGATATATAACGCGTTTTTAACTGTTAGTGTTTTATTTAAAAGTAATATTTTTCTTAATCAAAATCTATGTTTATGAAAATTGGGTCTATGTTATAAATATATAATAAGAACTTTATGTTGGGGTCCAGGCCAAAACCTGAAGTCCTAGTTATGAAATTTTAAATATTTAATAAGAGTTGGTGCTGTATAATATCAAAAGAATGAAAAATGGTATGCATATGTATTCAAAAGATTGTGAAAGTATTTTTCCTAATAAACATTTTTAAAATAAATATATCTAGACTTTCAATACATATATTGTTTTATATTTTTGTCACCATCGCTCATTTGTAAAATAATTTGGTAGGACACAATTCTGTGTCTGCTTGAAAGATTTATTTAATTTTAACAATAGATACATGTAAATATTTTTATTAATTTTTACCCCTCTGATAATAGATTACAAGTAACACAACCTTTGTTGTTTTTCTAAAAAAATTGTAGTCATAATGTCGAATTGCCTAACTTGAGAAAAACTTAAATATCCTAACGCGTTACGCAACGAAACGATATAACCTCCTTTCAGTTATCTAATGGAAAACCGGCTGGCTTAACTTTTCCTCTCTTTCTTGTGCTGTAGTCATTTCTGAAACGCAAAGTCCGGTATTAGATATGAAAACTGAAACATTATTAAGACTGCTAATCTAAGAAACTCTTATTTCAATAAGACTGCTCTACTGCTGCTGCAATAAACGGCTGCTACTAAGCTCGAAAACAGCTTTTGAAATAGCTGCGTGAGGAAATTAGTAAAGAAGACATTATATTATTGTTTTTTTTTCTAATGACGTCACCGATCGAAAGTGATCAGTCCACATAAACTGCTGACCCTTTCCCCCGTTTCCCCTCGGCGTATATATCTAGGTAATCCAGTCTTTTTAAGCTCTTACTGCCTATATACCTGAGAAGTACAAGGGTTGATAAAAAATAAGATTCCGTATTAATATAGAACATTATAAGGAAGTGCCTTCAGTTGCAAAAGTTAAATATTACATTGCGAGTACCATAAAGGATTAACTCCTTAAATATCATTCCCAGATAAATGGGCGGCCTAACACAAATAACTATTTATCTTTAATAAGTACAATTACAAACAATCTTACTTTTTTCATACCTTGTGTTTGGCTGCCTGGTGCGCTTTCAATGAAGCCTGTTGGGTGAAGGAATCACCACAGTGGCAGGAATAAGGTCTTTCCCCTGTGTGTATCCTCATGTGGACTTTAAGGCCAGATTTCCTCTGAAAATAAATAACAGGATCGTCATTCAGATAAACTTTGTATATTACTAATAACAATCGTAGATAATTTAGCCAACGGAGTACAGTGGAGCGCAGTAGAGCGACGAAGTACAGTGGAGCAGTAAACGACGAAGTACAGTAGAGCACGGATACAGTGGAGCCAGTGAGCGACGAAGTACAGTAGAGCGCAGTAGAGCTACGGAGTACAGTGGAGCGCAGTAGAGCGACGAAGTACAGTAGAGCGCAGTAGAGCGACGAAGTACAGTGGAGCGCAGTAGAGCGACGGAGTACAGTGGAGCGCAGTAGAGCGACGAAGTACAGTGGAGCGCAGTAGAGCGCCGGAGTACAGTGGAGCGCAGTAGAGCGACGGAGTGCAGTGGAGTGGAGTAAAGCGACTGAATAAATAATACAGATTAAATAGAGTAAATAATAAATCTAAAAAAATATTATTTTTTTTTCATTTCTGAATTACGACTGTTGAAATCGACTTGAACTTCGACTTACAGTAAACATCTTGTAGCAAACACCGCAATCAAACTGATTCTTCATCTCTCCGCTAGAGTGCGCCCTCCTCACGTGTAAGTTTAGGGCTTCGGTCCCGCTGTAAACACGGCTGCAGCGTCCGCATTGCGTCGTCTTCGGTACATTATGGAGACTCGTTTCGTGGTAGTCCAGTCTGGCTTTGGTTAGAAACTTCTCCAGACAAATGGTACATTGGTGCCTGAAAAAATATTTTTAATACATGAAATGTTACCAAAGGATTAGAAAGGTATGTAAAGGAATATGTTTTAGATCTACTATTGAACTTACTTGTATTCAGTTGGATCGGTATGTTTTTTGCTACGTTTGAAGTGTTGTTTCAGAGCTTCCTGAAAGATATGAATAAAAACTGTATATTATGTAAATAATACTGTCTGTAGTTTACGCGAGTAGTACTCATTTAAATAAATCACGTTGTGGTTTAAAACGAGATATATGTTGTATATACGGAGAGACTCCCTCCGTGGCCACGTCGGGCCATAGTTCAAATGATTTCCAAATACGTTTAACATACATATCGCGTTTTATTTAAAGTAAATAATAATTAATTAGGTCCGTGTCACGAACCATTGTCCACAGATGTAAGAGCAGCGAAGTTTAATCGCGTTTCGATTTTAGTCAGTGGATTTCGGAATATGAAAAGCCAAAGAAGGTAGAAAATGCTTCTTGTTAACATGAGGCTGCTAGAGGCAGAGTGGCCTAATAACAAGAAAAATGATTTTAAATAAGGAGGAAAACCAATATGCGAAATTAACTTAGGTAAAAATGAATTTGTACAATTATTTGTAACAATTTTCGATCACTTGTAGATAAACATTTTTAGTCTATGAAAATATAAAAACTTCAAATAAAATTGCAGTAAGGCAATGCACCTCTAACGGCCTCATATGGGGTTGGGATATTTCGCCTTCCATCAAGGAAACAACTTGTCTTTGCTTGCTTGTCTATGTTCTGTCATAAACAATAGAACATACCATAGACGTAAAGCTGGTGTCACACTCGACGCAATAAGACTCTTTGTCTATGTGCACAGACCGAATGTGCTTTTGTAGAAGAGATTTGAATATGAAGGACCGTTTGCAACTGTCACAGGAAAAACGCTTCTTAGCATCATGGCGGCTGAAAAAAAAAATATATGTAGCCTATGTAACGAAATTTAGTTAAACATGAGAAGACCTGCATTATCATACAATGATTTTCGGAACATTTCATTTAAAAAAATTAGGAAAATCCCTAAAATTAATTCACGCAAATGCACAGATTATAATTTCTTTAGTTTGACATTGGCATAAGGATGGGATGTCAGCAAAGTCAAGGACAATAGAAGGTAGAAGTCACATTTATGCGCTAACTAGCTAACTGACAATAAAACTCGCGTTAAAAAATAATTACACGAAAATTAAAAAACAAATTCGTCATAACGTCATTTTGAATATTGAGATCGTTTGGTCCAAATAAATCGATATTTTTTCATCTTTGTATCATCAGTGACAACTTCTTCACTCTACAAAGGGTCATCACTAGTTCTCTATGGTTTGAAATCGGCCATATTTGTTGTGGTCTTTTGCCAAGTTAGAAAAAATAGACTATAGTAATAATGTCTACTTTATTCTTAAAATTGCATAGTTCATTAAAACTTTTCTGATACACGAAATCATTTGTAGTCAAACTCACACTTGGCCATTACTCACGTCGTATGAACACGCAGGGTTTCCTTACTCTTGAATGTTCTCCCACACTCGTGACAGGTAAAATGTCCACTCTCCGAGTGAGTTCGGGCATGTCGCTGCATCACTGTTCGTTTGCTGTAGGTTTGGAGACAAGATCTTTGATTTTTGTTACGTTAAACAAAAAAACAAAAAATGAAAAAAATGTTTGTTTGTGATGAGGATGATTGAGAACAGGCACGCTTCATGGTAGGTGAAAAACCAGAAATTAAATCAAAAATTATTTGTTCATGTGGGTAGCTGGGTCCCTTATGAAAGTCATTACCGTTAAAAATTTAACTTCCATATGTACATTTACTACCAATTCCCAAATCCATAAACATATACATCTGTCTGTCTACCTATTGTGACTTTAAACATTAAAAAATCTACAGTCTGAAACCGAAACGCGATTTATTGACGTGTTTTATCTGTGGACTGAGGTGAGTATACTCTGCTTACCCCTTATATCTATACCGATATACAGGGTGTGAGGGATCGGACTGCCGATACTTTACCAGCGTGTTGTACGTCAAATTTTACCGACAAAATACTATACAAAGTGGGGTCCCACGTCTCATCCCTCTGAATGGGAGCCATTTTAGAATTCTTTTTTTGTACTTTTACGAGTTCATTGAAACTCGTTTGTTTTATGGTTTGTTGTCACTACGCGGAGCGAGAGATAACAGACTGTTAATGAAAAACAAATGCACAAGGCACCCTCTATCGTATTTCGCGGGGAAGGATTGCAAATACATTTTTGACATCCAAAACAACTATTCTACGCGGACGAAGTCGCTGGCACATCTAATATAAAATAAAAAGCAATGACTAACCTGTTAGTCGAAGATTCCTCAGACTAACGTTAAAACGATAACTTTCTGGATGTGTTAAAATAAAATACTCACTTAGTTGTAAAATTGCAATTATTACACTTATAGTCCGGCGTATAGGCCGTGTGATCCAGTAAATAGTGTTCGATTATGTGTTGCCGGGACAGGCGTATGATATTGCAGACTTTGCATTTGTACCTGAAAATATAATGGTTTTTGTTGTAACACTTTCGACTGTAACAGCCGTGATCACGGGGGAACCGCCGCTTAACGAATATATTACATTTAAAAGTGTTTTATTTATAATTTATTCGTGTTAATGTATGTAAGAGGTATATAATAAAAAGGCATGTGTAACTTATTCACTGTTACCCCAATAGTAAATATGTAATAAAACAATTTCAACTGTTTAAAACGCGAACTGTTATATTGTTTTAGCCACAACACTAGAGAGCTTATTATTTTAAATACGTCATAGAAATACAAAGTTATTATTGAACTCTTGTTTATCCGATTATATCCTAACAGTGAGAAATTTTATCAAAATTTGCTTCGTATTTTTTATTTTAAAAATCTACCAATCACGGACACGGACGTAGGATCAAAATAATGATTCACGTTTCAAATGTGGGGCAAGCAATTATGAACCTTCCAAGCAATATTCAATTTTAATAAAAATTATAACTTTATCAGCAACCTGTATAGTAGTACATATTAGTTACCACCCTGTATAATAACAAAAATGAGTTTTCATAGATGAATACTTACTTAGTTGTATGTGACTTCATATGACCTCGCAGAGATACAGCGCTAGGGCAATATTGTGTACATATATCGCATTTGAACGTGCCATTTTTCTGTGAAAACATATTAACAAAATTAATTAACAAAATCGGCTAGACTGTTGAAACGCGATAACTTTACACTACAGTTGACGTCCCATTTATTATTTTCTTTCGGGGACACCTGTGGTAGGACGGGTGATCAGTTCACGTTATCAGCTGACCATTTCACCCATGTTGACGTCCCATACCAATGATTATGATATCGAAGGTTCAATAGTAGCGAATAATTAAAGAACTAAAGCTAGTAAGCTACTACTAAAGACTTCTATTCCCACAGGGTCCAACATATTACAAAAAAAAAACAATGAAATGGAGATTTTCGTTGAAAATATTTCATTTTAACTCCTTTTATTTGACAGAATTAACGTTTAAATAAAACTGTCGTAACAGTTTAAAACGCGAAATATATCATATTTTATTTTATCTATGGCCCAATGTTTCGGATGCATTGGGAGAGGCTGTGTAAGTGGTATATTTCACGTTTTAAACCGTTGAAAGTGTTTTAAATATGTGTACTACTCGCGTTTACTGCAGATAAGAACTAATGTTTCTTCATTACCGGCGAGTGTTTCTCCATATGACCCAGCAACACATCCTCGAAGTTAAAATATTTGACACACTGTTCGCATTTGTACGGCGCCTCTTTGTATTTTTCATTTGTTTGTTTGTTCGTTGACATTTCTTCTAATACCTGAAATAAGTTTTAGACAATAATATAAAAGAATGGGTCAACTTCTATTAAATTAAATGTTATGCGACAAATTTTACAACCCTGTTTAGCCCCCGGTTAAATAGTAAGCAGATAATATGTACTGTTTACAGATTCTTCTATTGGTGTCCACTTCAACCACCAAGGGGTTGAGTTTTAGAACATCAAGGTGATGCTAATACTAAACGGGTTCTTTGGTCTAATGGAGAAATGTATGTCTAATAATCAACGAAACGTGGGTTCGATTACCACCAGGTCAAATAAAGCCGGCAAGTTTAATCGTTTTTTGATTTCCCGTCGTCCAAAGCTACAGGTCAACATCTTCTTGAGATTTTATATTGCTGGGGTACTCCTTTCATCAAGTAAATCCTGTGCTTGTTTATCTTCCTCAATCATTTAAAGTCAATTGGCTATATGAATAGATTGTTATTTATGTGGATACCTGTTCTTTGGTTAGTTTAATAACTGTATACTCATTGGTTTCCCGGACCATTCTAGAAGAAAATCCCGCTGGTATTGCATCTTTTTTACTCTTTTTGCGGTTTTTATATAACTTTATTTTGGATTTATTGTTCACAGGTTCGTGTGTCTTCTAAAAATTATATGTTATGAAATAAATACAGTTCAGTCTAAATAAACTTTAATAATAAAAAATAACTTAATCAGTTACTTTGAAATAATCTATGACAAAGACAGGTTCAAAGCCATACACCCTGAGCTAACAATTCATTTTATTAAGTAATGTTTTTAGCTAACTAATTTTCAACTTTGACCCAACGTTTCAGATCCTTAGTAGCATCTGTGGACCAAACAAGTATACAAGTGTGTAATTTAAATGTCTAATTAGTTTAGATGTCCGTAGATCAGATCTTATGCTTTACTAATGCAGTTATCATGAATGGATAGACTTCGAGCCCAATTTCCATGCATAATCCTCTGAGTTAAGCTAGCTATATATCTAGAATAATGTTTTGTAAATAAACTAACCGTTCCATTAGATGATGGGTCAATAAAATCTGTGATATCATTTTGAAAGACCAGTATTTCTTCACTCAGGGTCTGTGATAGAGGTTTTTGGTCATCATCAAAGTCCTGAAATTATAAATAATTTTACAAAACAATATACCCAAATTCCAAACAATTTAGACATATATTTTTTCCCTTGTCTAATTTTATCATTTGATTTCATTACCTCACAACCATCATTTGCTAAAAATGTTAATGGCATATCATCTTCATCGTCAGAGTTCTCTGCTTTGATTGAAACAAAATCCAAGGAATCACTCTTAATTTCAGACGTGGATAGGCTGTAAACTCTCTCTATGGCAGGTATTACCTGATGTGGAAGAATGAACAAGAAAAAGAAGAAAATCAAAATTGATAATAAATAAAAAATAAAAAATATTTACGACTGGGGCAGGACTTGAACCGGCATCATCAGCATTCCATGTTGTTTCTCTAACCAATTGAGTAACCGAGTCATTTTTTTTTCAATTATAATTGATTTTTAATTTATATTAAAGTGTGAAATTCCAATATGTTTCAAAAAAATATAAATTAAAGAATTAGAAACATGGTAGCGGGGTTTAAACCCATTGATTTTTAGCCACACATTGCTACCATTAGAACAACAGCTAGCGAGTCTGCGTTAGTTAAGTTTTCAAACGTTAAGAAATAACAGTGTCCCATAGCCAAGTAATGTAATTTTTTTCTATTCTTAAACATATATTCATTTAAAATAAACAAGGAAATTGTTTCCTTGTTTATTTAATACTGACTTGGTGCAGTGACTGCAAATACTCCTGTGCTAATTGACACTGCTTTATAAACTTTGCCACTTTTCCTAATAAATGGTGACACAGGGAACAGAGAAGCAACTTATTGTCATATTCAGTCTGAAACCAAATTATTTTTTATATGTAATGTAAAGAAAATAAAGTGTAAATTTCCTTTCCTGCAGTGTTTTGTGACTTTTTTCAGTAGGACTTGTACAACTGTACGAGATTTAATAAAGAACGATTTACCTTCAATAAAAGTCTTTTAAATAAATTTTGTTCTAGTAAATTCATAGGTTTTAAGTTATTGGCACATTGTAAACATGTATGGCAAAAACTTGTGATGTTTTCAGTCATATTTATTTATTCTTTTATTCTTAAAGGGTTTCTATTTAAAAAATAAAGAATTATTAAAATGTTTGGCTAGTTGAGCTGGGAATTCAAAACACAAACAATACAGACGAGGCCAAATACATTTTTCTGTCATATATCAACTACCATTTTGACAGACTTCAAAAGTTTCTCAATTACTGACTTTATCTGGGATTGCTAGTCTGTTCCACTTTTTTTTTTTTGTATCGCATCTGTCTACTATACAAGTTAGTAGTTGTCAATTGTCAAATATTTTATTTGTTTATTTACAAAGTAGCTTTTGCGGTTTTGTAATAATTTGTTTTACATATTATTATGAGGTTTATTGAATAGAATAAATTTTTCTTTTCCAAATATATTTTATTGGTATCTAAATTAAGGTGAGAGTAGATGACTATTTGAACTAAACTTTAATACAGCAGAGAAGATCACCAGATTACTGCGTCCTTCCTGGAAACAATGTTTTTTTTTTTAGATTGGATCCCAATGTATATTGCAAAAGGGGGATGCGGCTTGCAGTTAAAAAAAACTCAATTAGACATAAGCCACAATGTCATTGTGCTAATAGCATAGGTTTAAATTCCGGTTTTATAAAAATCAATCTACTTTCAGATTACAATGGGAGATACGGTGTTTATAGATGTCTCCGCTGAGCTATATGATAATTTGGACCCTACAGAAAATATTGATAAAGAAACAGTTAAGGATGAAATTGAATATGATAGGTAAATTTAAAATGGGTCAACTAGGTCAAAAAAAGTTGTGTCACAAGCAGGGTATCATACACCTCTTCCTCACTCCACTGTAAAAATTGACTGCAGGGATTAAAAGTCCAATCTAAATAATTATTTTCATAATGCTTAATTCCTTTTTGACCACCTCTGTAGCCACATGGTTAAACATATTGCCTAGCATTGTGTTAAGCGCAAGAGGTCTTGGGTTCAAATCCTAGGGAAACATAAAATTGTTTTGGTTGGGCAGGGCACAGAAGTCTGATCAACTACTTGCCTGTTAAAAGAACGGTTCAGTGAAGCGGACACAGAAATGTGTTCGTCCTATGCCCCACGAGGGAGAAACAGGCTTTCACACACATTATTTCTTTAAAGCAAAAGGTTAAATAGACTATTTTCTATTAATATCTAATGGAAGTAGAGTGTCACCTACACTTACTACATAGTGTGACTCTCGGGATTGGAATCTGTGGCAAAAAGACAACACTAGTAACTCATTAAGGTAACAAGATTAAGATTAATATATATACTATGGATTTTCAGCTCCCAAGAGGGTGAGTCACTATTACCAAAAACTTGCAAGTTTGTATGCTCAGAGTGTGAAAGATATTCAGCTGAAACAGAAGAGCAGTTAACTCGACACATTCTCAAGGTGCACAGAGGAGAAAATCCATTCCAATGTTTCATGTGCGATTATACCACTTCAAATAAAGGTTAGTTGTGGTAAGGTAGGGAGTTTGATTACCAAAAATTGTTTTGTACACCTGACATCAGCACTCAGATTTACTAAATTGTGAATTTTGCCAGATAACCAACTCCAATTTAACAAATTGTGTATCACGCAACACATTGTCAGAATCTTCATATATTCTTCTATCTTATGTCTTTACATTTAAACTATAATGTGATTAGATAAATAAATTCAGTATTTCAGCTTTTTTATTAAACTTCCACTGTATCAGAAACTGGCAACTGTTTTTTTGTATTACAGGAAACTTTGAAGAACACGTCCGCCGTCACGAAGGAAAGAAACCCTTCAAATGCGCTTATTGCCCGCATCGAAATGTGTCAAAGAAGAATCTTAAAAAGCATGAACTAATCCACAGACCCGACAACCCATTGAAATGTCCCCACTGTGACCACATAGCGAAACATAAAAGAGGTTAGATAAGACTAGATAAACAAGGAATCTTCCTATATTTATCTTAATGTTTTGGTGTTTTGTCTAGTAAGGGCATGTTTCACTGTAATACAAACGTTTTCCTTTTTTGTTCTCAGGATTCACGTTCCATGCAAAGAAGTTCCATTCCACACAAGATGGCATCTTAACATGTGTTAAATGTGACACGAAATTCGAAGATCAGGCAAGTTTAACAGATCATGTCAATTGTCAAGTGACGTGCGACAAGTGCGATTTTAGCGCGTGCAACACACTCATTTTGGACGAGCACAGTCGCAGCCATGACAGAAAGAAAGTTAAGAGAAAAAAGAATGAATGGACCTGTGCTATCTGTGGTTGGCAGTCGAGCAAGCATCCGAAGATTTTGTTGCATTTAATACATCACCCGAACCAAGAGGTACAAGGGATAGATATAAGTATATTGCAGCGGCACGGAATAATGACGTAGACTGCATTTTTTAAATAAAAATATTATTCGAACAAAGAGGTTATTTTTTTCTCCATTAAGAAACTCTATATAATTAATCACAGGGTCAATAACGCTTAACTTATACGTATAAAACTTAAGTTGTAGTCCTATATTATATTCTACACTGCACATGCTTTAAAATTAGGTCAAATTAATATTAACTGGCAACCCCCAACAATCTATGCCTGAGAGTTCACGGCCTGTAAAATGTAAAATCAAATATTAATGAATTAAAACACATTTTACGGTTTAAAATGCGATATATATTAGTTGTTTAAAGTACCTTAATAGTATGTGTGTATCAGTGCATATATATATTAAAGTACCGTAATAGCTACTTTAAGTACTATACAAAAATGTAGCAGTGTAAATTTTTTTTTTATATTTTCGTGTACAGCTTTATCCGTACCCTTTTATTCTTTCGTGGGGTTCCATTATATGACTGTACCTGTAAATATGTGTTAAATATTTGAGAATCATCTCTCTAACATTTGTACCATTCGACAAGCAATTGAAACAGAAGTATAAATGTGTCCTTTTATGGCCTATCAGATGAGAAATTAAATGAACCTTTAATTAGATTGTGCTGTCAACCGAATTTTCGCTAAGGATTTTCGAAAATCCTAGTTAAGAATCTGAAGATTTTTTTTACATTATTAATTAGATATACTGATACTAATTTTACCAGTATTTCTAATCAAAATTCAGTTTACACTATATTTTTATGAAAAAAATTAATGTATTTATGGATGAAAATGGTAAAATATTCAATTAATGCAATATTTATTATATTTTTTTTATTTAAAGCTTGCCCCTTGAAATATTTAATTAGATTCTGATTTTATTTAAATATATATTTTTTTAAGTTAAATTTCAAGGCTAACCACGAAAATTTCTAGCTATACGATATCCCGAATCATTTCATGGCTTATTCTGTAAGGCGTTCGCCCCGCTTATCGCCACTATATGTGGCTTGATCTATATATAGCTGTTCATTTATTTACTCCCTGGATACGTCTAACGTAATGGTTTTAAATCCCATCACTTACTTGTGATCGCCCGCTAGCCAGCCATAATATCCCATAGACGACGTAACTTCGCTAAATCTCGCGTATTGAATGTATCTGTAACACAGTCATTAGGTCATATACTTCGCGTTTTAAAGCATTACAATGTTTATTTCACTGAGTATTTGAAAGAGATGTGTTTGATAGTTATTGAAATTGCCCTGAGCCGAAAAGTGTTCAGTTCTTTTTAAGAAGATAAGAAACATTTTTTTAATTGTTCTTATCATATTTAATTTGACACTTTGTCATGTAATATTGTACACACATTGATACTTAGTGTACAATTTTATTTATTTATTTACTGGCCTGAGATCCAAATCAAAAGAGAGGAAATAGCCAGAACAACATACTCGTTTTATAAAACTTAGTATAATCTGTAGTTTGCGCGAGTAGTACATATTTGAATAAAACGGTTTAAAACGCGATATAAATTTGTAAAAGTTATTTGAAAAATATTTTAACTACAACCCCTTTTGCACTACTGTTTTGCAACAGCCAAAACGTCGTATCGAGTTTAAAGTGTCTATTTAAATTAGTATAGCCTTCCAATGTGTCAATATTTTTAATGTATTCTAAATAATATACGAACTTGTTAGCAGCACAATACGACCAACTCAACGGTGAACTCTTCACCAATTCACCCTCATCCGGGGGTGGGCTGAATTCTGAAACAGTATTAATTGAAATAAAACATTGTAACGGTTTAAAACGTGAAATCTATTATCACCGTCGCCCCATGACCACGGCTGCTGCAAAGCATCCGAAACGTTGGGCTATACTTAAAATAGTTTTTAAATAACTGCTTTCGCGTTTTAAACCGTTAAAGTGCTTAAAGCGCTAGGTAGTAGAAAAATCCTGAACCTCTGTACTTTCGTCCTTGTTCTTTGTAAGGTATTTTAAGAGAGAGAACGCAATAGTAATTTCGGGACGATTAAAGCTTTTAAATAAACCTTGCCAATGTTTACAATAGTACAAATCTCCTGCGCAATGATTCACGAAGGTGTAAAACTTGAAGTACAGGCCGTGGCCCCTGTTGACAGCTACGCAGACTGGATCGTATGTGTTTGGACACGATAACGGACATACATGGTAGTCGTATGCTGTTTCGATATCGTATAATGTACTGAGGGTAGTTTCAGCGCGCGCTCGAAGATTTTCTGTAATGGCGGACAGACTTAAAAATGGAACAAACTTTGCAAACCATTTTACCCATACCATCCTAGTTACTGAGATATATTTGTTAATTTTGCCGAACAAAACTATTATAAGCTAGCTCACTGGCCTCTTTAGAAATAGAGGGTAGGTTTTGCTAAACTAATGTTAATCTTCCGTTTTCTAGTTATTATTTTGAAATACCAGATTTATTAAACATCTGCGTGTTATTTAAGGGTCTACATTGACACTACATTTTATCACAATCGGTTAAGCCATTACGTGTAGAAGATAAGAAAATAATGTATCCGCACAGACTACGTTATTGTTTCATTGTTACTTACTTTTGATAGATTTAACTGTAACTTTCGTTGAACTGTTTACTCTTGTCACGCCATCTGTTGTTTTATTCCCAGAATTAACGATTGGCGCACTGATTGGGCCTTTTCTACGGCTTTTCAAATAGTCATTACATGTGCCAGAGACAACTATTGAATATTCTAAAATAAAGAGAAACAGAAAAACCAGTATTATACAAAAAAAGAAAACATTAACTTGCATAGTAAACTTTAGAGTAATGTAAGAAGTAAATATAAATTGATGCCGCTAGAGGCAGAGTAGCCTAACTGCAATTTGATGACTTGAGTTATTTATATTTTCATAGTCTTAAAATGTTAATCTACAAGAGCACAGTGACCGAAAATTATTAACATAGTTCTTACACAAATAATAGAACAAATTCATTTTCGATTAAGTTAATTGCGATTTCTTATTTTCCATGTCATGTTTTTGTGTTGTTAGGCCACTCTGTCTCTAGTAGCCTTAATTTACCTACCTAGATGATTCTTTTTACTTAAAGAAACTTTCTTTTATTTTTGTAATTACGTGAAAACTGAATAAGAATCGAAACTCACATTAAATTCTAGCAAATGTCGTAAATACCGGAGGGTAGTTACGACAAAAACTTACCATGCATTGGAGTATCACACATATTCCCCATATAAACGTAACACGAGTTAACAAAATCTCTGTAATCCATCTTTTCGTGAATGAATCTGACAGCACATACACCGCTATTTGTACTATTACATATCAAATCAACTTGGGAGCACACTCGTTTGATTCTTTCAAACTTCAAGTGTTGGGTTTTATTTGAGATTTCGTTAACATTTGGTATTTTGTACGTTGTGCTCAATTTTAAATTGATTAGTATCAAAAATGTTACTAGCATAATTTCTTATGTTAATACTTTGAAAATGTTATGTCGAAGTAAAAATAAAATAGTCGAAAGCAAACATTTGATTGCTTGACGTTAAATTGATTTTGTGCTTAACCTTTGTCTAGTTATTAAATAAAATCGATTCATGGATTACTTAAGAATGTTGATTTTCACACGTGAAGTAAAAAACTTGAATTTCTTTTTAGTTTTATTATTTTTCATTTTCACATTAAGTTTAAAACTGAATTGTTAAGTTTAAATTAGTTATTCAACCTTACCCAAAATGGGCTTGTGGTAACAAACTGAAAAATACCTGATGATAATCTGAGATGATACAAAAATGTTAGTCATAAGAAGTGATTGTATGATTAAGTGTCATATTTCAATAAAACACTTTAACTGTTTAAAACGCGAAGTATATAACTTTTTTAACTGCGACTAGACGTCTCTGACTTCGTGTTGCCGTAGTCAAAGCGGGACTGAAGATGGAGGGTGTCCCTAATGTCGATTCAAATATGCTGCACTAGCGCCAGCTAACGTCGAGTCGTAAAAACAGTATCCTACTATACTTTTTTTATTTTTATTTATATAGTGCCACCATGTGAAATATTAAAGTTACCCCGTGACCACGACTGTTGCAAAACATTCGAAACGTTACGAAGTTAAAAAATTTTTTTATATAAGGTAAACGCCGTTGAACCATTAAAGTGTTTTATTTAAATGTTTACTACTCGCGTAAACTACAGACAGTATTTAATATTAAACTTTTCATTTTTTTTCCTAAAGAATCATAGGAATTGTATTAAATTATTATTTCACTACAATTTACTATTCCCTAAGAGCCTCATAGCTTCTCTGTAGCCGGAGTCACAAGCACCATGGGCCGCTGAAAAGTGTGTCAAATCTGTTGCTTCGCCCGCGAATAAGACGCGAGCACATCCGAACTTGTCGCGTAACGGTTCAGCTAGGTGCGTACGAGCATTCGGGTTCTGTAATGTTAGCCGATTATCGTAGGAATAGCTGCCGCGGGTAAACGGGTTCGTATACCAGGTTGATCTGAAAAAAAAAACATTTAAAACATTTAAACCGTTTAAAACTCGAAAATTTACTATCACTCCATTAGTGTTTAATGGAGCCTTCGTTCATAGAAACTAAAACTTTTTCTCTACAAAACATACACATACACAAAATTTTATCAAGATAGGTAGAGCCGTTTTAAATTGAAATCGTAATTTAACACTAGGATCCTTATACCTTATCATCCCAGTAGGTTCTGGGATAACGCAGATTTTCCCCATGAATTTTCTCAGCAGATCCATGCATTTTCTTTTCACTAGGTTTTCTGGTAAAGTTTCAAGCTGAAACAGCATTTTATATTATAGTTGACGCTTGATAAGACCGCTTAGCGTGCATGGGAATAAAAAAAAACGTAACTTTTAAGCAACATATGTTTATAGACAATCTTACCATTTTTGCAACATCGCCACTCGTCCACAGAGTCAAAGCGTTCCTAGAGCCCATTGGGTTGCTAGCTGCAAAAATCCTTGTCGTCCAATAATCCTCTTTGGGTACGCGTTCTTTATCCTCCGGCTTCCATAGAAAGGCGAAGAATAGACACTGCTTCGGCCACCACGGCTCTTCAAATTTAAAGATAATTTTGTCCATAACGCCAATCGACGTGTTTTCTATGGCTTTTATCTTTTCTTGTGGCAACCCTGGGTTGAATAGGGTTTTATGTCTGAAAAGATATTTTCATACTCTTAGCATTATGATATAAGAATTGACGCTGTTGCCTAGCAACGAGAACATTGGTAGTCCTTAATTTCTAGTCTTACTCACCGATCCTTGAGCACCCCCAAAGAGACTGTGACTATGACGTGGTTTGCAGTGTAAGTGCTGCCATCTGCGCACGACACTTTCACGTCCCCGGCCCCATCTTTGGGCCAAACTATTTGGGACACCTCAGTGTTTAGCTTTATATCGAGGTTAGGGAGGCCAGGGCCATTTTTGTATGTGTTCTGAAATTAAATATTGCTTATTACTTTATCGTGTATCCATATAGGTATAAAAACGGGCCGATGTTAAAAATCATTTTCAAATAAGTTTAACTAATACATCGCGTTTTAAACCGTTAAAGTGTTTTATTTAAACATTGTAGGTATCTCATTTGTAAATGAGCGAAAACTCTGAGGTTACAATTCATAAAACTACAATACACGGAGATAAAGAATTTGTTCTTAATTCATATTAATATTATAAAGCTGAAGAGTATGTTTGTTTGTTTCAACTTCAACAAGTAATAGTAAAGGCTTTAGGCTATTAAACATAATGCTGCAACTAATTGGAGCGAAAAAACAGTGGAAAATGTGGAAAAATGGGGAACATTATTTATCCAAATTCCAAAAATGGTTCGAAATAGAAAAAAAAAGTTGTGAAAGATTTATTCTCCCTTAAATAATCTAAAAATGTCTGTCGTCATAAACTTACAAGAACTCATTACATTTTGATCAAAATACTGAATATGGCAAAACGTATATAGCGTATGCCAAGTCTTTATAAGAAATCAGTGATTTATGACATCTTATTTAACTAACACTTTTCGTCTCCAAACCTCTCTTCTTTAAATACTTCAGCGAGATCTACATTAGTTCCCGCCAAAAAGCCCACATCATAGATCGACATAAAGAAAAACTCACCAGCATTATTTCGAAAAAGGTTTTATATCCGTGTCTATGCCAGCTCATATGCTGGTGTCCGTCTAGCTCCGTGTACCTACTCTGTGCACTGACGTCATTCCAGTCATTAGAAGACTCATGGTTGTTGATGTACAGGTTCATCAGCTCGAAGAACTCAGTGAGGAACGACTTATCGTTTACCAGATGTGGGTAGTTCTGTTTTACATATTCCATTACTCTATAATCAAAAAAGAATTTTTTTTATATTTAATTAACGGGGGCACGTAATGGTAGCAATGTAAAGCTAATTACCAACGGGCTGTGGGTTCGACCCCAGCGGGTCTAACATGTCAAATTTTTGAATTTATAATTTTTCTAAAACCGAACTCACCGTCCACAGACAACAAAGCTGAAGCGTGAAGTTATCGCGTTTCGTGTTCAGTCTGTGGATTTCCGAATTCCCAAAGCCAAAATAGGAAAGTGCATCTTGTGTAGATGTTATATGGCTGGGGTATATTAGCGACCATCAAGTAAACGACATGCTTGTCTGCCTTCCTCTTTAAAACAAAATGTGAAGGTAGCTCAGTTGAAAACTTTAAAACTAAGAAACGGAATTTTGGTGAAATGTAATTTTTTTATAAGTTACCTACCTTCCAGTTATAAATTCCCCAAGCCCCCCAGTGAAATCCTTTGGAGGTTTCCCGACCTTTTCAAATGCAAATTCTATTAGATCGTTTATCAGCTTGTGATCAGCTTGAGTCCCATCAGACTGTAAGGCATGAAAGACCATATCTTGGGGGAGTATGGGGACGTTATGTTTCACTGCGGCATCAAAAATTCGACTTTTTACTGTTCCGTGGATCCTAGAAAAAAATATTATCATTTAAAATGCAACTGTATCTATACTATTTTTTAAAGCTGAAGAGTTTGTTTGTATGAACGCGCTAATTTCTGGAACTAATGGTTTGAATTGCGAGTTCAAGTCCTGCCCGTGTCGTATTGTTTTTTTCGAACTTAAATACTAATTTTTAATTTTAAAATGGCACAAGAAATCAGAACGTTTAAATTTCAGCAATAAAAATATACCATTCAGCACCCTCCTCCACTACGCCATCTCCAAAAGTCACCGTCTTAACTCTCCCTCCTATCCTGTCCATGGCTTCCAATCCCAAAACTTTCTTCCCAGCCCTGACGAGAGTGGTAGATGCAGTGACTCCTGCGCAGCCGAGGCCGACTATTATCACGTCGTAGGGATGCATATTGAAACTGAAAGAAGAATATTATTATATAATCTATATGATTATTTAGTCTGTTCACTGAAGAGAGATCTTAGAGAATCGACTAAGTATGAGATATTACTTCTGTAGACTTCATTGTTTGACGTCTCGAAATCTTTACGGATAGGAACTTCTGTAACAATCTACAATTTATCTGCACAAAAGCCTAATGGTGCCACCGATGCCCAACATATGGGTCGGTCATTGCAGTGGCAATAGTTTACAACACAACAGTCTACTATTATAGTTTGCTTTATAATATAAAAAATAAAATGTCAGTCTTACTATTTAAATACAATTTTTAAAGTACTGGTTGCTTTATCTTGCGTCAAATGGAATTTATATCGCTCTACATTATTTAAATTAAACACGAAATAATTAGAGTTATAAATAAGATATCGCACGGCAATTAACTGTTCTACATTTAAATATTTCAACTTGCTGTGTGTTTACGTAAATTACTAAGTACACTGCTTAACGAATTCGGTCATAATTTTACTAAGAAAGTCAAAAATATTTATTCACGTAGGTAACTAACAACTTTTGAAGTCAGTTAAAAACTAAAGACTCTAAATTTACATTTACTACCAGATCTCAAATCACTTGCGTTGAACGAATGAGAAGAATTGGCAAGAAACTCGCCTTCACTCCTTTTATCGCCAGATATTATTTTACAAACTTCTCGTATTTTCAGTGCGCAACAAACTATTTCCGAGTTCGGTTCGTCCAAACCCCAAACTTTTTTATCGTTTAAATATTGATGAACGTCGTAATAACCCTTTCCAAGCAGTTCTTGTTTTACATAAGATATTATTTAATGGCATAGGCGATTCCCACTATTCCGCCTGATGAAGTAAATCACGCTAATCCATTGATAGTCTATTTACATTCCGTTTGTAAATTCCCATATTGGATTCATGTGTGAAAACAGACGTTGAGATCGAGTTTCAGTCTTTAATATACTGTCAGTAGTTAATGCGAGTATTATTCTTTTAATTGAAAATAAAATTTTTTGCGTTTTAACCCCCTTTTTTTATTAAAGGGGCCCCCCGGGGCCCCTTTTTTTTTTTCGGGGGGGAAAGGGAGGGGGGGGGAAAGGGGGGGGGGGGGGGGGAGGGGTTTTTTTTTTTGGGGGGCGCCCCCCCCCCCCCCCCCATTTTTTTAAAACAGACTAGGTCACTTTTCGATAGAGGTCGTTTTATAACGACCCCAATGATCCAAATTGCGTCAAATTACTAAAGCGTGTAGTCACTGCGTGTGCTGAAAATTTTGGACACAGTATACTGTATACAACAACTGTCAACATCGGACAGGCCTTCTGTCTTTTTCTGTATTCTCTACGCGAAAATACTATAAAGATATGTAATACAAATTACTGTTATCAAAATTCCATACCTAAGAGAACGGCCTTCTGGAATAATCTGAAGATAACACATAGAATTTATAAACAAAAGACACACGTTGAGCTTATCGTGTTATCTTTGTATTAATTAGTAGTTTCTCTGTATATCAGTATATTTGCCATTAATATTATAATTTCACTAAAGGAAACCCAACGGGCGATAAAGCCGTCAGAAGGAGACTTTTTTATAGATGTCTTTCCTTTTTTCCTAATATAACGACAAATGTTTATTATATGGGATTTTTACAGAAAGTTAACGGATAAGAACAAAGATGATCCTGTGTTGTTTAGTTTTGGATTTTATTTGCACGCAACTGAACGTGGAAAATCTGTAAAAATCTAATTTATCTTTAAATAATTTTAAACAGCAAAACCCGAATACCTACTAATAACCGCATCATCCACATCAACGAGCAAATAGTACGTACAAGAACGTATCTAAAGTCGTAAAGATAATCGATAATTTTTTTATCATATAATAAAATCGAGAAATATTTTATTTTTTCCTTATAATAAAGAATTACCAATTATGGCAATAATTGGACTAGTCGTTTCAGATAAGAACCAAAACAAGCAGATAAAGATTTTTTTACTAATATACAGATATACACACATTATATTGAAACAGCTGACATCTTTTAAAACCAAACTACGGGTCTTAACAAGCCGATCGACAAACCGGTATTTTAAGATGCGATATTTTTATAAATATTATATCATAAATTGATATGATAGCAGAATTACTAATATACATATTGTATTTTTACAAATTCATATTTTAGTCAAATTAATGTGAAATGTAATTCATTCACCTAAATTTGACACTCATGCGATCGTGGGTTCGATTTCTTCCGACACATTTCTATAACTAGTTTATATTTTTAATAAATATTCATAGTTAAAATAGGTAGACAGCTTCTTTAAATGTTATACGGTTGGGGTTTTTACCTTCCATGAAGTGACCACAGACCGCAATACTCACTCCAGACAATACTAAAAAATTTAATGACAATTGTCATTGCAGGAAACGTCAAATGTCATTATCATATGGTTGTTATTGTTTTTATTTAAATGGAAAATGAACAATAGAGTTGAAAAAATAGTTAATGGAAATAACCCACCTCATTATAAAGTATTAATCAATCGTTAGCATTGCTATGTGGAATATAATGGAGAGTTATTATGAGGTCTTGAAATATGTAAGTATTTTTCCAATAATTTAAATATGTTATTTACGTTTTATTCTGCATATTACTAACAAATTTAACCACTTACGTACAAAACATATTATAGGCTCACTGTCATGCTGTATCTATCATTAGAATTACAATTTAAATATCAAAAATGATTAAGAAACGCGAATGTATAGCAAATAAAATGTCAAAATAGATAAGCCATTATTCATATTAGTGTTTCGACTCAATTCGGGATTATTTTATTTTCGCTAAGTGTGGGCCATTTCTTATATATTATGTATTATAAAAAAATATGCAATTGACTAACCTCATTACACTATGCTCTTCTTTATCGTTTAGTGAATGCACATTTTAAATAAAAGATGGCGATAATAGCAGTTAAGGTTAAATGGTGTTGCTATACAGTAAAATTACCGAATTAAAAAACATTTTAATTACTATCTTATTTTTACATTTACATGCGCGTAGTTGGTCAAAAATCTACAGACTTTACTTAAAAAGTTAAATAAAACATATCAAATTCATTATATGTTTATTTGATGGCCTTGTAGGTCAAATAGCAATGTATGCCAATAATCAAAAAGTCATTGTTTCAATTCCCACTCTGTTCAACATGTTTCCAAATGTCCAATTTTCTGAAACACTTTTATGAAAATTTGGATATGTATATACTACTACCACCACAGTAATATATATATATATATACAATTTATACCCACAATTGACCATCCACATATGAAAACTCATGAAGGGTAACTCTTCATTTCGATTCAGATTATGGATTCTTATTGTTCAAAGCCAAAATAAGTCAATAGGGCTGAATCCCATCTTCGTCACACTGTTATAGCACTAAGGGGAACAGCTATGTATTAAAAATATGACTCAATGTCCTCCGCATGGGGGGAAAAGTGTGAAAAATCTAGCAGATAATATAGATCACCCGGCCTTCTATCGGTGTCCCCAACAGAAGATCATAATAATAATGTATATAATATCCCCAGTCAATTGATAAGCACTTAAATGTCATTGCTGTATAAAAGGTATCTTTACATCTCAACAATATTCATTCACAATGTTCCTTCGGCTCGCTGTGTTGCTTCTAGTTTCTTATTGGTGAGTTTGCAAAAAGTTTGATTAAACTAAAGTCATATTCATACGTTCAGCACATGTATTGTATATAATATCTGATAAGCAAATATTGTTTGGATATGTTAATTTATTATTTTAGAATTTGTTGTGTTCACATACTTATACACACGCACACACCAATATTATTAAAAAAAGAAAGCATGTTTAATTATTTAGGGATACGGAATAATGTATTATTAAATGACATGGAAGCACTGGAAACCCTGGCACAGGTATTATTTACTTAAAAAGGTTTCCAGATCAAAAATATTTTAATGTCAATATGTTTCCTGAATAAATACTTTATTATTATTTATAAATAGTCTAAGTCATCTAAAATAATAAATTTTAGTATACTTCTACTTAAATTCTTTTGTTAGTATACTTGTACTTAAAATTGAATTCCTATTGATTTAACTGTTTTAAAGAAAAACAATATGATAAGTAACCACCAAGATAGTGCTATATATTTATTGAGAATTTTAAGAAAAGGGATGTAGGACTAGTTCTTACTAGTTTAGTTCCAATAAAGTAGTAAAATAAAAATGCAGTTGTGGTATCTTAGAAATGTTAACTTACATAAATTTAATTGTTGCTTTAAAATAAGCATATTTTATTTTACAAAGTTCTTTCAATGCAATGATTTCTACTTGAGATTAAAATATTGATCTGTTTGCGCTGTCTGTTACTCTTTCACACCAAAACTACTTAACGGATTTTAATGAAATTTGGTATACAGATGGTCTAGGCCCTCAGAAAGGACATAGGCTTTACTAATAATACTTTTTATTGTGAAAGGGGTTAAAAGGGGTGTGAAAGTTTGTATGGAAATGTGGTGTTTGAAGCTAGACCAATGAAACTTTCTTCTTTGGCTTTTTAGGAATAGGACTGGGAGTGGGAGTAGAAGTGGAAGTCCGAGTAAGAGTGGGGGTTAGGGTAGGAGTGATGTGTGGTGAGAGTATTGCGCCAAAGTAGCACCTACCATAGATTAGCTGGCTGCCTTAAATGCGCCCTTACATAAGTTAATAAACAGCCTCAATAATTAAAAATTCTACCCCAAGACACTATTCCACGCGGACGAAGTCGCGGGCACACCTAGTAACTGATATAATAGGTATATTATCTTGTTTACCAATGTTACCAGTTCATAGGTTATAGATGAGTTTTAAAACAATGACATTACATTTTTGAGATATTTATATCAGTAGGTTAGATACATCAATTAAGAAGAAGATTAGATACAATGATCAATGATAATATTTTGTACAGGGGACACTTAAGTTTAATTTTTATTTTATTTACAATTTGAATTTAAAATATATTTCCTTTTTGTAAATCCATTTATACATTGGCAAAAAATACATGTAGGTACCTCGAAATCATGAGTCATGAATCAGTCATTCTCAAAAGAATGAGAATGACTGCCATATGGTTGCTTAGTTGTTAGACAAGCCATCGGTTCATATTTTATACAAAACGCTTCTTCAAGTTATTAAATAAATTAGGACTTCTAATGTTTTTGATTTTATTATAATTATTAAGATTCTTATAAAACCAAGAGCTAGACTTTGATTGAAGGAAGATCACAATCAGCAGCTCACTTCAATCTTCTTTCTCCATGCCTTTATGAAGATAGTATACCTAGATTTAAAATTTAGAAGTTGTGATTTTGTGTTTTTTTTTTAATGATGTTAATGATGATCGTTATAAAATGGCCCGAAACTCGTCGTGCATGTTTAATTTTTGGATTCATTAATATCAATCAATAACACTACATTTTTATTGGTCTTCAGCGCGTGCGCAGCGCAATCCTACGATGTAATCGTCGTTGGCTTGGGCTCATCAGGAGTCACAGCGTCTTCCATCCTGGCTAAAGCCGGGAGGAAGGTTCTGGGGCTTGAAGCGATGGACCGAATCGGAGGAAGAGTCAAGACCGTGTCGTTTGGGGATGGTGTTATAGAGGAAGGAGCTGAATGGTAAGCTAAAGTAATATACTAACTGTGTCAGTGACTTCGGCCGCGTAGAATAGTTATTTTGGCCATCAAAAATTGTTTTTTGCAAACCTCCCCTTTATCTTTATAAATTTAAGCTGTTTCCTACGGCGTCTAGCGTGTTGACGTTCTTGCAAGTTAATCTTGAAAGATAGACATATAGTGACGTGGACATATTTGTAGGATCTTTTAAGGAGAATCATTCGTTCGGCCGATGTGAGCGAGAAGAGGTTTAGAACCTCTTCTCGCTCACATCGGCCGAACAGCCCGAAAGACATATGCTGAACGTTGGCCGTGAAAGCCTTACACGATTTATTAGTATTCACAATGTTTTTTAGCATAAAAGCCTTTGTCGATAAATTTTATAACCAACACAAAAAAAATCCAATCGCCACCAGTAGTTCCTAAGATTAGAGCGTTCAAATAAACAAACAAACTCTTCAGATTTCTTTATTAGTATAGATTTAATAACCATTTTCGTAGCTCCCCAATGTACATTTTCAATTATCATGTATTTGGGGTAAATGACTTCATTTTACTCTATAAATAGTACAGAATCAAGACAGCTTACTTGACGTAAGTAACTGATTGTGAAGATAGTTTTTCTCCTCTCTAGGATAGCAGGAACAGAGAACAGTCGCGTTTACGACCTGGCGATTGAGAACAATATCACTGTACTGCCCCAGGACTTTGATTCCCTTATATTCAGGTCGGACGGGAATCAAACCTACAATAAGGCGTATTATGACCTTTTGAATCTGGTTATGGAAAAGTCCATGGGCGCATCTGACCCATCGTTTAAGAGCGAGGGTGATTATTTGACAGCCGAGTAAGTTTACTTATATCTAACGTTAGGGTAAGTTTTAATAAGACCGCGGTCATTCTGTAATTTCGTATTATTCAATGAAATGTGATGATATTTAAATATAATACTATTAACAGTTAACATGCCTATTTTTTTTTAATTACGGCCCAATGTTTTGGATGCTTTGCAGTAAAAACTGTGACCCAGACTGAGTGAAATACCTACCACCATACAGTAGTTACAATTAAGACACGATGCGGTGCAAAAAATCCTCTTTTTCTAATTCCAGCATATGTTATAGATATTGCTGCATTTCTTTCACTTATCATTTTAATTTACAAGTGTCTCAATTAAAAACTACCCACCTGCGAACAACTAATAAGGTCTTATCCTGGAGGTATTATGTTCTAATTAATTGACCATTATATATTTAATGCTCATCCACAACTCCAGAATACTCTCATTCATAAAGAAGAACTACCCTCATTTGGAGAATGACAAAGTTTTTATCGACCAAGTCCTAGACCTGATGAATTTCTTAATCAGCGTTTATGTGGCGTCGAATGACTGGCACGATATCACGACACAGTCATCTGATGAAGGACTTGGTGGCCATCAGTATACTAGCTGGCACGTGCATGGGTATAAAACATTCTTCGAATTGATGTTGGTGAGTTACATGTCAAAAGAAGTTAAGTTGGCTAAGTAGGCCTAGACGAATCCTAAAACGTTTATCAATCAGTATCCACTAGCTGTGCCCGTGTCTTTGTCCACGTAGCATAGACATTTTGGGCATCAAAATTAGTGTTTGCAAACCTTCTCCATATCTCTATGAAATATAGCTGTTACTCACGACCTCGGTCGCGTCCCATCGTTCTTACAAGTTCATCCTAAAGATATATGCTATCGCGGATAGTTGTTTAGTTTAAAGGGGAATCATTCTTTCAGACGTATTTTTTTTTTGATGATCTTGAAACCTTTTCCCAGCGTACGCAAAGGAAACTCACAATAATGATTTTTTTTTCTTTTCTGTTCTACATTTTCCACTGCTTCTCGCTCCTATTGGCCGCAGCGTGGCCAATAGGAGCTAGAAGCAGGATTATATCCTGTCGGATCAGCAATTCCTGAGATTAGTGAATTAAACAAATACACAAACTCTTCATTCTATTGAATTCAGAACACATACAAAAACGGTCCCGGCCTCCCGAACCTCGATATAAAGCTGAGCACGGAGGTGTCCCAAATAGTTTGGCCCAAAGATGGGTCCGGGGACGTGAAAGTGAAGTGCGCAGACGGCAGCACTCACACCGCGAAACACGTCATTGTTACCGTCTCACTGGGTGTGCTAAAGGAACGGTGAGAAAAAACTTTGTTTTATTCTGTATTTTAAAATATATACCGTTTGAAAACTTTAATATTTTGCACATGATGGCACTCTGTAAACTAAAAATCGATTATAAATTAAAAGATATTCACGACATGAGCAGGACTCGAACCGGCGTCCATAACGTTCCGTGCTGGCGCTCTAACTAATTGAGCTATCGTGTCATCGTCGTCGAATTTTTCAACCGATCGTTACATGCACCTCTCGCCAACGTCATTTAGAGCAACAACACGGAACGCTTTGTATGTCGGTTCAAGTCCTGTCCCTGTCGTAAATTTTTTTCAATAAATATATAACATCTTCCTGTAACAGTGTTTGAACATGAAGCCTTTAAAAATGACAGAACCGGTATTAAATCTGTGAATTATCTTTTTTTTCCATTTAGTATTATCTTTACCCACTTACAATAAGTAAGGTACTTTTTTCTACCAAACTATTAAGTCAGTATGAGGGTAGTTTCATTTTTGTCCTTTTAGAATTTAGACTATGTTTTCATTTTAAATACATACCACCAACTTGTACTGTAGTTAAACTCCCTTCCTGGCTTATTTTAGCAGTAAAACATGATCTTGTTGTTTGTCGTGTATATTACTGTACAGTGTACTTTTCTCCTCGTCAGACCCAAAGTCTTCCCGACGAAGTGGTGTTGAATAAATCAATGAAACTCCTGCGCAGATTTTTAGGCCAAAACTACACGATTCCTGAACCCATCGGAATGATTAGGTAATTTAACTTATTCGTGTAAGGGGATACTATAAAAACATATATTGGTTATTAGAATTATCGATATCTAAAGCCTACCAAATTAAATTAGCATTATATTCGAAACAATCCATAGGGTACGTCACACGAATTTTATGATTTTTTGAGACCCCCCCCCCCGTCCTTGTCACAGGTGGTAACATTATTGAGACCCCTCTCCCTAGTGTGACGTCACATGTTTTGCAAATTCACATCGAAAAATTATTAAATTAAAACAGCAGTTCAGAAATTAGTTTTTTTTCCATTTAAATGAAGTACTTTTTATGAAATCAACATATTAACTATAAAGAAAAAAAGAAGAAAAAAACTCAATCATCTTCTGGCAGGGCAGTCACTTCGCTCTAATTTAGGGTTTTATGGATGACCGCAAAGATATATATTTTTTTAACGAATTTCTTCAAACTACAATTTCTTTTTCTGAGATCGCTTACAAAGCTGATTTTAAATCTGCACGTTTCACTGTAATCTGAAGACTTAAGTAAAATGTACAGCGAAATACCTCTATCATACGTTCATCAATGTCATTTTAATCTCTCATCCTTTTTTATCTTTTATAGACCTCAGTTGATAATCGAACAAGCATATTCTTTTATATAAACTTTTAAGATAAAGAAATTTTGCTTGCCCTCCAAAAGCTAAGTACGCGAATAACACACTCTCTTTTCAGATCGAAATGGTACTCGAACCCATATACTCGGGGCAGTTATACCTTCGATAATCTGGACACACCAAAGTACCCAAAAGCCAGGGAAACCCTTGGATCTCCCCTGCTTGATGCTAACGGTGTGCCCAGAGTATTATTTGCTGGCGAGGCAACGAACCCAGCACAGTTTGGGACCGTACACGGTGCGAGCGAGTCGGGACATAGGGAAGCTATGAGGATATTAAATAAATAAATAATCAAGTAGATGTTTTTCTTATGTTAGCGATTTTCAAAAAAAATATAAGTCAATCCAGCTTGAAGGACCAAATGTAATGCTAATATCTTGTTTCATTGTATTCTTTATTATTACGATTTTATTTCATCAACGTTCAAATAATTCTTAATATTTGTATTTGCTCGCATTTCCATTAAAATAATGTTTCATTTATATTTTAGATAAAGTGTATTATTTACATAAATGTTAAATATTACTTTGTTAAGCTATTTTGGTTTTGGACGTTCCAAAATTGATACGTTGATTTATACATCAAGGTGGAATTTCCTACAAGGCATTACAATAATAAAAAGAGATATTTATGTATTTTTGTTTCATTATTATTAAATCTTAACATACGGCAACACCGCACAGGAGAAGCAGTGCAAATGAAATATTAATCCACCGGACAAATGATAAGCGATTGTATGTTATTGTTGTATAAAAGGTGTCTCTGAGCTTAGGCTCCATCCATTCAAAATGTTATCGTGGGTCAATGTGTTACTTCTCGTTAGTTACGGGTAAGTTTAAAATTCATTTAGTATTGTCACATACGAATTGTTTCCCCTTTTTTTATTTGTTAAAAAACTAATGTTTGTTTAGGTGTGTATGGATAATTCTTTGTTTTCTGCTTCACTACCTATAAATATGAGGCCGCTAGAGGCAGAGTAGCCTAACTGCAATTTTATGAGTTGATTTGTTTTATATTTTCGTAGTTTAAGATTGGTAATCTACAAGAGCACAGTGACCGAAAATTGTTAACATAATTCTTAAACAAAAAGTAGAAATTAGTTTTGACTCAAGTTAATTGTGTATTTTTATTTTCCTCTATATTTTGCCCGATCGATAGGATATGTATTGTTTCCCCGGGACTCAAACTCCGAACCTCTCGCGCTTATCGCAATGTTAGGCAGTATTTTTAATCAGCTGCAGAGGTTACTTAATTGTAGTCTTATATAAATTGTCGTTTTTGGGTGCGTATGCGCAATAAATGTATTAAATGCTAATATTTTTATACTAAATGTTGAAGTCAAAGTCAAAGAAAAAAACATTTCACACACACACATCACATCTGTTCAACACTAATGACTACACGGTACATTTACTACCAGTTCTTTGATTCGTGCAAAATTATTACCTCATCCTATTCCTAAATTTGAAATATGTAAAATGTTAATATTAAAGTTTCCACTATCGGTACTATTAACTCGCTCTTAGATTGTAGAAGTAGCAACTTTTCAAGCTACTTCGAACTGTTCTGCTGTCGTAATGAACAAATAATTTTCGCCATTTCACCATCACCAGTACACATACAGTTTAAATAGAGTATCAAATTTATTGACACTAAATTTGTTTCAACATAGGTCAAGCAGATTGATCGTAAAACACAAACGACCTTATAATATTACCAAATAATACATACTGCCTATAGTTTACGCGAGTAGTACACATTTAAATAAAACAAACAAAGGTATATTAAATATTTTAACTTATAGGTGATAAGTTAGTTTATACACACAATAGCGTACACTTTTTTATGACTGTGTATATTACTACCTGTTGCCGCGACTTCGTCCGTGTAGAATAGTAATTTTGGACATCAAAATCGGGGAGGTTTTATTTCATGTTTATAAATTTGAACTGTTCCGCTCCCGTCGTTCTTGCAAGATAATCTTAAAAGATAAGTATATACTGTGGCGGACGTTTTTTAGATCGTTTAAAGAGGAATCATTCTTTCGTACCCAGTTTTTTGGTTATCTTAAACCGTCTTTGCAGCGCACGCAACGCACCACAATGACGAATAATTGTCCCCGCTTTTTTTACATTTTCCATTGTTTCTTTGTTCCTTTTGGGCGCAGCGTAATGTTATATAGCCTAAAGCCTTTCCCAATAAGTGCTCAAACTGACACATTAACTAGTAGTACTAGTAATAGTAGTTTACTAATATATCGCGTTTAAACCGTTCAAGTGTTTTATTTAAATCATACATGTTTTATATGAAAAACAAAATTTCAATTACTAAGGTCACATATGACATATAATATTATCTTGTTTACCAATTATTCGCAGTTCATAGGTGATAGATTAAAAGTTAAAATCAATAACGACATTCATCTATACTAATATTATAAAGCTGAACAGTTTGTTTGTTTGAACGCGCTAATCTCAGGAATTACTAGTTAAATTTGTGTCAGTTTGAGCACTTATTGGGAAAGGCTTTAGGCTATAAAACATTACGCTGCGCCCAAAAGGAACAAAGAAACAATGGAAAATGTAAAAAAAGCGGGGACAATTATTCGTCATTGTGGTGCGTTGCGTGCGCTGCAAAGACGGTTTAAGATAACCAAAAAACTGGGTACGAAAGAATGATTCCTCTTTAAACGATCTAAAAAACGTCCGCCACAGTATATACTTATCTTTTAAGATTATCTTGCAAGAACGACGGGAGCGGAACAGTTCAAATTTATAAACATGAAATAAAACCTCCCCGATTTCGATGTCCAAAATTACTATTCTACACGGACGAAGTCGCGGCAACAGGTAGTAATATACACAGTCATAAAAAAGTGTACGCTATTGTGTGTATAAACTAACTTATCACCGATAAGTTAAAATATTTAATATACCTCACATATTAGCTGTGATACTACGTAATATTATGTTATGTTAGGTTTTTCTTGAATATATTTTAAACGTCATCGTATTTGCCGGCATTTTCCGAGTTTTAATTAAGAACATTTTGTGGACAGGATCATTTTCGGTTTTTATAATAAGTAATAGAAATTTAAAACATTTAAATAAAGCTATAGCGCACTATCGCTGAAAAGCGTTAAAAACGCCAAATTGAATAATAATGACTGAAAATTTTAAAAGAAGGTGTTGAGGTCGTTTGTTACATACATAAAATCAATGTTTTTTTATAATTGTGTAATTGATGTGACTTAACAACTTTATTCTACAAAAGGACATTACGAGATCTCTATATGGTCTAAAATCGTCCATTTTAGTTGTGGTCTTTTGCCAAGTTGGAAAAACATATAATACATTAATGATTTTTTATTTTATTTACTGTAATAGTTGAACACTAGAATTTACAAATGTAATATTAAATTCTAGGAACATAAAAACTTAAATACATTCCTAAGGGGAATAATGATTCCCTTATCATTACTCCCTTCTTTGTTAAATGTTGGTCTCAAATCATCTTCAGCGCCTGCGCACCGCAATCCTACGATGTGATCGTCGTGGGTTTGGGCTCATCGGGAGTGACGGCGGCTTCCATCCTGGCTAAAGCCGGGAAGAAGGTCTTGGGGCTCGAGGCGATGGACCGAATTGGAGGTAGAGTCAAGACCGTGCCGTTTGGGGATGGTATTATAGAGGAAGGAGCGGAATGGTAAGCTAAGGTTTATTTAATAGTTTACCTCTAAGTATTCGCAAAGTTGATAGTTACGAACTCTTTAAGGTGATGTTAAAAAAATATATAGTCAAACAAAACCGTATTTAAATACCTAATATTATCAAACACCTGGGCCATTAAAAACTATGAATACGTAGCATTTTTTACTTTGACGTAAGAGATCCTCTTTTAGTCCTCCGTGACCACGGCTGCTGCAGAAGTCTCCGAAATTGGCCGAAGTTAAAAATAATTTCCAAATAAGACTAATTGCGAAACTAAATGTTTTATTTAAATATTTACTACTCGCGTAAACTATAGAGAGTTTTAACATGAATATAACTAATAGGTGCGCAGTATGTCCGCGTGGAGTAGTTAGGTTCGTTGCTAAATATTTAGCCTAACCAGTCCTCTGACCTGTACAGCTGTGCATGCAACACATCTTATTGTGCCGTGACAAAGGCGTAGGCTTTGCTCCCACCGGAATTCTTTAAATTGACACTCAACCTTCTAATTTCGATGTATGGAACAAAGGGCAGACAGATTCTATAGGTGTAAGAAATCAAGAAATATAATATAGGATTTTTTTCCTCCCACCAGGATTCATGGAACTGAAAACAGTCGCGTATACGATTTAGCGACCGAGAACAACATCACTGTACTGCCCTCAGGACTTCGATTTCCTTATATTTAGGTCGGACGGTAATCAAACCTACAATGGGTTGTATTACGAGCTTATAAATCTGTGTATGGTGAAGTCCATGGAAGGGCCCTGATCCGTCATTTAAGAGCGAGGGGGACTATTTGACAGCCGAGTAAGTATCTTTTATTTTATGATAGAGGCCAGATAACTATGGGTTTCATGATGGTAGAACACCCAAGCCTTATAGCATCAAATCAAGATGTGCTGTCGAACTATTTTGGCTTTTGGATTATCGGAAACCACAGACTAAAACCGAAACGCGATTAAATTTGACGGCTTATCCATCTGTGGTGGGTGGCTTGTGACCTGGATAGAATTTCGATATTCTTACTACATATTTATTATCCAGATATCCAGACGATGTACAACATGTTCCAGTAGCGTTATACATTGATTTGAATAATGATAAACTCGGTGGGGACCAAACCCAAGACCCATTGTTCATGAGCCATACATTGCTACGATTACGCTCACGAGCCTGCCAGAACTAACTTCAATAATATTAAGTCTCCCCGTGACCACGGCTGCTGCAAATCATCCGAAACGTCGAGCCTTAGTTAAAATAATTTTGCAATAACTTTAACTAATATATATCGCGTTTTAAACCGTAAAAATGTTTTATTTAAATGACATAGATCTCCTAATAAATCACATTGTATACCTACTATTAATTCCAGAATACTTTCATACATAAAGAAGAACTACCCGCATTTGGAGAATGATAAGGTTTTCATCGACCAAGTCCTGGACCTGATGAATCTCTTTGTCAACGCTTATGAGGCGTCGAATGACTGGCACGACGTCACGACACAATCGTCTGCGGAAGGTCTTGGTGGGCACCAGCACACTAGCTGGCACAAACACGGGTACAAGACGTTTTTTGAACTTATGTTGGTAAGTTAAGTATATTAATTTATATACCTGGCCGTAGTTTACCTGAGTAGAACACATTTAAAAGTTAAAGTGTTTAGCGGTTAAAAACGCGACAATTAGATATATCGTCGATTAATTGTAGATTATTTTATTGGCCAAATACCAACTACAAACGAACAGATGGCGCTAGCGTAGAAGTTTCCATTTTGACCTTAGAATGACCATCCATACATAATCTCCCCGTAACCACAATTGCTCCAAAGCATCCGAAACGTCGGGCTAAAAAGGTCTTGCGTCAGAATAGCAAGTTGGTATGTAAATGTATGTGTATATACCTAATTTCAGAACACATACAAAAACGGTCCTGGCCTCCCGAACCTAGATATAAAGCTAAGCACGGAGGTGTCACAAATAGTTTGGCCCAAAGATGGGTCCGGGGACGTGAAAGTGTCGTGCACAGATGGCAGCACTTATACCGCAAAACATGTTATAGTCACAGTCTCACTGGGGGTGCTGAAGGAACGGTAAGCCTCTTCTCTCCTTGATTCATTTCGTCCGTTCAAAGAATTCTTTACCTTTACTAAAGGGGGCCTTGTTTGTTTGGGGTGGTTTAATATTAAATCGTGTTGACAACGTAACACAATAATGAGCTATATGTATACGATGTGATAATAATATATTTTTTATTGTAAAAAATAATAAATGACTTCAAGTTTAGCGTAAACTGAGTCTAGTCTTTAATAAGATGAGAATAAGTCCCTCACCCCCCGTGGGGCATCGGGCGAATATATTTATATATTTCGTTTCATTGATCAGTTCTTATACAGGCAAGTACTTGATCACATTTCTGTGCCGAAACAATCCATTGATTCTGCGGGATTCGAACCCAGGACCTGCCGCGGACGAAACGTTAGGCCGTAGGTAAAACATTTTTTAAATAAGTCTAACTGATACATTTCGTGTTCTAAACCGTTAAAGTGTTTTATTTAAATATGTAATACTCGTGTAAAATACAGGCAGTATTTATCATTATCAACTTAATGCACAGATACACCACTATGTTTTCACCTGTATTGCCAGATGAGAAAATCACATCCATACAAAAGATGTCGCTAGGTCTCGTCAACAAGGTGATCTTGAGGTTCCCGCAAAGATTTTGGGTAGAAAACACAGTTTACGTCTTGGTTGAGGTGGATAACGATGGTGAGGACCTGTGGTTCACGAAACATGGCGATATATCTACACCGATGGCTCTAGACACTGCCCTCACTATCTGGTTAGCGGGTGACGCTGCCAAAACGGTCAGTTTGATAAGCACAATATAAATAAAAGTATCGCTTTTAGATAAAAAAAAAATACAACACGGGTAGGACTTGGTATTGCTAAATTTCTGTGGTAGTAGGGTTAGCTTGATCTTTACCTAAGTATTAAAGAAATTAGAGTTTGTGTTTGTTTGGTTCACATCCAGGCGATTGTCGTTAAAGTCCACCAACCCGCACTTGTGCAAGGTGATGCGTAATAAATACACTTTCCTGCACCCGCACTTTCCACAGATCCAATTTTTATTTTATAATTTTGATTTCAGACGGAAAACCTATCCGATGAAGTTGTCTTAGATAAATCAATGAAACTCCTGCGCAGATTTTTAGGCCAGAACTACACGATTCCAGAACCCACCGGAATGATCAGGTAATTTTATTCTGTTTTTGTCAACACCTTATAACTTGTCACTTGTTTTTGTGGTTAAAATATTTGAGAAGTAATTCAATAATAAAAATACATTATAATCATAATTCATTGCACTCGAAGAACTTAAAATATAAAAAGATAAATATATTTAATCACTATTTATAAATCTACTTATTACGTTATAATAGTGGTAAGTATTAACATGTGTTGTGCTCTACATTTTTACTACTTCTTGCTACTTTCAATGTTGGTGCAACAATATCTGGATGGTCTCCAACTAAATTTCTTAATTCGTATCTATTTATTATTTCTGTATCTGTGTTAGACATCGTGTAAGGAAATAGGCAATTAATGATTAAAATAATCTTTCTATGAGTCTAATGGCTGTTCAGAAAGCTTTTTGTTTATGTGTCAATAAATTTTCAGGTCTAAGTGGTATTCCAATGCTTACACTCGTGGTAGTTATACATTCGATAACCTAGAGGCCCCAAAACACCCTAAATTGAGGGAAAATTTAGGGGCTCCCCTAATAGATGCGAAGGGAATTCCCCGCGTACTGTTCGCTGGTGAAGCGACAAATCCAATTCACTACGCGACGGTACATGGTGCGAGCGAGACGGGCCATAGAGAGGCGATGAGAATTTTTAAGTCCTAATAAATTATTAATGTTCCCGCACTTATTTTTAATTCTATTTGTTTCCCAAATCTTCCCTTTTACTAAGACTCCGTCAACCACCATGCAGTATTAGGTAACTCACTCCACTGACGCAGCAATCAAAAATTGTTGAACTCTAGAACAAGAATACAATGAGCGTTTAGTATTCATATTAAATCCTAACAATATTTATGTAGAATGTGTGTAATGAAGTGTAAGAACGAAAGATAGGATATTGTGAAAGAGACGGAGAGAGTGAGATCAAAGATGGCGAATTAAGACAGGACGAAAAGACCTAAGATGTAAAGAGGAACGAAATTTAAAAAATATATCTATATTTTATTTTGATGCTTGCAAGGATCCTGGATATTTTGATCGATTTCCATTTAAGATTCGTGTACCAAGTCAACCATTACATTAAAACCCACCAAAACGTGTCTTGAATCGTAGGAAAGGGATATAAAAACGTACGACATATAATTATGTGTTATGCTCTTATTTCGATACAAAGACTTATTAAATTATACATTTCATCAAAAATAACGCAGTGAAATTTTAATTACGTAATCCTTACTAATATTATAAATGCGAAAGTAACTCTGTCTGTCTGTCTGTTACTCTTTCACGCCAAAACTACTGAACGGATTTGAATGAAATTTGGTACACATATGGTCTAGACCCTGAGAAAGAACATAGGCTACTTTTTATTGCAAAAAGGGGATTGTAAGGGGTAAAAAGTGGAGGATTAAAGTTTGTATGGTTAAATTCGTAGTTTTTGAAGATAGAACATTGAAACTTTCTTCTTGGCTTTTTGAGAATAGGAGTGGGGAGGGAGTGGAAGTGGGAGGGGGGGTGTTATTGAGAGTTAGAGTAGGAGTGATTTGAGGTGAGTGTTGTGGCAAAGTAGCACTACAACATAGATTGTCTTAAATGCGCCCTTACATAAATTAATAAACAGCCTAAATAATTAAAAAAATTACCCCAAGTCACTATTTGACGCGAACGAAGTCGCGGGCACAGCCAATTTAAAATAATCACCTATTTTGTTTAATTCTGCCCCATTTTACCCAATACTATGTTAAACCTATCTTTTTTCAGATCAAAATGGTACTCGAACCCATATACACGCGGCAGCTACACCTTCGATAACCTGGAGACACCAAAGTATCCAAAAGCCAGAGAAACCCTCGGATCTCCCCTGCTTGATGCGAACGGTGTGCCCAGGATTTTATTTGCTGGAGAGGCAACAAATCCCAAAGAGTATGGAACGGTACATGGTGCAAGCGAGACAGGACATAGGGAGGCAATGAGGTTATTAAAGTAATAACATTTTAAGTAGAAGTTTTTGTTGTGTATGTTATTTTCTAAAAAACTTAAACTGGCCGACTCCAAGGACCAAATGACTATCTAGTTGCGAGCTACGTACCCAGGAGCTACCTAACTGGCTAGTCAATGAATCCTGGACTATGCGGTATGGCGGTGCACGAGAGACGAGCATTTAGGATTATTTATTAACAATCATATTAACAGATTCCTAATATTCCTGTAATCCCTGACCTATTCTTGTGTTGTGCTGTTTCTCTGCCCCATTTTGCTCAGCGAAATTCAATAAAACGAGAATGGTGAATAATTAATAAAAAATACTGCTCTTTTAATTGGGCTAGTACTAGTAGTAGTAGCTAGTAACCCTATTGATTGATTCAGATAACAACTAGACATATTGAAAGGTTGGCTCTGAACAAAAATAAACAACAATCGAATCAGAATTTAATTAGTATTTACAGGGCCCAACAGAATTTCACATTATATTTTTGGCTCCCAAGTCCCAAAACCTCTAATAAAGGCTTCAATCAGTTGGTGGCTGCCAGGTCACAGCTCGCATCTTCCTGTTAATCTCGGATAGAATTAGTTGACATCTGGCTATCTGCGCAGGTTTTAACTGAGGCGTAGGGTCTCGTGTCCGATCAGATTGGTGGGGCAAACGCTTCGTTGCCCTGCGCAAGGCACGACGCCGTCGGGTCCGAGAAGTTGCTGTAAAGTATTAATAAGTAAAATTGCGGATTTTTTTACAGGCCTTTGCATAGTTCTAACTAAATAACTTAATATCCTAAACTGGTTCCTAATTATATAGAGGTAACAATAGTAGGCCTAACATCATAGCTATAGCCAAGTGCAAGTTGGACAGGCACCACATATTCTCTGTTGAATCCTGAACTCTACTGTACTGTGATACTAACTGTGCCAGCAACTTTGTCTACAAACCTCCTCATTTTTATAAATTATAGCATTACTCGATAAATGTAATAACGAACACAAAAATAATTTTTCAATTTGAATCAGTAGTTTTTGAGATTAGTCTTTTTTGATCACTCATCATCTATTTAAATTTAAAAAAATGTCATACTTGATTCATTTTTGTCCTGTTTATAATCATCATCCATAGAGCGCTTCTTAGGTGACTGAAAACAAAAAAAAATAATTAAACGGTCTGTCATCTTTATCATAATTTAAAAAAACTTAATTTATTCAAGTATTATATTTTATTCTTTAAAATTGCTTGTTAGTTATTCTGTACCTATAATACCATAGATCAGTACCATAGACCATAGAACTACCTTCCTCTTTTGTTTTTCATAGCGTTGAGCATCATAGAATTGTGTCTGTCCTCTTTTTACACGACCTGTTCGTCTTTTCATATCCTCAACTGCTGGTAATGAATCTGCACCACGTCTGGATGCAAAAAATGTGTGACCGCATTTGCATGACTTGGAAGCTACTGCTACCTGCAATATTTTACAAACAAATTTAAGTAAAAATTTAGGCTTATAATGAGAAATAATACTGGGCAAGAAACCCATTGATATTAGTCGTTTACAGGAAAAATATAAGAAAATGCATACACAGGTGGTATTCTAGCAGGAAATTGACAGCATACCGAGTCGTTGACTCCCGAAAAATCCTCTTAAAATTTATTGTTTAAAGACATGTATTGGGCTTGCGACTTGCGCAACTCTAAATACAAGGTACAATAGTTGAATCATAAACGTAAAATTATTGAAACGTACCTGTAATTCACATTTAGGGCAGCTCTTAGCTATCATCTTATTTTTACCCATTTTCTTACCCACATAATAAAACGAACTCAGGTTCTAACTTATAGCAAAGACTCAATAAATTGATACCTTTTAATACAAAGCAAAAGAGAATAGTGTACAGAAAAATTTATATCTGTTCTCGTATTTAAAACTCAGCGAATCACTTAAAGAACAATTTTTTTATCACTTAAAGAACAAATATATTTTAAGATAATAATATTGACCAACTTTGCATTTTGCAACTGTTTGACAGCTTCAACAACCTGACTGTTGACATTTGAAACTTGACAGATGTCAGATAAACAACATAGCGACTTAACCACAGAAGCTCAACCGAAATGCAAGAACCAAGTTCTTGAATTCTTTATAATGTCAAAATGTTGTTAAACAAATGCTAATAACTATTTTTCAAATCCAACATAATATTAAACAAATTAACGAAAGCGCCAAAAGTAAGAACCTCTTTGTTATTATTACATTTGTCTTGATCAATGTTTAGTACAAAAATAACAGAACCATTATCAGCTATTACCAATCAACTAAAAGCCAAGTACTTGTTGTGGCATAAAAATTTTACGAGGAACTTGATTGTAATCGTCGATCAATAAATTTTAGAAAAAACATTTTCAATTTTGGCAATACACTGTATTGATTTCATTTATATCTACTTAGGACTTTTTCTATCCAACTATGACAATTAATAAACATAATTCAATTTGTCTTTGCACTAAAGGTAATACAGGTATAAAATACTTTCAATATTGTGAGCCTGAATAATTTCGAGGCTATAAAAATGTTGTGCGTAAGCACGTCCATGATTGAATCATTTTTAATTTTTGCTCAGTGATGTGAATTGTGCGACATAAGCAAATGGGGCGACACGTGAATAAAACGTTATTATGACTGAAACATCGGAGGGGAGCGAAAAGAGTGAACTGGAGGAAAAGGTTTCTGAAGAAACCTCGAAGAGTGAAATGCCCCCACCATCGACATGTAAAGTACTGAAAAGGTTTTAAATATATTATGCGTGGCTATTTTAAAATTTTCGGCCATGTCATATAAAACACACCGCTTGCAATTAATAAGTATTTAATATCATTAAATAATTTGTTCATTTTTGATTGTTTCATAGTCACTGATAATTTTTTAGAAACTAGTATTTTACTTCCTCCAACTTTTAAGAATTAAATTTTACATTTTCTATCTTTTCAGCTACGTAGCTTGCCAATGACGTTATAAAGTTTTTTTTTATTTTTATAAAAAGATTAATTTATTTTATTATTAATTGTGCATATTTTTTATTGCAGCACAAAGTCGAGACTTGTGCCAAAATATCCTTGTACCGGATGCGGGAAGCCATTCAACCGTCTAATGAAATTAAAGTATCACATTCGTTCAGCCCACTTTAACCTTAAATCGGTCGTACCAACATTAGAAACCAAACACGTCAACGACATTTGGTACGAAAGTGTGATAAACACAAATGATGTTGTCGAGATGAGGAAAGAGTCAGATACCAAGATAATAATAAAGAAATGCATCACAAATGAACCGATTTCAACTAGTACGTCTTATATTGACGTTTCCAATTTATATCCGACGAATAACGCGGTGGACAAAATCGAATGTAAACAGTGTCACCAAATGGTGCGCAGACGCGGTTTCAAGAACCATTTTAGGAGAAAACATAGCGATAAAACAGTGGAAGTGGAGTGATTTAAATTGAGACAGATATATTAAGAGCGAAACAAAATATTTATCTTTCGTATTTTACGTACATTCCCAAGGGGGCTGCGAAAGTGGCAAGAATGATTTTATACTAATATTATGATATCGTAGAGTTTGTTGTGAGGACTTACTGGTTATATTGTATACTATAAAACATCACGCTGCGATCAATGAGAGCGAAGAAACAGTGGGAAATGTGGAAAAAACGGGAAAACATTTATTAGATGTCTTTAAGGTTTTATGTGCTGCGAAAACGGTACAAAATATCTAAAAACGATTTCTCTTTAAATTATCTTTAAAAATGTCCGCGACATTATTTATTTTATCTTGTAAGAACAACGGGACGACGTGGTGGTTAACAGCTTTAATCCCTATATATAAAGGAGATTCGTAAAAACAAATTTTGATGCCCAAAATAAGTATTCTACGCGGACGAAGTCGCTGACAGAGCTAGTAGTAGTCAATACACATTCCTATATAAGTATTAACGTCGTTTTAAAAGCCATTTTGTATGTTAACTATTTATATTTTTAGCTGTGAAAAGTTCAACATTTCTGGGTAATTAAATCCTAAATCTTAGTAATGTTATTCTGGATTCAATAACGAGATAATTTTCACGACAAATTACTTGCAGGCTATGCAATCAGTGGCGTAGCTATCGTAGGGCCAGGCGATGCAATACGTCAAGGCCCCGGAACTTAGGGGCCCTCTAACCTTATCCTTGAGAACATATAAGCGTTGAAGAAAAGATTTTTAACGTTCTTGTTGCTATTTATAATTATGGAGGTTCATTTAACTCAAGCTATGCTAAAAGATGGGAACGATAGGGGGACCGGGGTCCTTGCCCACCTAGCTACGCTACTGTATGCAATGTTATATATTTAATTTCAAGTACTATTATTTTTTAGAGCCTTAGAGGCCGTACCGTAATAAAGAAAAGCCTGTCTAGATCTTCAAGAACTTTTTTTATACCTACTGCTGATAATACAAACTTTATTGCGAGTCATAAAAAGCGAAACCAGTTTCCACATATACAATGAAAACACTTATTTGTGTTACTTTATGTAAGTTGTATTATTCAGTCTTATTAGCGTAGCTAAGTGGGGTATGGGACGTTAAATTAATTGTGGTTTAACTTGCTTAAACTTTTATTTGCAAGCAAGTGTGAATAGCTTTTAATAGCGCACGAGATTAAATCATACTGTGTCCTAGGCTTTGAATCCAATACTTCGTAATTTAAAAATCGAAAATAAATTGAAAAAATTTTCGACTCGGGCAGGACTTGAACCGGCATTGTCAGCTTTCCGTGCTGTTGCTCTACCAATTGAGCTAACGAGTTCCGGCCGGTTCAAGTCCTGCCCGAGTCGAAAATTTTTTTAATTTGTTTTCGATTTTTAAATTATATAGTGCCTTCATGTGTAATAACATGTGAAAAATATTAATGTTTCCAATACTCCGTGTAACTTATTTGAGGCGACGCAACAAAGTTATAACTTATATTTTGTCGTTAGTCCAACGTATGACTGATAAGGTTCGATTTTCACCAAGGCTTACATTTTTATAAAAATCAATGGATTAGAAAAGAAATTGGCCATTCAATGGGTGGTAGGAATCTCAAATTACTTCATGAAGCACGTCCACTCATAGTATAGCCGTGAAGTATAATCGTTATAGTTTCAGTCTGTGATGTCTCAAGGCAACAACATATCTTCCTGATCGATGATCGATGCCTGGGCTATGGCACCCCCATGGATCTCCCCTTATATATATATATATATATATAAGGGGAGATCCTTATATATATATATAAGGATATAGCTTATCCAAGAACCTAAAAGCCGGTCAAAGCTTATCAAATTTACTATCATTATTTATTTAATTTCAGTTTTAACACAATATGTTGTTTCATTCGCAACAGAGAATTACGATGTCGATGTATTTATTGAACGAATGTTGGCTTCCAAGAAGTTTTCTGAACTCGCTGATATTATTGCTGAAAAAACCATTCTCAAATTACGCGATGTGAAGAACGATACCCTTCCAAATCCCACCTTGACCAATAGCAATGGAGAAGCAGAAAGAAAATTGCGTCGGGACAGCGATCTGAAAGAATCTGAACATCCAACATCATTGCATGCGTCTCTTAAGTACAAACACTTATTAAAACAATTTTCAAATAAGGGCCAGAACGAATCTAGTTTGTCAAAGGAGAATAATTCGGACGACAGTATAGAATCTTTTAATATTTACATCGATAATACAACAATGCAATACTTGAACGAGATAGAACAGAACGTTTCTGGTCTGGCTTCACATGAAAAGAGTATCCAGAAAAATACTGATCGTAAAGTTACAGTAGATGTTTTTGATTTCAATAGACAGAACGATCTGCATAGAAAGAAGACTGGCAGAATGGAGGGGGGTAAAATTTTCGTGTTCCAATCCTCGTCGGAGTACGATGAGTATCATGAAAATGTTGATGGGATATTAAGGAATGAGACAAGTGTATAGACTTTTAACTCTAATAGATGTTGAATATGTCATCAGCTTTTATTTAAGTAACTATTTATTCTCAACTTTAATGTCCTCATATTAAACACAAGTGTATCGCACAGGTTTGGAATTCAAGAGCTAAGGCTCTAACAAGCTGCTCAATTGAATGTTGGCAGGCTTTAAGGACTGGTGATAACCGGGACTGACGGCTTTACGTGCTCTCCGAGGTACATCCCCTTCCCCAGTCCTACTTCCAAACGCGAACAAGGTCTCAGACCTGGACCCTCATGATCTACAATCAAGGCTAGACTTATGGGGCAGTATGAATTAATGAAAGGAATATATTGCATCATAATTATTATTACTTAATTAAGTTTTTACATTGTAACGATGAGTCACAGTGGGTCATAGTTCTATCTAATTGTCGTCAGATTAACGTTACTGACAAATTTGACACCATAACAGTATTATGGCATAACGACAACAAAAATTGGTTATAAGCTTCGCTACCAGAACATAAAAACAATGTAGGTAGTTACCTCCAAAAAATAGTCATATAACTTTACTGTCTACCTTCATATTTTAAATCAATTATCTGAATTGCATCAAAAATGTCGCTTCCGCCCCTGCGGCGCCTAAAAAAGTCGAATATGACAAAAATAAGTGTGTTTCCACTAGCTCATCTGGATCAGCACATGATATTGACGCTGAAGAGTGGTAAAAAATTAGTCGTGTCGTCTGATTCCTTTCACTGTGTCTTAACTATTAGTAATACGTTCAAATGCTTGATATGCGAAGCTGAATTTAAGTGTTACTCTAGCAAAGAAAAACATAAGACTACAGAATTGCATAAAAAGCGCTTAGCTTTAAAACCAAACTTGGAAGAATTTCCTGAGGACCTAATACGTCAGGTATTATTGTATTATATATTATAAGATAGTAATGATACCGTCCCCCCTGTGGGGCATGGAGCAAATCCAATGTGTCCCTTTCACTTTGAGCTATGGGGGCGATCAATCTTTATTAAATAAAACCACAAAAGATTAACACATTTGTGTTTTGTAGATTTTAACATATTAGGGACGACATTACAAATGAAGAAACAGTAATGTGGGATCTTGGTCAAGCATATCGCTGTATGCTGTTAGTCGTGGGTTCAACTCTTGCCTGTGTCCTTTATTTATCCAAAACATTTTAAACAACCCTATAAGATTAAAATTATAGTTTTCTCAGACCTAACTGACAGAACATTTGATAATAACAAAGATTCAAATCATGGACTAGTGCAACAACTTTTGAGGCAGTTCTATAGAGCCTTATTTCTAAAAAAGTATATTATTTCCATTCTACACAGTTATCATTTCATTATATTTGCTACAGCTTGATGCCGAGACCTGCTATTGCTCAATATGCAATGTGGTCATACCGACACATTCCCTCATGCGCCACCTTTCAGGGGAAGGACACAGCACAGAGTTAAACAAAGCCAAGAAAAGATCTTTCAATTATAAGCCTTTGCAATAAAAGAAATAAAAAATTATCTTCCATGTAAACAGTGTGTAAATAAAGGTGTTGGCTGGATACAACAATTGACATCTAAAGTGTTTTATTAAACTTTCCTTCGAGTTATATAAATCTCATTATGGCAAGTAAAAATAAAATATTTATAACCACGTCCTTTGTAAGTATACAGTGTAACTATTAAAAGATAGTTTGTTTTTTTTCATTCGTGTATTTTCAAGTGTTTGCTTATATATTTAGCTATAGTGACTATAAATATTAAATTCAGACTTATTTCTTGAAGTTATTTTATTAATACCTAACATTTTGTAATATTTGTAGGAAAATAAACTATAAACAACATTCATATAGATTTAAAAAAATAATAAATTTACATATTTTCTTTGTTATCTTAGTTTAATCTATATATCTTGAGTGTACCAAGCGGTACAGTTTATTAATAAACATTATTTTTTCGCTGGAATGTGAGATAGGTTTAACTTTATTTCTAAAGTCACTATTTAGGTTCAATATCATAATACCAGTGTGCATCAGTAAGTCCTAGATCAAGAGTGTTCAGTTTTAATGGAGCAAAATAAAACCACAAAGTATACAATACAACTTTATTTACGTTTCTTACTTTTTGTCTTTCGTTTAAACTTCTTCTTAGCGTTTGTTAATTTCGCGATCTTCCGTTTATGCAGCCATACTGGATATTGCCCATTTTGATCTTTTAAAGTTTTAGAATTGAAGATACGTTTTTCACCTTTGTCGTCCGAAACCTCGACTTTTTCCTCATCTGAACTCATTTCGACATCTTCCTCTTCTTCCGGCGGGGTTTCCTTCTTCTTTTTATTCGCTTTCAAGGCACCAGCGTCCAAAAATATTACTTGATCAGATTCCATAACCTCTTTTTCACTAACTTTTTCTTCTTCCTTTACGCCTAACATTTTCTTTAACCTGGCCAGTTCTTTTACTGCGTAACGTTCGCGTTTGATCGCACGACATTTTCGCTTCCATCTGCTGCGTAGAGATTTAGCCATTGCGTGTTATTTTGTTTTTATTTAGATTTTGAATATTAAATGAACATTTCAATCAAAGCACACGTTTTTAAAGGAAGTGACAACTGACAGTTTTATTTTGATTTAGAAGTTTGTCATAAGCCCGAACTCTATATTATTGATTTCTCACAATTCTAGTAACTCGATTAATAATCGATTTATAAAAATATGGTTAAAAATCCATTGCATTGAATTTATATTAAACATGTAGTTTAAATAAAACACTTTAACGGTTTAAAACGCGATATATTAGTTAAACTTATTTGAAAATGATTTTTAACTTCGGCCCGACGTTTCGGATGCTTTGCAGCAGCCGTGGTCACGGGGGAGACATACACATTAAATGTGTACTACTCGCGTAAACTATAGACAGTATTTAAACATGTAGTTTTAACTTTTCTTACTTATCAATCGCCTGCACCAGTGCGTTATTAAAATTACATGTTTTTTTAGTTTAAATTACTTTACTCATAATTAAATTGAAAATGTCAGTACAATCGATTAATTGACATCTGCCCGGTATTTACAGTCTATGGCTTTTCCTATTCATTTGGAGTCATAATTATGTGATACTCTGTCTGTGGCCATTCAGTATTAAATTTAGTTTCATTGTGTTTCGCGCTTCAGTTTCGTCAAAAATAAATAAGTAAATTAATTATTTGGAACATTTCCAAGTGCATCAAATAAACAATACTCGGGTTCGCTAACCGGTGTGCAACGATTTAGCGGCCCGCGAACTTGATTTCCTTTGTTCAGTGCGGAATTTTGTTATATTATTTCATAAAGTGATTTAATGGTGTATTTCTTGGAAAATGGAGCTAATGCAAGTAGATTCTCATATTACACCGAGTAAGGATGATAGCGGATACGTGCCTGACGGTAAATACCTGTTTCTAGACTTACTTTGTAAAAATCAATACCTTTGTACTAACTAGGTACAGTTTTAGTCTATTTTTGGTTTGACCGGTGCAAGGGGGGTGGGTAATATGCGCGAACGATATTAATTAAAATCGTTAACAGCCTTTGTTTGAGAAAAATAGCAATATTTGATAGTTTTATTTTATTATTGCTAAAATTACTACTTATAATAATTGAAGTAGTATACTTAGACCTTCAATAAATAGTAATCATTTAAATGTAGCCCTTTAATTGATCTCCCTTTTCTCATTATATGTGCGTTATATTTGTAACTATATTTGATAAAAGAGTATTGGTATTATAACGCACTTGTGCCAAAAAATAGGCAGATTTATATACCTATCTCTGTATACACCATATACCTCTATATTCTTTTTAATAAAAAATATTAACATCTTAATAATTTTCATAATAGATATGTTAACCTCTCAGTAAAGTAAAAGAAAATAAACATCTTACAATGATAGGAAGTAGGTAGAGACCCCATATGTCCGGAGTGCAGAGAAAGTGAAGGAAACAAGCATCCATCTACTCACTGAATGCTCTGCGTACTCGAGGCTAAGACAAATGCATATGAGCTTGGACAAAGTTATAGAAGATGACATAAAGAACTACAGATGGAAAAAATAATAAGGAGGGTTTGAAGGGGACACGGGGAGAGTTGGATGACCCAAAACCTCTGCAAGGAGGAAATGGGGAAATGGGTGAAATGGTCAGTGGATAATGTGGACTGATCACCCGTCCTGCCAAGGGTGTCCCCGATAGAAAATAATATAATAATAACAAAGTAAAAGAAAGTTTGATTCATCTCAATGCAACATTCTTACTATGTGAAATGCATAAATCCTAAACAACTGCCATGGTCTGGGGCAGTTTCGTTCACTTGATGGTTATAACTGAATAAACAATACTTCTCTATCGTGTATTGTGCACACACTTTGCCTTACAGTGATCTTTTTCATTTACAAGCAATTAGGAGATCATGCAGAGTGACCATCCAAAACAATTCGGAAAACATAAAACCCTTATTATTACTTATCATTCTTTTCCATAGGAAACATCAATAGAAGGCTGAGCCTACATCAATTGCTGACTGTTGTATTTCTTCATATGGAGGATGTTATATTGACTAATATAACTAAACAAAATGTTGACTAACTAATTATGTTAGTCACCACCGGTGGTTGCAAAAAACTCATTTACTTACTAATTAATTTAATTAAAAATATTACACTTAATTAATCCTACTTGTCTCCCTGTGCGCGATCCATCAGTTCGACGCTTACAATTATATTTATTAATATCTTATGCTAAAATGGGTACGGCAACAGTAGCGTCACATACCGATCGCACGAGTATCGAATACGCGCACTATCAGCAGTTTCCCCATAGTGGCACAGCTTAGGGCTGTCGCCTAATAGAGTGCAGCTTAGGGCCGGCACATAACAAAACTTTTTGTACCTATGCTTCATGTTATACATAATATTGTTAAATGTCCATCTTTAGTGCTTTGATGTAGGTATCTTTTAACAGTTCTTACGTCTCACTATTCAGTACATACAGCATTTGTGGACTAGATGTATGTTCCCCTCTTATTGCATCGGTACATAGAGTTGGTGCTCATCAGTCTTATATAAATTTCTATCTTGAGTCTAATATTATTTTTGATTTTCTTTTTATACTAGTTATTATTAATATTGTTAGTCATTTAAGTAGTCTATAAAGCAGATAGCATAATTTAAGCTTCACACATGCAGTTTCAGATACGCCCATGAGCACAGAAGTAACAATACTAGATCTGTCGGATGATGTACTTCTCTACATATTGAGGCTCCTCTCACCACGAGACCTTAAAGCACTTGGATAGTAAGTCTCAGAAATCATTTTTATATTATGTTACAATATAATGACATAGTAGATGATGACCAAAAGAAACATTTATTCAGAAACAACAAGGTTTTCAATTAAAACTTATTGCAACAAACATATAGGGAGGAGTAAATACAAATTATAATTAATATTTAAATCCAAATACAAAGAAAACATTCACTCAGATATCTTGGGACTTATGGTTCAATTTAGCACCTGCAAAGAAATAAATAAAAATAAAATATACTTAATTCTCTGTAAAATAATAAAAATTATGTATTTACATTTGTCAAAAAAAAATTAAATATGTTTGTCTGTCCGTTCGTCGTGGTTTTACAGAGTGATCAAAAGATAATACATTTTCGTGAATTTAATGACCTAAGGAGCAATTCATATCAATGCCAGGCAGCCCATTAAAGAAGTCTTTTAAACAATAATACGCCTCTTGAGACAATCTAAATATTATGACTTTTTTGAACTTATTATAAAATTTGCCAAATCTGTGGAACTAGCTATCACACAATTTCTAGTTATTAGTTATTATCCTGTGGGACATATGGTAACCTTACAATTTCACTGATCAATGTTATTTACAGGTATTTTAGAATTATGTGCCCTGCCGATCAAACATACAAACAAATCTATCAATCTTCCTAGATTCGACTCCACCTCTCGCATATTATAGGAGAGGCAATATAAAATTTTACAATCAAGTAAAGTGGTCCTTCTATTATACCATATATTCTCTTGTACAGTTCGTGCGCTCGGCTCGGTCGTCTCATCCAGGACAGGTCCCTCTGGCGGTATGTGGACGCAAGAAACGAGATCTTCAGCACCGCTAGGCTTGAGTGGTACCTTACCCACACGTTGCACAATGAAACCCAAGTGCTGCTTATCACTGGTCACGCGAAGGACTGCATCGGGTGAGCAGCTTGATAGTATTATTTTTCTGTGACGGATGAAGTAAGACAAGCATATTTCTTCGATGGAAGGTGTAATGTCTCTACCAGCCCTAATACCGGTTATGTGTTGAGATTAGGTCTATGTAAGAAAAAGATTTTTAATTTTCTGGTGGGTAATTGTTTCCACAATCTGTTTTAACCCGCTGTGTTGAAAACTAAGCTCATCTGTTATTGGGTATGTGCATAAAATAATTTTTATTCTGCCACTCTTTCTAAGTCTGGGTGACAGTCTGTATAAAAGTTAATGTACAGACAAATCTATATTAGTAATCAACGATAGATAAAAAATTCTATAGGAATAATTTCTCTCTTCCCAGGTGCCTTGGCATGGCCGAATCTACGAGGAAAACTGCTGAGGAGGAGCAGAATGGACAACAGTCATCTGCCCCACAAAGCAAGGAAAGTGCAGGAACTAATAGTAAGTTTTTTCGACTTTTATGTATGCATTAAAGTTGATGCTACATAAAGATGTGTCCATACCATTGGTGGTGAATTTTAATTTATTCAACAACCGAAAAATCCTAATTGTTGTTTATTTAATGAGTTTGAATCGTTTGCCCTGGAAACCATAGAACATTAAGCTTTAAGGTTGTAGACAACCGAAGTACGAAAATATTTTTTTCGATCAAGCAATAGGTAAGTATGTTAGTCGCCACCGGTGGTTGCAAAGAAACTCATTTACTTAATAATTAATTTAATAAAAAATATTACATTTAATTAGTCCTACTTTACTTCGTCTCCCTGTGCACGATGCATCAGTTCGACTTTTACAATTACTCTGATTCATATCTTATGCTAAAATGGGTACGGCAACAGTAGCGTCACATACCGATCGCACGGGTATTGAATACGCGCACTATCAGCAGTTTCCCCGTAGCGGCACAGCTTAGGGCTGTCGCCTAATAGAGTGCAGCTTAGGGCCGGGACATCAGGTCCACAACATATCAGGTTGTATAGGGCTGGCATAACACCAACTATCAATTAGTGTTAACCATACATTTTATCAACGATCTTTTCAGCGATCGTTCACGAGTGAGACTTCTACCCTCTTTTGTCGTTGATTTTACTTACATCAAATTCCTATAGAAATATCAAAGTAAAAAATTTTAATCTGTTGTGATGATCATTTGTATGATTTGATTTTTATTAATTTTAGCGTGAAATTGTGGTTTTTACTAAAGTCAATTTGAGGTAGTTCATTAATTTTATATATAATACAGTGTCTCAAAGTGTTTTTAGTGTAAAAATTAGGATTCCATGTAAGTTGTGTGCTTGTGTACCAAAAATGCCAAGTTAGGAAAAATACACTGTAGGTCTTTGTGAATTTGAAACCCGTTTGTGTTCATTTCACATTAAATTTTCATTCAGTTGATGTCCGTCAGCGACTAGCCGAAGACAATATATCAGTGATACGCGAACTGCCCCACGTGTCGCGATGCAGACAGCCGAGGTACAATGTTGACCAACATTTCGTCTGCCTTCCAAGGTTAGTAGAGTCACAACTGTTTCCTGGGTCCGATAAGACCTATGACACTGCCTGTTATTTACGCGAGTACTACACATTTAAAGAAAACGCTTTAACGGTTTAAAATGCAATATATATTAGTTTGCAGCAGTAGACAGTCTGTAGTAAAAGTGTACTCATAAAGCATGCAAAACGTCGGGCCGTAGTTAAAATAATTTTCAAATAAGTTTAACTAGTAAATATCGCGTTTTAAACCATTAAAATGTTTTATTGAAAAGGAATTATGATATTCAAAAATTCCATCGTCTACCCGCAGGCGGCGCGCTGGTCTCTCCTGGTGCGACGACAGCGGCATGGGCCGCTCGGGGCCCCAGAAGTGCATCGGGCCCCAATTTACAGTAACACCGCAGATAATGAGGCAACTGAGGCACCAGTGCAATCTCACCACTCTGTCGCTGGAATACTGCAACGTGAATTGCAATGTGGTGAGTATTTATGTTGAAAACATGACTAAATAAAATTTTTCTAACGGTTTGAAACGCAATGTAATCGTCAAATAATTTTCAATGTCTTTAACTACGACCTGGCGCTTAAACGTTAAAGTTTTTGAACAGTTAATAAATCCGACGCACGCGCAGGCTTCGGCTCGGCCGAAAAGCTTTAGTCTCATTGTAATCTAACACACAGTGGATCCTGACTAACTCAACCTCAAATGTATGTTTTTAATCTAGGGGTGGGTGACGAGTCAACAAATTAACTGTGATATACCCTACTATATAAAATATAATATAACCAGAAACCATCTGGTTTATATTTTGTATAGTGCTGATTTTTGGATTTGTACAATCGGTAGTCCACAGACTGAAACGGAAGCGCATTTTCACAGTTTCACTACCAACCATTTTTATTATTTTTTTTACATTAATTAGAAACATTTAGACTTGGTGGGGACCGAACCTTTGATTAGCTATACATTGCTACCAGAAACTGACCAGTCCGTCAAATAAAAAAAACCTTAATAATGTTTTTTTTTTTCAGATTAATCTCAGCCAATTTCCAAGGACCCTGAAATCTTTGTCTCTTTGCGGCACGAGGCTTTACAATCTTATCGAGGACAGATCGTTTCTTGCGAAGATTACCCAGTTCCTGCCTCTCCTTCAGGTATGTTCATTTGTGGTATACGATTACTCGGAATATCCAGAAAGATTTTATTCAAATAAAACACTTTAACGGTTTAAAACTTTAACTAATATATTATATCGCATTTTAAACGGTTAAAGTGTTTTATTTTAATGTGTACTAATCGCGTAAACTACAGACAGTATTTAAAGTTTTATTCGTGAATTGTAGGTGTGAAATTAAAATTTATTTGTGAGTTTGAATCCCGCATGTGACAAACATTTTTGAATCTTCATTCTGTTTAATACGTATTATTTGATAACGACATGTGAAAACGCGTGTAAAATAATAATACCTGTTTTAAACCGTTGACTTGGTTTAATCAATATGTATTATTTTTCCAGTACATAAACCTCTCGGAATGCGACTGGGTGGAGCCGTCGTCACTCCTGCCTTTATCGAAACTGGAAGCGCTCACGCACCTAATCGCCCGCGACTGCCTCAGACTGACCGAGTTCGTTGCGTACGCGTCGCTGACCGCGCGATACGGGTTTAAAACTCTGGAGGTAGGCTTATGTACCGCTGTCTTACTTCTATTAACTACGTTTTCTCTTATAGTGCGAAGTTCCTTATTCCCATGAGATTTATCCTGTATCCTCTTTATTCTCATGGGTTTACCCTATATAACTTGTATCCCAGGAGGTTTACCTCTCCTGATTACCTATGTCCCCTGTCCCCATGCGATTTACTCTATGTCCCCTGTATCCCCATGTGATTTATTTTATATTCCCTGTGTCCTCATGTGATTTATCTTATATCCCTTGTATCCCCTATATCCTCATCAACTGTACCTACTCACCCCATATCTCACAGCGCAGTAACTTGTAATTGACTCTTCAATGCTTGAATTGTTTTTAGTGCGGATAGTCATTAACATTGGATTTTTAGGGAATTCAGGGTACCTAAACCATACTAAAGGACTACTTTTAACTTTTCCAGTACCTGGACTTCCGCGGGTCCCCGGTGGGTGACTCGGAGGTGTCCGCCTTCGGTTGGCTTCCTACCCTGCAGGAGCTGTGGCTGAGGGCCTTCAAGAAGCCGAACATAGAGCGGCACGCGCACTACACGGACGACGAGTACGTGCCGCATATACAGCTCGAAGAGTGGGAGGTGCAGGTAAATGCAAGATGAATGGAGTCTGCAGTGAAATACGCATTTAACTTATTTTATGATTAAGGTGAAATACCTCAGGCATAAAACGTCTGAACGAGATGCGCTGTCGGCCTACTTTGAATACTCGCAAGTTCACAGAATGGAACCGAAACGAGATGAAATTTGACGGCTTTTTCACCTGTGGACGGTGGGTCGTGACCCGGACGGAATTTCTATATTCCTACCGCGTATCCAGACGTAGTCCAGCATGTTTCAGATAAATTATAATTTAATTAGAAAGACGATGGACCCGATTGTGATCGAACTTCACGATAGTTGATTATTAGCCATACATTACTACAATTACACCAAAGAACCAGTGAAAATAAGGCATTTTAATAAAATACTTTTAACGGTTTAAATCGCAAAATATATAACATAGATACGACGTTTCTGATGCATTACGGCAGTATTTTATTTTTAATTGCGAATGAATGCGTTTATTGAGTCGTGGACAAATGATAGAGCCAATATTTAAAAATACATGTATATTACAGGAACCAGAGTACTACCAGTCGAAGACCTTGTCGGAGCCAATAGCGACAGACGAAGAATCGGACAGCGGTCATGTCCAGTTTGACCTGAGCGATGAGCAGCCCTCCACCTCAGGAGATGATTCGCACAGGTGATATTTTATGATATTAATTGAAGCACCCCAGCCATGTAACATCTAAGCAAGATGTGCTGTTTATCCACAGTAGTCCACAGAATTGAACCTACCCGGACGGAATTTAGATATTCTTATCACCCATTAACTATTCACACTTTATAGATTGAGTTAATTTATCAGAAACGTTGTAAATTGTTTAAAAATAAATATACTTATATTAATTGATTGACATTGTAACACATAATTTTACAGGAACAAATCGGACAAGGACGAAGACAAACGCGAGCCCAAAGACAACATGAAGCGAGACAGAGATACCGAAGACAAGAATGATGATGGGGATGATGATGATGATTCCGGAGATCCGAAGCGACCGAGGCGGGATCCAGGGATACATGTACACATAGATAGGATTAAGGCGGCGTGTCGCGCCCTCAGACCGCTAGTAGAGGAATCGCTATATGCATCCAGGAATATACCCGGCCCGTCCAATAGGCACGAAGAAAGACATACGCCGTGCTGCAAATGCCCGGAACATACAGTCGAGAAAACGGACAAAGCCACGGAAACTGATAATATGGACGCGTTTGGAAAGTGCGGGTGCGGAAAGAAGGGAAGTGAAGACGGAGGTGCCGAAAAATCTGACCCTGCAAAAGCTGATGAGACTGCCAAAGAAAGCAACAAAATGGATGTTAACCAGGCTGAAGAGAATAAGACTTCAGAAGAAGATAGCGATAAACTTTTAAAAGAAGATAATAGAACACCAGAAGGTGGCGAGAAAGCTTCGGAAAATAAAGATGATAAAAATAAAGCAAACGACGACGCTGACAACAGAAATGAGAACGAACAGCAGCCGTCGAACTCGGCGTACGTCCACTTCCGTAGGAATCAGAGACCTTTGGTGATGAACTGTCCCAACATGGCCCAAGGGGTGATCAATCAGGTGATGGGTAATCTGCAGCGAGTGTTCGAGAGAGCGCACCGCGACGTATGCCCTGAACGTCCACAGCCAAGCGACAACGTGACAAATAAAGATGAAAATGAAACAAAAGACAATAATAAAAACGATGAAGGTACTGGTGCAAATGCGAAGGAGAAACCGGATGAACAGCAACCGGGGCCGTCGGCGAATCCAGAACCGAGTAGGAACCAAGAAGAGCCCCGACCCTCGCGCCGTTTAGAACCAAACGCGCCTTTCGCCGCGCGCTACCCGAACTTGAATCTCCTGGTGCAGAACGCGAACCGCGAGATCCCCGAGCCTTACTTCGAGCCCCACCGCCACGAAGTCCAGTACGTGGTGGAGCCTCGTCACCACGTGTTGTACGTCAGTGTGGAATCCCAGTCAAATACCTTTCGCCTGCCGCGCGACTTCGAACACGAAGTTAGACACGACACGAGGCCCATTTCGCACGTCGACCCCAGTTCCCTGGTCACCGATTACTCCATCCGTCGCTTCGGCAGAGCTGATGGGGAGGACGTCAACTTTATACACTTTGGCCCCCACGGACCTGTTCTGATGGGAGCGGCGGGAAACAATAGCCGACCGGATAGGTGAGATACGATCTCGATTCTTTCAGTTTTCCTCCATTAAGTTATTCTGCAATTCGATGTAACGCTTTTAACAGTTTAAAACGCGAAAGATATTAGTTAACTTATTTACAATTTAGTTTGACGATAACGTTGTCGGGTGCTATGCAGCAGCCGTGGTCACGGGGAGGTTGTTATTCATTTCATTAATATATTTTTATTAGAAACATGTTAGACCTTGTGGAGATGTAACCCACGTCCCGTTATTGCTACCATTAGACCATCGAGCACTACTAAGTCCAAACATTTTTGCTTATAGGTCGAACCTTCGGGTCTTATCAGTCATCGGATATAGAAACATCACGGATCGCAGTCTGTCACATTTGATCAGCGCTGCTCCACACTTGCGCAGTCTGGATCTCAGGGGAACGAGCGTCACTGAGAGAGGCGTTGAGAACTTTCGCAGCCTGAGGCCGGACTGCGAAGTTGTATACGGCCCGCTAGAAGAACAGGATAAGCAGTAGTGACGTCATCGATCGCTAACGTAATTCTAAGCGTGGCGTCAGAAAAACAATGTCAAAATTTGTAGAATATACATTTGGATTCATGAACGCTGACGTCGCTGCCAAGCGCTCAAAATTGTGAAAGGGTGTTTGTGACGTCATAAAATTGGAAGAATGACGTCACATTTTTGTGTTGCCATAGCGCCATTTAAGTTAATGCAAAACAGGTAACGTATTCCGGCACGTGACCAAAGATTATCCACGTGCGTCATAATCTATGTCGTCATAAAAGTCGTCGTGACGTCAACCAAACGAAATAATCTAAAACCATTGACGGTTTCAACATTTCCGTAGCTGCATATTACAATCGTCGTCGTAAACACCTTTTTTATTTAAAATAAAAATGTCTATTGACGCGTGACCCTGTTTTCGAAGTGAAATTGTTTCTCTTGGTATCACGCAATACAGAAACGGTTTAAAACCCGTATTATTCAACTTAACCCACGACCCGATGTTTCAATGCTTCGCAATCGTGGTCACGGGAGAACGTGTAATATACGTTTGCCAAAAGTGTAATGTTCAACTATTGTATCTCGTTTCGTTGGCCTTGAGTAAATAAAAATGTGCAAAAGAAATAATTTCTTTCTAGTATGGGTTTTAAATACATACATACACGCATACAAACATATACAGGGTGCTGTCAAACTTATTGCATAAATATTTTAAGAATATGGCTTAGTTGGCTAAGCATCTTTGCAAAATTTCATTAAAATCGACTCATTAGTAGGCGCAACTCTTTCTTGCAACGATAAACAACAAGTTATAGCCAATAAATTCACTAAAATAAATTGATAATCATAAATTAATGGTTGTTGTCATATTCAAAAAAATAAGTTTTTTAAATTTGATCGTAATTGCTATTTCATTAATGAAATAATTGTATTATAATGTAATGCAATGTGAAAATTAGTGAGATAAGTCCGACGACAGCCTGTATATTTATAACTTATTTATATTGTGCTGAGGTTAAGTTACCAGATTAGAAAAGTCCCTTACGAATAGTAGTTTACCAATTGTCTAATGATGCGGTTACCAAACTTATCAAATTTACCAAAAGTGGGTAGCTAAAAATTTTAACTACCCACCTTTGTATATATATTTAAAAAAAAATAATAAGTAAATATTATTTACTTCAATTGTATGCTTTCTGCCCTTAGTGTAGAATATATGCATTTTAAAGTTTTAGTTAAATATATATCAAAGGTGTTAAACCTAGTAGAAAATATAGCACAAGGAATTAAGTATGTTTCTGGGTTCATTATTTTTTAACAGTACAACTGTATTTCCAATATTGTTATATTAATTAGGATATAAGGTAAGGAAATTCTGTCAGAATATTCAAACGTAAAAAAAAAACTAAAAACCGCCATTACTGTCGCTATCTTTGTTCGCGTCGTCTTGACGTTAGTAGAAGCGAATTTAAATTTAGAACATTATTTTGACGTTTCAAAATCTGTCAAACGTTTTCGTGGTCTCAGTGTTAAAACCCTTAGGATAAGTACGTGTTGGATTATAAGGTGAAATTTTATTTAAAATTTAGTCATCCATTGCACTTGTCGCTCTGTCTCTTTCATGCTTTAGACCAGCAACCTTTACGCGACAAGGACAGAAGATTTTTAGTAATCTCTTACAAAACTCTATCTATTTCTCCATACATTGAATTGTATGATTTTGAGTCGCAAGTATTAAAAGTATTTTAAAATTAGTCTTGTAAGGACATTTTTATAGTTTTGAAAATAATAATATTGTGTTCGTAATTACTAAACAACAAAGATGTCTTGTAAAACGATTGTATTTTTATATGCACATAGCCAGCGCCTCTGGTGGATGTTTGTCATTTTTCTAAACCGCCTTTGTAAACGTGATTTTCCTGTCAGAGACTATCTCTCTACTATCTTTGGAAATCATAGATTTTTGCAGGAAAACTGCGTTTTTTAACGATTTTGGTTGTAAGCAAAAGTTACTATTATTTTATATTCCTAGCCCAAAGGAGGAATAGTTTTGTATAAAAATAAGTAATTTATGATTCAGTTCATATAAATTGAATGTATATCTATCGTTTATAAGAATCGTATAGTCGGGTGCAAAAAGTGTCAAACGCTTTTGAAAAGAATATTCGTTTTAACTGATGAATTATTTGAAGCAAATAGTCAATGCATATATTCGACATTAATTAGAAAAAATAAAAAGGAATTAATTTTATGTCCATTTCATACCGCTTAATTTAAGTTGTAATGAGTTCTTCCAATCAGTTCAGTGAGTAATATCATAAGACGGATACGCATACTCAAAAATAAATCGTGTGTTTGTTTACTAAAAATGTCAAGTAAGAAAAAATACACAATAAAAGTGCTTAACATTTTTCGCACCCGACTATGTATAATTTATATCAATTGGGTACCTCTCGAAAACCGCCTCTAAATTATATTTTCATTTATAAACTCCTGTACAAAAATGGTGTTATGTTGTAAGGCCAAGCCTTTCGAGAAATCTCTTATTTTTTGGCGGGAACCTTTAGAAAATGGCGTCCGACATTTTGCAATAGATCATATTCGGTGGGTGTTTATAGTGAGACATGTCTCTGTTATGTCATATTTTTTTCCTATTTGGTAGCTTTAATTTTGATCTTTGGGTAATAAAGTTTCTATATGTAGCTCTGGGTTATATTTTATTTATTATAATATGTTATCAAAATGCTCTCAACTGTTTAAAACGCGACTGCCCGACGTTTACAGACAATATACGTAGATATATATTACTTTTTCTACCTAATCAATTAATTTTACCTAATTTGGAACCTATCAAAATTTTAATTTTCAAAAAATAAAGTGTTTTTTGCATTCTCGTTTGTCTAACAGTAGCAATGTAAGTGTGTATGTGATAATGGTAATAAATATGCACATAAAATACTGCCTGTGAAAACCTTTTAAACAAAACACTAACGGTTTAAAACGCGATTTACAGCAGTAAAATTTATTTGAAAATTAACCGTAACACGGCTGCTGCAAAGCATCCGAAGAATCGGGCCGTAGTTAAAATAATTTTCAAAATAAGTTTAACTGATGTAAATCTCGTTTTAAACCGTTAAAGTGTTTTTTATTTAAACAAAAACATAGCCCATTAATTTAATAGTCGTTTTGGGACTTCGATAGTGATTTTGTAAAAGGCTACATTTTAAAATTAATTGCCAATTATGAATAACTCGTGATATCAATGGAAAACCAACTATTTTAGTTTGGTTAAGAAAATGCAGGTCACAAGAACTGTAGTTTTATTATTACAATATATATTAGTCCACAGTGGGTATCCCCCGGTGAGAATAATATTTATTATATGTTATTTTCAAATAAGGTTATGTGTTTAAATTAAACATTTTTAACAGTATGAAACCTGAAGTATATAAGCTTATTTTTCTATTCTTATTTATGGACTCAAAGTCCAACCCGATGGTCCCATCGCGGCAAGTAAAACGCAAACTTCGAGGTAACAGTTAAATATAACGTACATTATATGTGTTCATATAGATCGCGTTTTAATCCGTCTAATTTTATTTAAATGTGAATTACTCGCAAACTTCAAAAAAGAAACTAAGCTACACATCTTTTCGATTGGACCAACAATCTCATTTTTGGATTTTGAATATTAAGGTAATATGTTTTTTAGACTGGCGATGAAATCGTTCCGGGAAGCGTCTTGTTACCGGCCACGAGGCGTGGCAGATATCTCGCCAACATCGTGAGACGACAGGCTGTGGCAAGTATTTATTAATTAGATGCAAAAAAAAATCTACCTGAACTATTTGTCACTTATAATCATTTTTATTATAGTATGAGATTCACATGACGGTAAAATATCTCAGGCATATAATATCGCTGTCGATTTATTTCCTATTGGCTTTGACCATTTCTCTCTTCGTTAAATAGATATGTTCTATTTCATCTCTTTGTAAGCCATCATTATTCATTCAGTCCAATTGAGGCTGCTAAAGGCAAAGTGGCCTAATAAGAAAAAACATGATTGAATAAGGCGGATAATTGTTTATGTACCATTATTTGTGTAAGGATTATGTTAACAATTTTGCGGTCACTGTGCTCTTGTAGATTAACATTTTTGGACTATGAAATTATAAATAACTGACGTCATAATATTGCAGTTAGGCTACTCTTTCTCTGGCGGCCCCAATTCAATTAAGTTGCCACAGATTTTGAAGTCTGTGTAACTAATGTCTTGTAAGTTAGAATTAAATACATAAATTAATAAAACGTTAATATATAAACAGTTATGTCTTATTGTTCTGTGTAAGTTTAAATACATAAAGAAATTGTGTTTTAGGATGGAACCGGAATCAAATTCAACAAAGACGCTGACCGGGTAAGTATACAATTATTTCGATCGGCACTTGTTTTCTCGATTGAGAATTTAAAATATATCTACATGTACAGTTCCAGTTGTCTTTTGGTGTTCACCCCATGCCCCAATCCACTTACTGATCAATTAGTTAATCAGATATCTGTGTTTAAATAACGCTACTCGTGCTTAATACAACGCTAGACGTGCCTGGCCATTTAGTTTCGGAAACCTCGAGAACAGCTGAGTCGATTTTCATATATTTAACTTGTTGGTTTCGTTCAGCCATCTTATCCTATCTTCTAGATGAACGCAGAAGCTAAGAAGAAGGTGGACGTCCTTTCAGAGGAGCTGTTACCCTACATCATAGCGGAACAGGAGCGACGCACCACTTTGTATAAGCGTATTATGACAGCCATACAAAATGGCGAGAAAGGAGTAACCATAGCGGAGATTAGGAACAAACCCCCGCTCATCATTCGAAAGGGTATTACAATTAACATAATGAATTAGTAATTAACCAGACTAGGTCATGGTTTGAAGAAATTATTTTTTAACGGTTTAAAACGCGAAAACCTATTTACAAATGGTTTTAACTACGGCCCGACGTGTCGGGACACGGGGAGACTAAAGAGGAACGTCGGGTCGTAGTTAAAATAATTTGCAAAAGAAAATAAGAGAAATAACTGAATTCAAACGGTAGGTACACTAAAAAGAAAAAAATGTTAATGTGTGTGTTTGATATCCCGACGGTGATCAAACCACGATCCGTTGGTTAATACACTGCAACCGTTACACCAGCCCGTCGAGGTAACTGGAGTCCACTATTTCTATTTTCCTTGGGTAAAGGTATGCTCTACCGCTGTCCATCAAACCGGGCCCCAAAGGAGCCAGATGGGTCTGGAATTCTGATGTGCGAAGAAGACATAGAGCCAAGCCAAGTGATGTACGACTCGTGTCTCAGCGCAGAGGATAAGGAGCTCTATGTCGCTGAGAATAAATACTTCTTCTGCAATCGTATGTATTTAAATACTTATATTTTACGTTTAGCTTTAATAAACGACTTTTTTATATTTAAATAAAACGCTTTAACGTTAAAAACGCGATATATTGGACTTATTTGAAAATGATTTTTAAATTCGGCCCGACGTTTCGGATGCTTCGCAGCAACCGTGGTCACGGGGAGTCTCCCTAAGTTTAACTAATATATCGCGTTTTAAACCGTTAAAGTGTTTTATTTAAATGTGTACTACACGCGTAAACTATAGACAGTATTAAGGTTTTTTATAATAGAGGACAGACAATGAGGTTCTCTTGAAGGTAGATGAAATAGACCAGCCATATAACGTCCACACTGGATGCACTCTCGACCTATTTCGGCTTTGGATATTTGGAAAAAATATAACTAATAGAAATTTGAGTTTATGAGACGAACTAAACCGAATTGTGGTTATTTTTTCGATAGAATGCAATCTAACAAAAAATAACATGTATGCAACGGTGAGCGGCGACATGACGTTTATTTACGAGTGTACTGTTATAAAACTGAAGAGTTTGTTTGTTCGAACGCTTTTTTTTTTTTTTTTGAATTGACTATTACGTATTGTGTTCCTATGGAGCCACGAATACTAACCGGGCGTTTTGGGGAGCGCGAGAGCGCGCCCCGTTTTTGCGTCTAGACCAAGGGTGCCCCGAGGGGGGGCAACGGCCTCGGCTTGGACCGCCGCAATGCGGGTGGGAACTTGAGGAGCTGGACGGAAGCTCACCCGGGTGAGCGGTACGCGTAGCGAATGACCACGCCTACGCCGGCGTAGGCGGTTTTGCGGGCGATCGGCACCGGTGCCGGTCGATCGCGTAGCGACGAGGGTTTCGACGGCTGTGGTTAAGTTGTCAGCGAGATCGGAGAGAACGTTACGCGGCCTTCTCCAGCGTGTGTTGACGGGAACGGTGTAGTTGGCGGCCCGGGCCACCAGTGGGTTCGGATGCGTCGCGGCTTTTTTGAAGAAACGCTCGGACGTTTCCTTGAAGTACCGACTGAGGGTCGGTAATCCGAGATCGGCGTGTGTTCGAACGCGCTAATATCAGGAACTAGTGGTTCAAATTTAAAATTTCAATTTTATGTTGGTTAGACCGTTTACAGAGGAATGCTTTAGGTTATATATATTGATAAATAGCAGCGAAGGAACAGTGGGAAATAAGAGGAAAACAGGGAAACTTATTCATCTATAAGGGCGTACGTTGCGTGCGCTGCGCAAACGGTTCGAGGAACCAAGAAATATATATGGATAGGTCATCTTCAAATGATTTAAAAAAGGTCCACGGCAGTAGTTAAAGTTTAATTCGCAAGAACGATAAGACGCGAACGGCGTCGTATGTCAGTTAGAATTTATATATGCGAGGGTTGTTTGCACAAATAAATTGTAATGCCTAATATAACTATTCTATGTAGAGTGAAGTCTACAGCTAGTTGAATGTAAGAGCGTCACTTAACCATGATTTTATGAAAATCAACTGAACCGTTCGGGCATACGATGAACTAACAATTCTTTTACATTTATAAACTTTCACATTTCAATCCCCGATTTTCATAAAACGTTTTGTTCAGGGCACAAAATCGAAGGTCCCGACCTACCACGAAACGGCTCTACAGTCATCGGTTGTGCTCCAATAGAGAGAACTTCACTCAACTACACCAGCCTCAAATGCGCTCTCGAAGACACGGACGACGTGGTGGTGCATTACAGATATTATCCTGACAGGGTGGGTGTTAGAGTATCTCCCACAGGTGGGACTAATCTTGTGTCTGAATGCTACTAAACTAGACCTTTACATTCTGAAATCATGCTTCTAAAGGTTTATCCAGACTCGTGAAAGTTTCGCAGAGACTTCTCGCGAGAACTTTATTAATGGACACAATTTTTTCTGACTTGTGATCCTTCTATCTGGTACGGATGACATTACAATATTCAAACCTACTGCAGGTTTGCTTCTACGTGGACTTGCACTTTAGATATTCTAAACCACGTTCTTACGTTGTAATTCAAACTTAAGTTAAAAAAAAGCCAGGCGGGGTAGATCGCGAAAATTCATCAAAACAGAACACGTTTTAACTACTACTCAAGCAAAACTGGGACACGCGATATTCTTACCTAAAAGATACAGTACAACTTCGATATAACGAATCGGAGGGGAACAAGAAAATATTCGTTATATCAAGTAATTCGTTGAACTGATGTTGAGGTTGGGTTAGATTGCTATAAATTCTAGAGAGCTAAAAGAATAGTTTTATTCACTTCAATGTTTCGCTTTTCTGCAATCAATAAGGAACACCTTTACGTTTCTGAGCCATTTTAACTTACATCTTTAGCAATAGTGACGAGCAGAGGTGTTTACATTACTTTCCATCAAAACAACAATGGTAACTCGATCGCATTCAAACATGTCGTGATATGAATCACATTATAAGATTATACGTGTAAAGGTTTTGGGTTGGCAAAATTCGTTAATTAGAGGTATGAATACTTTTTCTTGATAGTTGAAAATTCGTTATTTAAAAGTTGTACGCAAAGAATGTTCGCAATGGAAAGGTATATTTTATATTGACTCTTATGGACAATTCAAGGGGATTACAAGATTTTGTTATATTGAAGATTCGTTATATTAAGGTTCCATTGTAATAAGATAGTAAATAAAGATAATTATTAATCATTTCATTAATAATTCCTTATTACACTTTTTTTGTTGTACGAGTGTTGGAGGTATTAATTAGTATCTTCTAATTCAAATTATGCTATATTGGGGAGTGTACGAGCTGTCGTTCAAATAATTTCTGAGAAATCCTTTGTAGCGGCCCTAAATACTTCATTTCGGGTGGTTTCGGGATTTCGGGTGTCTCGAAGTTCTCGGGTGATCTCGGGTATTCTCGCCGTAAGTCTGTATAAGCATTAAAGCGACATTCCTTTCCCAGACCTACAAGTTCGTGACAGAGCTAGACCCGGACAGGGAAGTTTGTGACCATTGGAATCCTTGTCAGATTGGTTACATCTATAGTCTGCCGACACCTGATCAGGCCCTACTAGCGAACGAACTGTGGAGTAAGTCAAAATGGCTCCTACATGTCACTTTAGGAAGAAAAGAAAGATGAGATTTTGGATGGAATCGTAATAATGAGATGACCGCGACGGGCAGTGAAAACTTTGAAAATTCTGTCATTTTTGAATTAAGAATACACAGTATCTGATATCAATTAAGAATTAGCTTAAAGAAGGTACATACTACAGACATTTGACAATCTATTTTCGTCGTGCCACCAAAACAGATTTATGATTTGCTACAACAGTAAATATATTTTATTTCTTCCTTTATTTTCAGATAATTATAGTAAGTACTAAATTAAATTTCATTTTATTCTATATCCCACTACAGAGCAGAATGAAACGCGTTGCATAGTATTGCGTTAAGCACAAGAAATCCTGGGTTCAAATCCCGTGGACATAATAAATTATTTCGGTCGGGCAGAGCATAAAACAACATAAAATGGCCCAGAGGGGGAAAACTAATCAAATTCACATAATATAATATTAAAGCAGTGCAAGACTACACTGATATTATTATAAATGATAACATATAACTTCAATATGCTTTAAAACTCCTGAAAGTACCTAATAATCCTTTATGAACAATATTTACAACTCGAATAGAAGCTACTAATCTATAATGCTAAACTTTTCAGTTGAAAGTAAGTTTCGCTTGTTACAACACAGGTGGCGCTTTTTTAAGTTTTAACCTATCCGAAACAGCTTCTTTAGAAACAATGTGCTAATTAAGAATGTAGTCAAGTCAAAATCCCGCTAACAGAATCTCGCCAGCTTTAGAAATTTATGAATGCATTTTATAAATAATAATTTCTTATTCGTCGTTGATGAATTAAAAAAATTACGGCGTAAATTTGGAAAAAGAAATGAGAAACGAGAAAAAGGAATCGGACAGTCGTTTTTATATCTTAATATTAATAATTGAACCATTTTATACATTTCAGGAAACGACGGTAAGTAAAGGTTCTTTAAAAGTCAAACATTTTATATTTTGAATGAAACCAACTAACGACCCAATCGCGAGTTCGATTCTCACCGGGTCAATCGTGTTTTTTAATGATTTATAATTTATTTAAACATATTACGAAGTGTTAGATAAATTATGTGTCTTGAGCATCTGAATATAAAATGGATGGTAGGAAGGTTTCACGGGTGTAATGGTAGCAATGTACCCACGGCTGATAATCAACGAGTCCAACATTTTTCTAATCAATTTATATTTTTTCTGAAACATGTTGGAGTTCGTCTGGAAATCTGGAAATCATTATAAAAAAAGAATATCGAAATCTCTCCTGGGTCACGACCCACTGTTCATGGATGTCTAACTTGTAACATCAACGTTTCTGATTAAATCTACGCCTTTCCGTAAGGCCACAAACACAATATATAAAAACAGTATGTTATTTTTTCATATACTATATATTTCAGAATTTGAAAGTAAGTTGTAATTGATCTTCATATGTTTTTTTGTATTGCGGTATTCTTCACGTCTGTAGTAATTATAAATTTTTTTTAGAGGATGGTAAGTACTTTGATATGTGGTTAAAAGTACATAATACTATACGTATATTCTTTTTAAACTCTCACTTCCGATGTTACTGACATACGCTATGTTTATTTTGTGATTTTCAGAAATAGTCCCACGTACGTTCCCCTTCAATTACTTCTTTATTTAATATGTTAGAAAGCAACTGATTTATTATTATTTTTGTCTATTAGCAATACCAGGTAAGATAAATATCTGAAATACCTTACACACTGTCTCACAGTCTGCCCGCTGCCACGATAAAGGTTGTAGCCAAGTTAAATGCATGTAAAAAAGAAATCGACATACATCTGAAACGCGAAATTAATTATTTTAAAAAGGGCCATAGGTGACGATTTGTGTTCGATCGCATTCGTGCTTCAGGCGAACAAAAAAATTTAAACTTATATTTTTTCGGTTAAAACCTTTAAAAGTTTTTACACAACACAACGTGTATAATATAATATGTGTTTAACAGGACCAATTAGTTATTCGACTTTATGTTATACAATATAATATTTCGTTTTAAACCGTTACGTTCATAGACAACAATTATTGTTGTTTATCATCCTTATTTTCGAGCTCTGAAGGGTAATTAGTTATGCGACTCTCATTCCTTCTAGATTAAAGTCTTTCTGTGTCTCTTCTAGAGGATAGCTTAGAGGAATTCGTGTCGCCGTTGTCCACGGATTACGCGACGAGTCCGCGTCGCATACCTGTACCAGAAGGATACGAGCTAAAGAGTGTCAAACGAAAACGACCACACAGCAACCAACTGGTTAGTAGTATAAATTGTGTAAGGCTTTCACGGCCATCGTTCAGCCGATGTGAGCGAGTGAGAGAACCTCTTCTCGCTCACCTCGGCCGAACACCCCCGAAAGAGAATGTGTGAGTATTATCAATTTTAAAACACCACATGCTTTTTCTGTTCCTCCTTTTTATCATTAAAAAACTTGGCTGTTGGCCTTCCTCTGGAAACCTGGATATTAAATGGGTAAAAAAACCCAAAACCCCCCCCGGCCACGGAACCAACCCCCACAAATGGCCGTCTTCGTCGCCAATCCAAATGTGTCGAGCTTGTTTGGATCTTGTTATACGGCGGGTATGCTTTTCTTTTCTCCTTTATCCTGAAAAAGCATTGGTAAATGGAGGGTGGTTGGTAAACTCCCTGGACGGGATGATGTTAACATATTTTGAAATCCTAAGCAATCCTAAACTAGACATGATTAAGGCGAAATTTATGTAATAAATAATGTAAAATAATGTCTAGGTCTCGATAAAGCTATAGAAATTTCGTTAAAACTACTTATTTGAAAATTTTGGATCCTTTTTGTTTATACCGATAGATCTATTTATACGCCTACGCGCTTTCCTTCCTTGACTTATCCCCAACGGTGTTTTCGTGGGTTCGAGGACAGCCCAAGGCATTTTTTTTTTCGAACTAAATAAATTTAAAATGTCTAAGTTTAACTAATATATATCGCATTTTAAACCGTTAAAGTTTTTTATTTAAATAAATCTTGACATCTTTAGCATATTTTAATTTTTTTTCTTTTACAGGAAGACCTGAACGACCTGTCTTCGCCAACTTACACAGTACAGCCATCACCAGACAAGAAACACGTGACTATCACTCTCTCTTTTTCTCCTTTCCACAAGAGTAAGGACTACGGGGAATATTTTGCACAATTCGGCCCGACCGGACGAAGAACGAACAAGGACAGATATATTAAATTGGTTGTGTTACGTGAGTATAACGTTTCTACATGTTACTTTTTCACCCCGAAACGACTAGACTGATTTTAATAAAACTTTGTATATATTTAACTCTTATGACACTAATAAAGCGAACGTTATGATATAATTTTTAAAATGGCTTTTTATGAAAATGCTTTTCGTCAAAATTGATGCTGCAGAACGACGAAATAAGCCTAATTCGCCCATCGCATTGCGACGCTCATCTTTAGATCTATTGTTAAAAAAAGTAAACCGTTTCAAACCGTTAAAACTATCTTTTTTTGCTTACTAATACATTCTGTTCCAGTGGGCAGTATGACAACCATATCATATCGGTCAATCGAGTTACTGCAAGGGCAGAGAGCTAACACCACCGCCATATCTTTCAAATGCAATAGATGTCGTCTTTTGAATCTGATCGTTAGAGCTGCGGACTGCAACATATATAATCTAGACAGTTCCAGATACAGGCTAAGGGAATACAGAGATAAGTAAGATGCTAACCCATACTAATATATAAAGCTGAAGAGTTTTATCAGGGCATTTATCTAGGAAGGTTAAAGGTGGAAAAAAACGGGAATGTGGAAAAAATTTATTCTCTTTGATAGTTACCGTTGCGTGCGTTGCGAAAACGGTTCAAGACACTCAACTAATATGTACGAAAAAAATAATTCCTCTATAAATGATCTAAGACTAAGTCCGCGACAGTATATCATGTTTTTTAGATTTACCTTGCAAACGACAGGGCGCGGACGATGTCGCGGGTAATAGCTATAATTTATAAAGGTTTGCAAAAACAAAGTTTGATGCCCAAAATAACTCTTATATGCTGATGAAGTCGCTGGCACAGCTAGTATCAAATACGATGTAACAGGTGGCGCTTTTTTGGCGCGAGATTTTATGTTTTAAACTGTTTAAAAATTTAAATGAATTGCTTATTCGCGTAAAATATAATTTGATGCTATTTTTGTTCTATATTATAAAGATGTAATTTTTTTGTTATGTTCCAGGGAAGGGAAACCGTAAGTCATCAAAAACTGTGCTAAATCTATAACAAGAGATAAAAATAACGACTAATGAATGTGATTTTTTAATAAGTTTAAAAATTCACTCAAAACTTCAAAAATGCGATAAGATACGCTTAAAAAAGAGATAGGATGTATCGTACTATTTCTAACACTGAGAAAATAATTTATTGAATATTATATTTTAGGAAACAGATGTTAGAAATCGAAGTGGAAGGATTGAAGGCACAGGACTTCGGTGATTATTTCGCTGTTATACAAAATGGCGAAGGCTTAGAAGAGAGAGTTAAAGTATTAAGCGTTCTTAGTAAGTATACTTATACTTAAAGAGGTATTTTTGTATCTTTATGAGACAACTTAATTTGTATCTATACTAATTTCAAAAGCTGAAGAGTCTGTTTATTTGAATGCGCTAATCTCAGAGACTGCTTGTTCGAAATGCAAGATTTTAAGTGTTCATTAGAGCATTTATCGAGGAAGACTATAGGCCATACTTTGCGCTAAGACTGTTAGAATGAAATGGGGAAAATTATTCAACTTTGAAGGTTTCCGTTAAGTACGCTACGAAAATGGTTCACAATTTGGGTATTGTCCGAAATGAGATGGTTCCCGTTTAAATTATCTAAGAGACTGAGTCATACACAGCTAGTTGCTAATCATCCATGGGTCGTAGGTTCGATTTTAATCGGATCCAGCTCAAAAACTTTTCCGTAACCTTTAATAAACAATTCCATTCTAAAAGGTTTTGATTTGATCAATGTTTAATTATAATTTTCAGCGCCCGGTAAGATATTTATGGGTGTGTACACCCATTTGTACCTATTTATAAGCCTAAAATTTGAAAAGTAAAAATTGTATTGTTAGTTTATGTTTTGTATTAATTGTTCGTTTTTTTATTTAACAGAAAAGGGTAAGAAAATCCTTCAAGTGCTTGTGGAGTAAGAAAGTTTTGTGTTAATTAAATTGTATTAACGAAGACTATTTACTTTTTTAGATACGGGTAATTTCTTACATATTCTTTAACTATTAATAAATTTGCTTTAAATAACTTTCCTACTAATGTGCTATAATCATATTAATATAGCATCGCTTTATTTTTCCAGATAATGGTAAATATGTTCTATCAACTGTTTAAACTAGTATAATTAAACAAATTTAGTTTGAAAAAATTTGCTGGCTCGGGTGGGACCCAATCCCACGACCATAGCGGTTCGTAGCTTTACCAAATAAACTACCGCGTTCTACTCTTCGGCATCGAATTATTAAATTAATTTTACAGACATAAAGTATCGATCGAATTGAAACAGATTTCGTGGGTTCAAATCCCGCCTTTACTAATTATTTTCACACCATCAATTAAAAAAAAGCCAACAGTCATTTGAAATAAATAATTCTTAGTAAAAACTAAAATCTCATGCTAAAATATAAAAAATCATAAATTATTTTTTACGCAAATGAACAGATTGTAATTTCTTTAGGTAGGATATATACTTACATAAGGATGAGATGTAAACAAAGTCAACCAAATTAGAAGGTAGAAAGATAATAATAATGATATAAAAATTTAAAAAAAGGTCGTATAGGAGTGATTTTGAATTTGAGGACCTCTTGGTCCAAATAAAATCGATATTTTTTATCTTTCTATCATCTGTGACAACAACTTCACTCTATAAAAGGTCATCACTAGTTCTCTATGGTTTGAAATCGGCCATATTTGTTGTGATCTTTTGCCAAGTTAGAAAAAATACATTAGTAAACATTTCTAGCGATAACGACGCAACGCCTCACCGCGTCGTTCGACGTCGGCGGCCATTTTGACAGAACCATGAACTTCACTTGCGAAGAGTGTACTGTGACAGACATTCTGTGTAATGGCGAAAGTGTCTTGTCTGCTGGCAGGGTGTCTGTCATACACGTCACTAAAATGATTAGCTTCAACTTTCCGAGGTGAGGTTCTTAGCTATAACATCCTAATCAATGAAATAAGTGTGAAGCAGTAATTATTAGGTAAAAATGTATGATCTTATATGAAAGAGGAGGATGGGCGATGAAATATCCCAGCGCCAAATAAGATTAAAAAACATGCGCCAGCAACCCATTTTGTTCTCGGTGATAGATCCACAGACTGAATCTGAAAAGTGATAACATTCGACGACTAGATAGATAGTACTATGCACATTTAAATACACTTTAACGGTTTCAAACCCTATATATTATAAACACTGATATAAAAAATATTTTAACTATGGCCCGACGTTTTTTATTTTAACGTGTACTAATCGCGTAAAGTACTGACAGTATCTATGGAGAGTGAAGTAACGTTTGACGCGAGCTCTTTTAATTGGCGTTTTAAACTGCTGACAGCGTTTTATTTATATCTCGTTTTTTTTAGATTCGAAGACAACCACGCTTGCGTATACATGGGTTTCTTCAAAGAGAAGACAAAGTTCATCAAAAAAGTCTTAGCCGTTATCGACAGTAAGTAAGACAAATAAACTTTTTCCGTCGTATTACGTAATAAACCTATTTACAAACGGTTTAAACGCGAAATATATTAGTTAACATACCTTGGGGACCGGTCTACTGCAATCTGAAAGACTAGTCAGCCCTACAAATAAGTTACCTAAGTTTTTTCGCCTTTGTAGTCGTTAAGAGAATTAAATTAAATTTGTGTCATTTAATGTAAATCAATTTTATAAAATAAAAAAATGAATTGAAAATAAAGTACGGTTGTTTTAAATTCAATTGAAGTGTTTGTTTTGGTTCTGGAAATGAAAATATTTCAAATTTTAACAACTGTATTAGTTTAAAAATCGAAAATAATTTGAAATAATTTTTCTACTCGGGCAGGACTTGAACCGGCATCGTCAGCTTCCGTCTTCTATACCAATTCAGCTACCGAGTGAATTATATAGTGCCTTATGTGCAATGACATGTAAAAAATATTAAATTTTTTAAACTATATTAGTGTTGCTTCCCAAGTAATTAAATTCTCACCTACAAGGGTTAACGTTGGACCACACTCTACAAAGGCGATGCAACTGAATTGAAATTGCCGTGTAATTCAATTTAAAAGTATCATTTTGTATTTTACAGACAATTGTAAGTACCATACAAAATTAATACAATTTATCAAGAAATTTTAAAATCTCACTTCACATTATTTTAAACCTGTAAATCTGTGGTGCGGACACATTTTGTGCTTTCACGACCGAAATATGATCTCATTGTCAAATTTGTTTTATCATTTGCACCTAAATAAAAAAAAAACTAACTAAAATAATTGTATACTATTTTATATATTTTATTTTTTAGCTCCAGGTAATACTTTGAAGGTTTTATTACTTAATTGCTAACGATCGAAACATACGTATTTCCTCGTAATGCTTTATTGACAATATCAGATAGAAGTCGATTTCTGAGTGACACACAAATTTTTCAATTAAATTATCCAAGATTATACATTCCAGCTGTAACAATACCAGAAGTAGTGAATATACAAGCTCCCAAAATAGGTGAACAGTTTCAACAAGAGATTCCGTTCAGCTGCGAAGAGTGTGTCGTCGATAAGGTTATTATTATTTGTCTAATGTAGGATGAGAAGTTTGGCAATTTCAAGAGGTGTAGATATACACTATAATCGTTGAATCTATTCGTGTTGTCGTATGTAGTATTGTCAACTAGCGCACCTGACAATCGTTTTTTTGAATATTGTCTTTAGTTCACGCGAGTAGTACACATTTAAATAAAACACTTTAACGGTTTAAAACGCGATATATAGATATGGAGGGACATGGTCAGGTGTCTCCCCGTGACTACGGCTGCTGCAAAGCATCCGAAACGTCGGGCCGAAGTTAAAAATCGTTTTCAAATAAGTTTACTAATGTCGCGTTTTAAACCGTTAAAGTGTTTTATTTGAATCGTTTTTTTTTCGCCATATGTAGGATTTCGACGAAAAATTCCGATAAAAACGGTTCTTGCGAGGAATCATTCTTTCCTATATATTTTTTTGGGTATCGTAACCTATTGTCGTAGCGCACTTAACGGAAACCTCAAAGTGCAATAATTTTGCCCCATTTTTTTTCACATTTCTGAATATTTCTCCACTCTTAATGGTGGCAGCGTGTTGTTTTATAGCTTAAAGCCTTACCAATAAATGCTATTGCCCACACAAGAAGAATCAGTTGTTCTTGAGATTACAGCGTTCAAATATACAAACTGGCCATTCATCTACATTTACAGGTTTTCGTAAACGGAATTCCCTTGGAAACTTCGCTTAGGAGAAATTCTGTTGGATCTATAGCTATCTTCACTGTAAGTTTACATTCTTACTTCGCCCCTAAAAAATTACCAGTATTTCAATTTGAAATCTATTTAGTTAAAAAAGAAATAGCACGTAATGATAGCAGTTCAAATGTGCAAATGTTAATAGATTTTTCTTTTTTTTTAAATCGGAGGATGACATACGAGCACGGTATTCACTTGTTGGCAAGTGAAATACCAACAACAAGATGTGTTGTTGACCTATTTTGTCTTTAAATAGTTTCCTTAACGACCTAGTGATTATTAGCATTGCTACCGTTACACCAACGTGCCCATCAAATGTTTAATGCAAAAAAAAAGTTTTAATTTATACAATCCCCTGCGCAAGAGCACGTACGAAAAGTTATTAAGTAACCTGAAGTTTACGCGAGTAATACACATTTAAATAAAATATTTTAACGGTTTAAAATGCTATATTTAGTTAAACTTATCGGAAAGCAGTTACAATAATTTTTAATATATATCGTGTTTTAAACCGTTATTGTTTTATTTCAATAAGTTATAAAGTATTAAAAATACTGTCACTTTTTATTATTATATTATTACAACTTACCCTTAGTATAGTATATAAACGCTGCTTGATAGGTTTCTTGATTTTAGGCTACATCAACGGAAATTACGGTCAGCATAACAGAGTACTCTCCCACGTACGAAGGAGTGTACCAGGCTGTTTTCACTACAGCATCAGAGACAGTTACGAAAACTATTATGGAGATACGGTACGTGTAGACTCGCTTCAGGGCTAGTAGATTTAAACCCTAAAAATTAAAAAAACACCGAACATTAAAACAAAAGTAAGTTTTCTCGTTTCAACATTGCATTAATTCATTTGTTTTAGAGATGAAGATGATGAACCAACTCAAGCTGCGGAAGAGACCACTGAAGGTAAGAAAGAAGACTAATACGTTTTTAAAACAAAGAATCTATACTATATGTGTGGAAGTATGATTCCTCTGTAAATGATCTAAAAAATGTCCGCGAGAGCATGTCTCTCTTTTAAGTTTAACTTGTAAGACGACGGGATGCGCGGTATTGGGGAAAGGTTTTGCGATAACTAATTTTAATGCCCAAATTAACTATTCTACGCGAAGTCCCTGTTAGAACTAGTTATTTCCAAAATGGTGGTTGGAATCTGGACGGACATCCATTAACTGAATTTTTGAGAGATTCAGTACTTTTCGCACGAAGTTGAAATAGATATGGACATACCTATATGTCAAAAATTGTCTGTCCTCCTCTATAATAAAAAAAATGAAAGTCCTGAGTTTTTATCTAAAATATTTTTTTATTAATACTCTTTACCGATTTAAAACACTTATTTGGAAATTATTTCAACTAGGTACGGCCCGACTTTTCGGATGCTTTGCAGCAGCCATGGTCACGTGGAGACCAAGGCTATATCGCGTTTTAAACCCTTAAAGTGTGTTATTTAAATGTGTACTACTCGCGTAAACGACAGACAGTATTAAACATATTTTTCTTCTGTTATAGCTGGGCCACCATTACCAGAAGATGAAGCAACAGACCGTATGTTTTTAAAAAATTTGAAAAGGAACAGTTTTTTTATATTCGTTTATTACATAATAAACAATATAAAAAAAAACTGAAATAGTTCAAACTTTGTAGAGCTTTATTTTTTTATTGATTTTAGACACGACAGGGGCCAGTAGTGCAAGAACAGGTAGTGTCAGTAGCGCAAGTATCGCAAGTACTCCAAGCGATGGTGAGTCAAAGGCGATACCATTATTTTAGAACGCATTGCCTTTATCTTAATCATCTAGATCCAATTCTAGGAAAAGCGAGCTCGTGTGACCCAAGCGGAATTTAAACATATCTCCCACAAATTTAATATCCAATCCTATAGACTCAAGATCCACTGTTGCCATGGAAACAGCAAGAGCGTCATATTTACTTATGTACGCTAACCTTCGGTCATTATCTTTCAGTCACTGTTGCTGCGACTACAGTTGGAACTACAGCTGGAAAAACCGCTAGAACAACAGCTGAAGCCGCTGCTTAAGAATTGTGAAGAGAAATAAAAACGTAACAAAAATGTCTTTTTTTTGTCTTGTAAAAATATCCTATCATATAGTTGCCATGGTTGCGAGTCAGGCCTAATTATTTTTTTTTTTTATTTTATTTATTATAAAAACATTACGGCGAAACTGATAGAAGACACTTAACAATTATCATCAATTATAGGAAAAATTTAAAAATCAGACAATTCTTAGTTATGACATTGATCTGCAAAAGGTCACATTTGGGTCTTAACTTGAGGAGAGCGTTGAGTGAGGTTAAAATTCGTGGTATCGGCGAAAACGCGCGAGCAGAGGTGCGACCTCTCGGGACGTCAAAGAGATCGTGTCTTCTCGGCCTAGTTGCGGTACAAACAGTCGACAGAAGGCTCCCTCAAATAAGGATCATCGATCACCTATAAATGTAACATACATTTCATTTTTTCCATGGCATGGGGCATAAGCATGGGGTTCACTGGATGGTAGGTGATATAGCCTATAGCATCTAAGAAAGATGCTCTGTCGGCCTATTTTGGCTTTGGAAAATCATTCGGAAATCCACAGATTCACACCAAAATTTTTATCTGTATTATTATTAACCTACTCTGTGCAATAAAGAATAAATAAATGAACGTTATCCGAATATCCAATGTGAAAATAGGTCGACGGCGTATCTTGTATAAATGTTATATGGCTGCGGTATTTCAGTCCTCCTCTATCATAAAAAATTGTTGATTACGGACGCTAATAAGTTGGTACTAACTAAGTGTTTGGCCGGCAAAAATGCATTACTTTTGTATTAATGTATATATTGTATTGAAATTGAAGTGTCGTTCTTAGACAGCTTTAGAATTTGGACACTAGAGGCGCTAGGCAGAATCCTCGCCTCGCCTATAGACTATGATATCATTTGTAACACTAAACTGTGAATTGTCGAATTTATCAACCTTCATATATGAAAGGTTAAAAATATATATAAATAAACAAACAAGGAAATATATATATAACGGCCACGTTTACGCTTGGCTAGAATAAGACAAAGCCGAAGCAACTACATAGTGTAAGCTACAGTTATTCGAGGCCGGTTGAAATAAGTTAACGAGTACTTGCTAAATGTCACCGTTACAATGTTTAACCAATTCCAACCTTTGCGCCTCGTAGAATTCTTTATTTTCTATCTATATTAATATACAAAGCTGAAGAGTTTGTTTGTTTGAACGCGATTATCTCGGGAACTACTGGTGGGTATTAGAACCTAAAAAAAAAATGCGCTGAGACTAATAGAAGTGAAGAAAAAGCTGAAAATGTGGAGGAAACGGGAAAAATTGTTCACTTTAGTGGGTATCCGTTGCGTACGTTGCGAAAACGCATATTTACAGCATTTCCCTCTTAGATAAATGACGTTTTTTACTTGGTTAGACGCGACAGGAAAATGCATAACTCCTACCAGGTTCTTCCACCCTAGTACATCAAATCACAATGGAACGACATCCATACAAAGTGCTGCTTCTCCATTTAATGTACTAGGAGAGAAGAATCGGCGAGGAGGTTATTGTAAGCTGATGGAGATGCGACAGGAAAGTGCATAACTCCTACAAGGTTCTTTCGCCCTAGTACTTCAGATCGCAAAAGAAGGAATTCCATACAGAGTACAGCTGCTCCATTTGATGTAATAGGAGAGAAGAATTGGCGAGGAAGTTATTGTAAGCTGATGGAGATGCGACAGGAAAGTGCATAACTCCTACAGGGTTCTTTCGCCCTAGTACGTCAGATCGCAAAAGAAGGAATTCCATACAGAGTACAGCTGCTCCATTTGATGTAATAGGAGAGAAGAATCGGCGAGGAGGTTATTGTAAGCTGATGGAGATGCGACAGGAAAGTGCATAACTCCTACCAGGTTCTTTCGCCCTAGTACTTCAGATCGCAAAAGAAGGAATTCCATACAGAGTACAGCTGCTCCATTTGATGTAATAGGAGAGAAGAATTGGCGAGGAGATTATGTAACTGTGGAACAGGAAAGTCCATAACTCCTACCAGGTTTTCGCCCTAGCAGTTCAGATCGCAAAAAAAGGAATTTTTTCCCCCAGTACGTCTATTTGATGTACTCGGGGAGAAGAATCGGCGAGGAGATTATTGTAAGCCGATGAACCAGATCTTATTACCGTTGTCGGAGAGAAGACTAGTTAGTGTCCCTTGCATTTCCTTGCAAAAGAGAAGCAAGTCCTTTGCAAGTAGAACCTCGATTATGATATAATTTCTTAGTGCACTGCCATTTAAAAAAAAAACAATGAAAATATTTTGTTTCTTGATAAGATAAAAATTTAAATAGAACACTTTGAACTGTTTAAAACGCGAATCATATTAGTAAACTTACTTTTGCAGCAGTCGTCACGTTGGGACTGAAACTGGACACCCTCCATTACAAGGGGTTACTTGTTTTGCTCGTTAATAATAAATTTATGGTGAATTTACTGTATATTGGCGCCACATAAAGGATTTTTTTACATATATTAATACTTCTTATTTCGTGATAAAACGCTACCTTAAGTTGTAATGTATAATAATTGCGTACAAACAAAACACGTATACTTTCACATTTTGTTAACAGTAAAAACTTTTTGTTCAGTCCGCGTTACGATTTGACAAGAGACGGTCGAGCGTCGTTCAATTAAAAAAAAGAAAAAACAAAGTTACCGCCAAAGTTCGTGTGACAGTTCCGTTTTATGCGCTAGTTTGTGGAATTTCAAGTAGTTAAGTAAGTTTTTCTTTTTTGTAACAACATATATGATAATAACTTGAGCCAAAAATTAAGTTTCTTTATTATTTACACTTCCTTAGAATTAATAAAACTTGTTTTCGAAATTGAATGTGAACTTGCTAAGTCAATTTCTGTTTTATCTTCGTCCACTCATTTAGCTAAACTCAGAAACGACCAAACCGATTTCGATGGGATTTTCTTCTGACGTATAATTTCATGAAGACTAAGCACAAAAATAAATATTAAAACAGCAAAGTTTTAAGTACCTACGTTTTACTTTTGTTAAAAATAATTTTACTAGTATATTTCGCGTTTTGAACCGTTAAAGTGTTTCATTTAAATGGTCCATTATTAAAATTAGCCCATTTTTTTATTTTTATCACATGTCTCCGCCTCCTTATCTCATTGGTTGAACGCGTTGCCTTGCGTTATGTTAAATATGAGTTCGATTCCCGGGAAAGCGATCATTTAGATAAGCCAATATTGATGAAATTATAATATTTCCAGCTTTCCCTTTAAGCAGAATGAGTCTCGATATTTAGTTTTAAAATGAAATCGTAACCTTTACAAGATTTTTTTTAATTTTTATATAATCTTGAATCAGACCAAAGAATAATATAAAAATAAATTTTATCGCATTACTACCGCTTTAAACATCTATGGTAGCTGTCATTTGTAGGTTACCTAGCTAATTCGTGTTTGTTTGTTTTTTGTAATATATAAATTATAATATATTATGTTACACAAAATGTAAAAAAAACAACGAAGAATGTCGCGTTGGTAGCGTATAGCAAATAATCACAGGGTCATGAGTCAATTACGCAAATTTTACATGGCTAGAGATTTTTATTTTCCTTCAAGGAACCCCATGCTCTTGAGAGTTCCTCTACAAAAAAATAGGTTCCGTACATGAGGTTGCTAGAGGCAGAGTAGCCTAATAAAACATGCTTTCTAATAAGGAAAATTAAAAATTCACAATTAAGTTAGGAGAAAATTAATGTGTAATATTATTTGTGTTGTTAACAATTTTCGGTCACTGTGCGCTTTTAGATTAACATTGTTAAACGATAAAAATTTAAATACTGTCTATAGTTTACGCGAGTAGTACACATTTAAATAAAACACTTTAACGGTTTAAAACGCGATATATTAGTTAATATATCGCGTTTTAAACCGTTAAAATGTATTTATTACAATTAGGCTACTCTGTCTTTAACGGCTCTCTATTTATGTTAAAAATGTCTAGTAAAATGGATACGGAACCGTAAAAGTCTTTCCCATAAACTTGTCAACTTCTAGACACAGATTTGTCTAATGTAAAAAATTTTAACCACATTTAGCAACTTAACCTAAAAAGGAGGAGCTTTCCCAAGAACATTCGTCAAGTTTAAGTGGCACTTAGCGAACTTAAACGATCTTAATTGTCGTCAATTAACTTGGAATCCATTTCATAAATAAAATGTCACATTTGCAAATGCGTACTGTTGCTTAATGTGTATGTGTGTTTGTCTGTTTGCTCTTCTTTTACGAACTAACCAGGCAATCTTAAACAAACTAACAACATTAAATAACGTACGCTGTGGACGCGAATTCGACTGCTCATGTACTAAGATGATTTAGAGCAATTATTTTGTTTATGAATAATTATTTTACTGTGTTAAAAGTTTAAATAAAACACTTTAACGGTTTAAAACGCGATATATTTTAGTTAAATTTGTTTGAAAATTATTTTTAAACAAGTTTAACTAAAATATATCGCGTTTTAAACCGTTTAAGTGTTCTATTTAAATGTGTACTACTCGCGTAAACTACAGACAGTGTTTGTTAATAGTTTTTAATGTCGCACAGAGGCTACTAGTCTGTGAAGTACCTTTTATAGGTGAAATTTTCGATATTCCTACCCTCCATTTAATATCCAGACGAAGTCAGAGATGTTTTATAAAAATTATAATTTGATGTGAAACATGACCCGTCGGGTATCAAACCCACGACCCGTTGATTGTTTCCGAACACTGCTACCACACCAATGAGCCCCGTATATTATTCCCTGACTAAAGAAATACTGAATATAGTTTTTAAAACAAAGCAAATACTCTTTGACCCTGCGGACTGTAAATTTAAATTTACAATTGTAATGATTCATGTTATAAATGATCCGCTCGGTGAAGCGCTGGATTGAGTTGTCGGGATTTTGATGGGGCAAGGTTTTAACGCGTAAATGGTGTTCTGGTCTTCATGCAGGTAACG